GCCGTAATGTAATCAGATTCAGTAAAAGTGAAATCGATAGCAAAGAATTATATTTATTTATTTGTGCATGTAAGAAAGGATTGGGTGATAAATAAAATCTCCTACTCATCTTTTTTGATATCAAAAAATATCAAAAAAAACTCGTAGGAGATTCTCTATTTAGCCTGTGTCTTTGTTGTTACGTTGCTGTAACCAATAGCAGATTATACATATAAATGCTTGCACGTTTATTAGCTCGCTGATCTTATTGTTTCGGATATACAAGAAAAATGTGAACCAATTTGTCTATTGCAATTTAAAGGTAATGTTTATCAAGGAACAAATATCCATTATGACCATAACGTATAATACCGCTACTCTTCTTCTTGTTCTTGGGGGCGACGATCTTCGATAAAGGCCCGAGGCTGCGCCAAATCAAGTACGATCGACGCGAAACTTAGACAATTGTTGATCGATTACGGGCTTCGATTTTTTATATGACGCCACAATTCTAAGATGGTGACGATGACGTCATGTCGGTTCCTGTTCCATATAGTTCTGTCGTAGGCTAGTTGTTTTAATGCAGTTTTCAATCTTGATATTATACACTAAATAGTTACTTAAAATATGTCAGAAGGACGTATAAGGCTGGTGCCATGTATGCCGCTTATAGTTTGTACTGTTACGCATTTTATGGTGTCCTTTTTAGCTGCCACCATAACCATCTAGCCTACGGCTTGTATGACGTTAGGGGTTGGTTCACCACGATTTCGACTGCACCCCATTTCGACTACAAATTTTATTACCCCCAAAATGTGTTTATTTTCAATTTCGGTAGTTGGGAACTAAAAAAAAATATTGCTTTTTACATGATTTTTATGTAAATTACTTTTTAATCTGTGTTTTTGTGTTTCTATCTATATGTAAATTACTTTTTATTTTCTTTTTTTTTTTGTCTTCTGTTTAAATGAATTACTTTTAATCATTGTTTTGTTTTGTTTTCGAGCTATATAAATTACTTTTGTTATAAGCTGTAGTCGAAATGGGGTGTTTTCATGTAATAATCTATTTTAGCTATAGAGAGGGTATATAATATAGGGATAATAAAACCACCAGACCGTATAATCTGTAGTTATAAGCTGTAGTCGAAATGGAATGCAGTCTAAGTACATCTTCCCATTTACCAAATAATAACTCCACTAAAAAAAAATACATCCAACGAACTTCGATAACGCAGGAAGTTATTATCGAAATGTAGACAACTTAAAAACATACATATTGAGAAAATGTTCAAAGAGATATGTATTTAAAAACTGAAATGTAGTCCCGATAGCTTCCTGTATGTTTGCGATCTGACATGATCTCTTATTAACTATTTTTTTTTTGTGCGGGTTATTTATCCATAATGACACAGTTGGGAAACGTACACCTACCACCAGTTTCTTCAGAGAAGATGACTTATGTCTTACTTCCTTCTATTGAAAACATAAAACAGATTGAATTCTCATTTCTCGCTTAGCCGTTCTGACCACTCAAATACTTCGAAATGGCTATAAACTAGAATGTAATAAATAGAAATAAAGGCCAATAAAATGAATACGTTAAAGGCTCAATACCACTCTTGTTGTAACTGAATAATATGTCCCAATCTTTTTTCTGGTCAACAAATTGTACTATTTTAGAATATTTCAATTAATTGATGATACAAATTTCATCTTAACACACCTTATTTAAAAATTTTGAAAAATTCAACATAATGGTTTGAAACGTCTAACGTAAACCTTTTCAAATGAAACTTCGATTTAAAAATATTTTCGAACCCTCTGCACAAGTAAAATAGGATGTAATGGATAATTTACACAACAGGTTGGACACTTAAACATCTAGTACTTAGATAGAGATATTATTTACTTTCTGGAGCTTTCAAGCCAGCAAGAGTGTTATTGTCCCTTTAAAAAACAAGCAAGAGACGGTTTAAGTTAACAATTATTGTCTATGACAAAAAGCTAGAAAACTTATATCTAAAAACAAATTTTAGGTGCATGAAGAACAAATGAAATGAAATGAAATGGGGTTTAACGTCCTACTGTTCTGCTCCGAACTGAGCTAAGGAAGACGGGCATACGCCATACAGTGTGCTATGAGGGAAATTTTGCCCGGACAGCGGCACTACGGCCTACTCTTATATCGAATTGTAACTGTCAAGGGATCTTTTACGTGCACACCAATGTGTACACGGGACCTCGGTTTTTCGTACCATCCGAACCACTAGACAGCTAGTCCTGCATCAGTGACAAGGAGGAAACACGTCGGAAAATCTGGATGAGCTTTCTCGGTTATAGCGAGCCAGCGTCTTACCTACTTAGCCACCGTGACCCCCCATGAAGAACAAAACTAAATCATTATTAATTAGTAAACTGATACAAACAGCCATTCAATATTCCACTTGTCTTTCATTGAAATGCGCACCAATTATATTATTTTCTCGGCGAGTATGATGACTTAATTTCAAAAATAGGTGGCTGGACATTTTTATATTTTTTGTTGGTAATGGGGGCATTTCCAAGATATTAAACACTAAACAAGTGTAACATCTCAAGGGTGATAACTTGAGATAATTTTGATAATGGAATCGTTTATGTTATGGAGCATATTATGGAAAACATACATAGGGTTAATTTATACTTGAATCACAAACCAAAAATACTTGCAACATAGATGTGATATCGGGTGTTCTAAGAGGAGTACGCCCATCCTACACCTGGTTTATGAACGACACTTGAGCGATGGCCTGGACCAGGATATCAAAAGTCGTAAAAAAAACTAGACATCCATTACGCTTACGTGGATACGAGGATTCTTTGCATTACATGCACCTGATAAATATTGTTGGCATTTTTTAAAATACAATCTCAGTGAGCTTGGTACCAAATAGTGGTGGAATACTTGGATAAACGCATACACTTTAAAAGACATGCCAACCACGCCATGGTTCTCGAGGAAAGTTACTTACCGAGCCACCGTAGCTTACTTAATCAAACGGTATCTCAAAGATTTAAAGACAATTTATATGTATTTAATGATTCTATATGGCTCTAACGAGCAAAATGTGTACTGTTCGGTCCAGTGATATTCCAGTGGGAAACGGACTTATATTATAATGTTAAGCACAAGAACGTTACTTTTAGTTGTCCGCTTGGAAATGTTAAGCTGTTCTGTGTTTATTTGGACAAGTTTAGTGTCAGAAGCAGGTGGTGGGTGGATGTCTGACAAGACACTGATATTAATTTCATACAGATCAGATTATAACTTTTGTCAGGGTGGAACGAGGGCCATAAGTTTAGAAGTGGAATGGGGTTTAACGTCCCACTGTTCTGCTCCGACTGGGCTAATGGAGACGGATAACTTTAGAAGTTATAAACGGAAATTGTTGAAATTATATAGGCTTCTTTGTTTTACTAATCTGAATAACGCATATGAATTTAATACAGATAGGCTGATATCATTCACAAGGGGTTCAACCAAGTGAAACAAGGGCCATGACTCAAGAAGTATAAACGGAAATTGGTGAAATTCAATTTGTTTGTTTTACTTATTTAAATAATGAATACAAATTTGATACAGATTGGACGATAACTTTTGTCCATAGAGCTTTCACAAGGTTCAACAAAGTGAAACAACGGAAAGTGTTGAAATTCAGTAAGCTGCTCCCGATTACTTATTCAAATAATCCACACAAGACTTATGCAGATCGGACGATAACTTCTGTCGATAGAGCGTCCATAAAGTTCAACAAAGTGAATCAAGGTTCATAACTCTAAAAGTTATAAACAGCAATTGCTCAAATTCAATAGGCATCTTCGTTTTACTTATCTAAATAATGCATATCAATTTGATACTCTAGACGATAACTTTAGTTGTAAGAGCGTTCACAAGGTTCTACAAAGTGAAACAAGAACCATGACTCTAGAAGCAATTAACTGAAATTGTTGAAATGCAAACGGCTTCTTTGTCTCACTCATGTAAACAAAATATAATAAGATCAGATAATAAATTAATGTAGTCTGTAGTGTTCGCAAGAAATTGTGGACGACGGGCGGATCTGATAGCAATATACGACCACATTTCCGTGTGGGTGTATAAAAATAGTAATACTGATTTGAATTTGCTAGCAATTTTTTAATAGCCAGTCCATTTTTCGTGAAGGTTGTGTTTGCATGATATACTTAATTGTACTATGACAGTTTCTACATTAAAATAGTACACACTTTTGAAAATAATGAACAATCTGGGATGTTGTGCCTTTAATTAATCACTGTTGTTATAACCTAGTATTTCTGTGTCAGTGGATATAATACTAAGCGGCTCGTAACCAGACTAGTACTAATGAGTGATGTAGTCCATACTTAAATTCGGTCAAGTCATCTTCGTGATGCAAAGTATGGAATGTTACCAATACATTTATTAGCATTCAAAGTTATACTCTGGCGCACTTGTAACACGCGCAAAAAGTCTTCTTCGGTAAATAAACACTGTTAGATAATCTTTTGATATAAATAGAACATTTACACGACAAGCTTATTTATCACTACATACAGATGAGATATAATATATAGTGAGTCGAGGCACGTAGAAAACGATCTCTTGAACGACCTTCACCCCGATAAATATTGGACACCGCTTCCCCACACATGAACATGTGTTATTAAACAAAACACAGTGAAGAAAAAAGCGCTATTATATTGATTATTTATCATTTTTATTTTACCGTGTATTTCATTCAAAAATACAAACCTTGCAAAAGACAATACTTCTCTCGCTTGCTGCATCGCATCGGTCATTGCCTTGTAACAATCACGCTTTTCGACAAAACACGATTTATAAGGTTATGTGTCATGAATTGAACTAGGCTACAAAAAAAGATACAATGAAAGGCATACATGTTGTGTTGTGTGCGCGTGCATTGACGTGCAGTCTTGCAATAAGGCTAAAAAGAAAATTACAATTTGTAAAATACTTACTCGCTCAGCTACTGAATTGAGAACAATTTATATTACATATGACATATATGTACTGCTATGTGCTATATTAAGCCCAGACCTACTATTTCGATATATCACCATTGAATCGCTAGTATTACTTCTTCTTCAAGTTTGGGGTAATAAAACGGTTGGTATATTATACTAAATATATATTGTACATCTCCACAGTTCCATTTCGGCTTGACATCAAGTATTTGAAGCATTAACAGTGTTTATAAATTGTCCCTATCGTCTCACACTGTGCAGTATATTGCAATAGGCCTATACCTAAAACCAGCTGGTCCTCTGACCCCATTCTAACCGTGACCGACATGCGCACTATATCTCTCTCTAACCATGAACCGTAACATTTACGTTGTTGCTTTTGCTCGAAAACAGATTTTTCTTCGCATTTTGTTTTTCGATTTACAGATTTTATTATGGGGTTTTTCCCCCATTGAATAATCCAAATATAAACATACAAACACTTTTCAAATGATAAAAGCCGCTTTTGATAGTTTTATTATAGTTAAAAATTAAAGTAGCTAGTCGTATAAATATAACAGTTTAGTTCGCAATGTTTCTAATGTCCGGTTTCCATATTGATTTGTCTGCATGTCTTTGTTATGAAATATAAAATGGAGCAAGGGAGAGTTACATTTTATAAGTCGAACGCTCCCCTTGTCGGATAGTCCTGATCCAAAGTTTGTTTACTTTTCACTAGTTTTCCTTAAAACGGTTTATTATTGGTATTTTAATATAAATCTGATTCAGTGTTATATAGGCCTATTTCTGATTTATTTAAATATTTTTCGTTTTACTTATTATTGTAATGTCATCTTAGGTCTATCAGTACTGGCACTGCCTAGCATATTATGAAGAATATGCCTACCGTCTATATGCAAAAAATGCCATGACTAAAGTTGTTTTTTTTTTCTTCTAATATTTTTGTATTGGTACCCGGTAATTCTTTAAAAAAAAATAATTACAAAAAGCGACTAATAAATGGATAGGTTTACATTATATACATTATACCCCCCCCCCCCCCTACGTAAAATTGTGTAGAATGGGAAAACAGATATTCAGTAGATATGAACGTCCCACTTAAACCCGACGCAATGAAGACGTAACCATAGTAAACTAAACTAAAAAAAAAAACAAAAAAAAAAAACCCAACAAAAAACAACACAGTGGTTTTAGATGTCTATAAACAGCTTAGTAAATCAATACTTTATTTCTTTTTCCTACAATAAAGCTGTGTAGGCTGCAATCTCCCCAGGATTACTCCTACACAACTAAATAATTTCTGTTATACTTTTTACCTTCAAACAACGGGGGGCTGTCTTCGGTTTCAGAGACAGGCTCCTTGAAAGTGTGAACAAGCGATGATGGTTCGGTACGAGAAGCTACGTTCAATTTATTATTTGAATGGCATTTAGTAATTGGATTGGAACATAATCGAATAACACACTATTTTTTGTATTATATGCTTGATAACGACTTGTGAAATCTTGTTGAAACGTCGCAGTGAAATAAAACATAGTAATTGTTATCCATAAATAGTGTGTTATTGGATTACGTTCAATTGATTGGAACTTCGCGCGGGGTGGCGGTGGGGGTGGGGTGCTGTTCCGGCGTGACTGACAGCAAAGCCTCGATTTCCTTGCATCTGAGGTCATTTCTGTAGGAATTTACCGGCTATATTGTTAAATCACGTCAAATTACAAAGCGACGAAGATCGACAAATTCGATGCTATAATGACCAATTTCCAATCAATGCCAGATTATAAGGATAGCGTAATCTATGGGTTCCGCATTTTCATGAGCCCCGCGCTAATTGCTAATTGATACTAATAAATGATGAAGAAGAAAACAATAATTATTTTACTATAAATGTGTGTATTTTATTTAAAAGCGGCTATTCGTCAAATACCAACGGTAGATAATCACCTGCAATGAGATTAATAATGGGCTCATCAAAAGATTTTAGCCAATACCTATTGCATGATGGTTCTGGTTTGTTTATATCGTCTGCGAAATTTTCAATTCATCTATCTTGGTAAATTAGTTACGTACGGTATTTAAGCATTTTTGAACTAATCTCTACACCCGATTCGCCTTTCTTTAACGGCAGATTACAATATTAAATTATTGCTGTTCAAAAGGGCTAAATGAATAATACGGAAGCGTAATAGGGCCACATATTTTTTTTATTATTCTATTTTCAATTTTTCAAGTTACTAACTTGAATTTTCAAGATACTAACTTGAATTTTCAAGATACTAACTTGAATTTTCAAGATACTAACTTGAATTTTCAAGATACTAAATTGGACAATTCCACTCTCGCTGGTTCAAAAAAGGCCTTATTCTAAGTTCTAAATGTGTTAGTGTTCTGCCTCTAGTTTAAATCATCTCATTAAAGATACATTATGGGAGATTAGATAACGAGTTGGCAGTTCTCACTATAATAGTTAAAAACTACATAATGTAAAGGCAACTTGCTGAAAATTTCAGTCAAATTGATCCACTATGAACCGAGAACCAAGCGGATGAAAGTTCCGCTTAGCCTCGATCATCATTACTGAAGACGATAAGACAAAACTAATAGTCTTGATTATCCATTTAATCGTTAATCACGAAGGAAATTTTTTTGCAGCAAATCGGACTGTAATCCAACAAATATCGCAGGCAAGCCTTGACATCGAGAGCTGATTATGGTCTGGATAAGTTAATTAATGTCTAATTAATAGTTTTTATAACATTTCAGGCCTAAAGAAAGACCTACAATAGGCCGATTTTGCTCTTGCATAATGTATGTTTAAATTCTATTTTACGAGTCCAACAGTTTTGAGGGTGGTCGGGTGGTCGGTCTGTCATCAATGGGGTCGAGGTACGAATCCCGTTCTCGCCGACCTCAATGACAAGGTGCGGGAGTAGCCTATTCGATCACATAGGTTTCCTCTGGGTACTCCGGTTTCCCCCTGCAAATCATCTCCGATAGCACATAGATTGGCGCAAATTGACCAGATTATTACGGTGTCGACGTGCTATAAAACACCATTCATTCATTCATTCATTTTAACAGTTTTGAGCCCTATAGAAAACCTTTTTGAAGTACAAAAAAAAAATTAAATGTGGTGCGTAATGACGAATCAAACGTCCCAGTTCCCAGTTCTAAAAATAGTCTGTATTGACGTAATACACGACATTCCACCCCTGCCCCACCCCACCTGGACATCTCCCCGCCGGACATCTGCCGCCGGATACCCCCCCCCCTCCTTTTAGGACTTTTACTCCCAGGACATTTCCTCCTGAAGACATCTTCCCTCCTAGGACATCTACCCCCGGACTTTTACTAACCGGACATTTGCCCCCCAAGACATCTGCCCCCTGGGACATCTACCCCCGGACATTTTTCCTCTGGAACATCTGCCCCCTAGGACATCTCTGCCATCCCCCCACACCCTTTAGAACCCTGGGCGTTACGAGGTACTTCAAGAAACAATGTAAAAAAATAAATATAAATTTTTTACAGTTCATTATTTTACAGGTCAATAGTACAGAGTTAGATAGTAGAATGTGTCCATCGCCTCATTCCTAGCGTGTCCTAGAAGGCGACTCTTGGGGAGAGGGTAGGGTGGCCGATAGGCTACGCCTTGGTCTGCCATCAATGGTGTCGATGGTTCGAGTCCCATTCTCTGCTATCTTAGTGACAAGGTGTGGGAGCAGCCTATCCGATCACTTAGAGGTACTCCCAAAACATAAGCAGATTATCGGCGATAACACGTAGATTGACATGATTGACGGTGTCGACGTGCTATATACAACATTCACTCATTCATTTATTTAGGTCAATACTGCCAGTTTATGAAGAGAAGACATGTTTTTTTTTTATCAGAGCTTAGTATAAACGCAATACTCTTTCGCCCTCTGTTAATTCTACGGAAGCGTAATAGGGTCATTAATTTATTCTTTTGTAAATTTTAAAGCCTGTAAGTCAATAACTTGAAAATTCCGGCTAGCAAAAGGCCATACAAGAAAGATAAAACGCCCACACAGCAGCCTTGACACAAATATAGGCTACCAGAAATGTAACGGATATGTAACGGATAAAAGTAGGCCTAACTAGTAACTTCAAGTTAGTATCTTGAAAATTCAAGTTAGTATCTTGAAAATTCTAGTTAGTATGGCGGCGTTATTCGTTGCCGTTGATGAAATTTGAGCCTCACAGAGTAGAAGGCGAATACTGATTTTAAAATTAAATGAATTGATAATTTCTTTGCACGGTGTCTTGACGTACAATAGGGTCTGACCTAGTAAACGGATACCGGGTCCAGTAGAACGAAATACGATAGCCAGCGACAACTCGTTAAGCGAGCCAAAATGGGGTTTCTGGAGCAGCCCTCCTGGCCTGGAATAAATATTTGCAAATGTGTGTGTGTGTGTGTGTGGGGGGGGGGGGGTCTGGCCTAGGTTTAGACACGTTATGAGTAGAAGTAATACCTATTCGCGTTCTCCCACAAGTCAAATCAAATATTTCAGGTCGATTCCTAGTTCTTGATTAGTCTACCTGGGCCAAGATCTACTAAGTTAAAGCCTGCCAAACAAATTAAATATTGACAATCTCGTCAGTGACTACACTGAGGCCACCTACAGATTCCCTCAAGGTCTTGAGAAGTAGACCGAGTTAGGTCACTAACCCGAATTGGGGGGGGGGGGGGTGCCCATTTTATTTTTCAAAAAAATGTCGAACAACCATTTTTTCCGGACCCTTAGGTCATGCCCCCACCCGAAAAAACTTTTAGGGAGCATACCCCATGGGAACATGTACCAAAATGCCTCTAGGCTTGCAATTCGGGGCCGTGGGCTAAAACGGTCCCACGAACTGGGTTCCTTAGTTAAAAGCCAATACCCCAGCCCTTTTGGGCTACGGTGAACTCAAACGTAATATTTCAATCATTTTTTTTCTATTTTTTTAGATACTCCGAGGGACTAGTCGTCGCTGCACCCCCCTCCCCCAAATCGATCCTTGCATGGTGCCCTTGAAATTGCCGGCGACCGGAAGTGGGTCAAAATGACACCAAGGTCACCACGCGACTCCCCTGGATCGATTTAGTTTAAGAGGCCGCGACCGAGTTATCTTCCCTTTGACCAGTAAAACCTAGGCTAAATTTGCCCAAGGAAATTTGCCCAAAAAGTGTCTTCCGATCGACTCGAGGTTTGGTGACCCGATAGACCAACCCCACATTTGTTCTTCATTTTTAAAATTCGCCCACCAAAAGTTATGACCTAAACCCAATAGGGGCCCCGGAAATATTTCGGTTTTGGTCCCCTAGGGGCCCTTCTGATAAAACGACCTTGACCTTCCGACATGTCATCTCGGCCCCGTGCCGCGTGTCAAATCAAAGGATCTGACCTTAATACAGATGACCACATGGCCAAAATGGCCGAAGTCGACGTTTTCATTTGAATATCCCAAAAAATTCTTTTAAAAACGGCGTAAGCTCTTCGAAATTTCGACTACCCCACCATTTTCGACCCTGGCACATCCGAATCTGGTCTCAAAATTAAAATAGTAGCATTCTAGGATTTTTGAAAAAAAAAATTCATTTCGGTAACCTCGGTAAAATGGCCACCACTCGATTGGCAGAGGTCGGAACCGGAAGAGGGTGTTATTGATTGTAGGACAGGTACCCAGTGAATTTCAAGCTGATAACCACGAAAGTACGGATGCTGTGACCAAACGGGCACGCGTATTTTGATTTTTGGCTGAATTTGGACCTATTTCGGGATGAAAAGGGACCCATGCTCGCGCCCTCCCCACACCCGGGGGTCCAGAGGTTCCAAATTTACCCAATCGCCTTCTGGAAAGGGTCAAGCGTAACGATAATCCCCTTAAAAAATGGACGAAAAGAGAAAAAGCCGATTTTGGCATATCGCTACCTTCTAGGAAAAGCCCATAACTCAGCCCCTATCAGTATAAGGGCCCTAAAATATGGAGGGTGGACGGTGGGGGTCCGTGGGCAGGTGCCCGCCAAAACTGGGCAAGATTGGCCCGGAGGTTTCGATTTGATTAACGTTGTCACTTAAAAATCAAATTTAGGGTAGGTAAGTGTCAGGTCTGAACTCTACTCGACCTTATCCCCCCTCCACCTGCGGGGGTCTTGAGCCAAATTTTCTGTCATTTTCCTTGGGTTAGGGGGGGGGGGGTAAGGGCGACTTTTGCACATGCGCGCGCTGGAGCCAATGGTGCTGTATGACTACGGCTCAGCCCCTATCAGTATAAGGGCCCTAAAATATGGAGTGTGGACGGTGGGGGTCCGTGGGCAGGTGCCCGCCAAAACTGCGCAAGATTGGCCCGGAGGTTTCGATTTGATTAACGTTGTCACTTAAAAATCAAATTTAGGGTAGGTAAGTGTCAGGTCTGAACTCTACTCGACCTTATCCCCCCTCCACCTGCGGGGGTCTTGAGCCAAATTTTCTGTCATTTTCCTTGGGTTAGGGGGGTAAGGGCGACTTTTGCACATGCGCGCGCTGGAGCCAATGGTGCTGTATGACTACGGCTACAAACTTGTCACGGCACTGCCAAGGTACCCTGAAAATTTCTATTCAATACCCGCGTTCCACCAAGGCGTTTGTTCTTGACACTGCCGCCATGGTGAAAATGGTCACGTGACGCCACTTCCTAGATATAGATATTAATGTCACACTAAAAATGGAATTCAGTGTCATATGCAGGAATGTCCGAGAGATTGCATTTCCCAATTTCATTTCTACATATCTGCATTTCTCCTGAATCTCCTGAATATTGACATTCGAGTTCGTGTTATACTTATGGAAAACATATGTCGACATAATTAAAACCATCAAAATCAAAATCACACTTTTATGGATAACAATTACTATGGTTTATTTCACTGCGACGTTTCAACAAGGTTTCACAAGTCGTTATCAAGCATATTAGATAAAAAATGAGAAAGATATGAATATAAATACAAACATCAGTGCGAACTATCCAATGGAATGCAAGGTGAGTAAGTCACTATTTCTACATCTCATTAAGAAGGTCACACTGTTGCTTGCACGTATAAACTTATCCTCACATTTACTTTCTCATTTTTTATCTATTTGTATATTTGTTGAAACGTCGCAGTGAAATAAACCATAGTAAATGTTATCCATAAAAGTGTGTTTTTGATTATGTTCCAATTACTAAATGCCATTCAAATAATATGTTGACATAATTACTTTTCCGGTGACCTTTAAAGATTCCTGTTATAGTGTGTTTTTTTTGTACAACTATGGAGGGCTGCATTTCCTTATTCCTTATCTATAGCATAATATCATGACAGTGTCTTCATATTAACTATTATCTATAGGATAATAGCAGGGTCATTGCTGCTACAATAAGGAAATGCAGCCTTCGATTGTTGAGTGACAAATACATGTATCACCTCATTTTCCTTGGATCTGGCCCTATTTTTCCCCCAAAACCAATCTTCCCGGAATCGCACCATATTCTGCTTTTAATATCTGATAGATACTGAGATTCTACAAATACTGTGAAAATGTCAATACAATAGTCCCACGGGAATGCTGTTTTTAAATAAAAAAAAACAACAACATTTTTTGATGACGAAGCGAGGCGTGGTCGCTCACAAGCTCAGATTTGCTCTAAAGCGCTTAGTGTTGCAGCTGCCAGCCTGAAATTTTAATATGACCTTATTTCGATGGCCAATGAGACCATTTTTTTAGTCAACTGTGGAGGGCCGCATTTCCTCATTACAGATAGGACGGGGGATACATGAGAATAGACTGAAAAGGCACGGAATTGCCAAAGAACCCAGAAATGAACCCCACTGTCTTGGCCCCTTCAAGTCATGCTAGCTCCTGGAAAGTTTTATATGTTCTCCCCCAGTTCCTGCAGAGGTAACTCTCCAAATTACAGCCTAATGGCATTAAAATTGGATAAAAATCGTGACCTATAGAGTGTTCACTAGCTCAGGGGCCATAATCCACAAGGTTTCGTTCCGATACATGCCAATATAGAAAGGAAGCAAGATCTTTTGGAGATATTTCAAGTTTCGTCAAAATTTTGACTTGTAGAGTGTCCAGAAACAAATTGTGGACGGACGGACGGACAGGAGCGACGGCAATATATACGTGCACATGAAATTGTGGGCGTATAAAAATTGCACAGCCTCTATCGTGTTCACAGGCTTTTCAGAAAAGTGGTAAAACTCCGGAAGGGAAGGTTGTGGAACACTGGATATTCATAGGTGTTACATTTAACGACCCATATACTGCAAACCAAATTTGAAAAAAAGCCGTTAAAAAACTGTCCAAACCAATATTGTTGGTTTTGATGCCATTTGAACTGCAGCGATCGAGACTAGCCATTTATAGACATCTACAGAATGAATGGGATTTATTTAACTAAAATTAAGCATATTATAATCATTCTACAGAAAACCGCAACATCAGATATGGACCTTCAAAAATGTTCATATACATTGGTATTAGATAATATGTAGTCTTGAGATATGGACATTCAAAAATTTTCATATACATTGGTATTAGATATGTAGTCTTGAGCCATTTTGTGAAACCAATCGTATTCATCCTGAATAAAAAATATACAAGCATGTATTAGATATATAACCTTGTTGTCTTGTGAAACCAACTATAATCATCCCGATGAAATATACACAACAGGTCAATTTACAAAATAAGATCACATGCTAGGGAAGGGGTGGGCAGGAGCCCCATCTCAATAGTTGACATTTACACACCCAATGCCGGGTTTAGATGAAGAGAGTCCGTAGGTTATTGCTCTAAATCCCCCACCCTTATGACTAGAAAATGGAAGTATGTTTCAAACACAATTGGGCAAAGCCGAGGAAGATGCATATTCCTGAAGCAATGGCCTGAGAAATCCCTCTCTGGCCATTGCTGGATTGGCTTCTGATGCTTGAGCTTTTGAGGGAGTGTGACTATTGTTCCCGTTCAATCAAATCTATCCCAAGTACAGCAATATGGCATAACTTTGGACAGTGATTTAAGGTATTAAAAACGATGAAAGTAATATTCGTCTCCAAACAGTATTGTTTACATTGTATTCGTTTTGATAGCCTAGTTTGTCACGCAATTAGTTTTTCTGCAATATTCTGATATGCACTGGTTAATTAGGCATAATAAAATCGTGGGTCATGACGTAAGGTTACGTAAACATATTTGGTCCAATTTGGAGCTCTGTTTAAAGCATTATGATATTGTTACGCAGTTAGCTATTGGTTGTTAATCGGACTATTGACCAGTCATAATTTGGAACAGAAATTCGTTTTCATTACAGCAGTATTAAGTGGGATTAGGTCTAATCAAACGAAACACCACGAGGAGTATGTTAAAATAGCAAACGAAATTTCAAGCGGGGTTGATTTTTTTTTCTATGTCAAATTTGAAATAACGGTCACGGAAAATAGAATGAAACCACGTGACCGGGCCTTGAAACACAGGTTTGTAAACACAATGTTATACTATATTTCAATAATGTAATAATTACAGTGATTGATACACAGTACCAAGCCAGTAATAGCATTCAAACGTCACTTTGTCATACGGAAATGGTGTGAAGATAACGCACGTCTGGTCTTGAAAATGAGTTTTTAAATAGTGATGTGAAAAGAGTCATGGAAATATCCATTGTATCAGAGAGAGAGAGAGAGAGGGAGGGAGGGAGAGAGAGACAGAGAGACAGAGAGAGAAATGGGGTTTAACGTCCACTCGACACAAACTAGGTCATTTTGGGACTAACACATGTTCAACTTTATTTCAATAAGTCGCTTGCGCGTAGGGGTCTTTAGCAGTGGGAGGAAACCGGAGGAACCCGGAGAAAACCCACGAGGTTGGACAGGCGACCCTACTCCTTGTCACGTACAACCTGGGAATCGAAACCACGCCAGGTGACTCAATGACAGACCGTATGATACAGCGCGCGCGTGCTAACCATTCGGCCACCCCCCCCCCCCACTATTGTATCAAAAACTCAGTATAAGTACAATAGACATATAGAGCTGTTATATCAGGTTGTATAGATATAATAAAACTACCCTACTTCGTGCACAATACCCATCATAACTTATAGCTGAATGGATCGATAGTCTGGGCCCTGTTTCTCGAAATTTTAACTAAAGTTAAAATCCAAATTTTAGTAGATACTTCAATTTTGATTGGCTAAGCACTAAAATCAGTCTAATATTATCCAATCAAATTAATAAAATTTGGATTTTATCTTAGTTAAAATTTCGTGAAACAGGCCCCTGGACTTGAATTTCAGATCCCAAAGCTTCGGAAACGGGCTCACACGAAATAAAATCAGAAGAAAAAACATATACCTGGCTAATAAAAAATCCATCTAAAGACTGTAAAATCTGTCTTGTTGTGTTGAAAATCTCCACTTCATTATCAAGTTTTATTCTTTCTAGTATGTTTCTTACAATACAAAAAATAGCAGCATGTTTAATATTACTGTAATATAAAATATAATATTATTATCACTGTAAAACTTCTGTAATATAAAATATAACATTATTATCATTGTCATATAAAATATATTAATTTCACTGTAATATAAAATATAATATTATTATCACTGTAATATAAAATATATTAATATCACTGTAATATAAATATAATATCATCACTGTAATAAAATATATTAATATCACTATAATATAAAATATATATATATGTTAGCAAAGACAGTATCTAGTCGTTCGTATCGGACGAAAACCCGAGGTCCGTGTACCCCTAAAAGTGGCGTATGTCCGGCATCGTCAGCCCTGTCGGTGCAGAAAGGAATAACACTATACGACATTTCATTTCATTTCTGTCTGGCAAAACGCACTAAAGAACTTCTCGTCATTTAATTCTGGTTATACACGTTTCTTTGACGATTGCATGCCTTTCACGAATATTTAACCCGATGGTTTGTCGGCGATGAACATACAGCCAACGAAGGGTTAAGACAATCTGACGGGATGTATAATCTACTGCAGGTCAATAATTATGCTAGGAATAATAAGTTTTGTAATATATAAATGATATCGATATAATAATATTACCTCGTAATAACTGTAACCGGATCTTTAGTATTGTCCAGTGTATCAATCTGATCGATTAACTGGGGTAGCTGTAATTGAGATAGCTGAAACCCTTCTTGCAAGTCAACCGATAAAACTCTACAATTGTCAACCAGTTCCTGTAAATAGAACATATTTATGTTTGCTTTGCCAAAATATTTTGTTACACTGATCCAAATTTTGTTTCTGTTTCGTTTCGTTTCGTTTTCAACGGTCTCCAGATCTATAGGCGAGGGAGGTTGGAGTGGTCAAGGTAGGTTCACATAGGTAGGGTGGTCCACGGAGGCTTACCTCTCCATTCAGTAAATGTGATCACCTAGAAGGCTAACACTATTCAAAGATACATATGTAATATTTTTACCTCCAATTTTGTATTGACTGTATACATATTTGTATATTCCACTGCAGAGGTTTCAACCATTGATGCCACACGTATACTTCCGGCTCGTGTCTTTTTTCCAGATTTTGGAAGAAAAGAGGCGATGCTCTGTAATATAAAAATAACTAACTGTAATTGACAAATACATTAATTATTCATTGGCTGATCCTTGGCAGTTTAGTCGCATTCACTCAAGCCAATATTCTGGGCAAAATAGCAGCTATTGTGTTTAGTAACTTGTTGTCTGACTGACTGTTCGCGTATCCAGTGATTGTTAACAAAGTATTCTGCATAATTTTAACTACGATGTGATATTCATTTTTACTCGGCATAACATAAGACAATACGAGAATCTCCGTATGACCATTGATACTAGACGAAATGAAATGCAATTGGGTTTGATGTCATACTTTTCTGTTCCATCTAGCCTACACAATGCGGTATACTAAAAGGGAATATTTGCCTTGACAGTCGCGCTACCACCTACTCATATTTCCAATGCCAACTGTCAATGGATCTTTTAAGTGCATACCAGGTATACATGGGTTCTCGGTTTTTCGTCCCATCCGAACGACTATTAGCTCTGTCAGGCCCTCAGCCTTGGAACACTAACAAAGGGAACCCCCCAGAAAGTCCAGAAGAACTTGCTCGGTCCACACCGGTATCAATCCTGGGAGTTTTATATTTCTATGGTTTCGACAATATTTCCGTGGAATTTGAATGCTCGTATGGCGAATTATCCGTAAAGATTAACGATGTGTTATATACTGAGCTAAACAATTTGTATAGATAAAAATATCTCCGTCCTGTAGTTGATTTACATGTATTTACTATACGGGCAGACAGGGGCTGCGACCAGTCCAATATACTGTCACTTAAAACATGAACGTCTAAAAACACCATTCATCTGTTTAAATACGTAAGCACCTCTCGTCATTATACTTGAGAAAAAACAAATGGATCAGGATATTTTGTAAAGTACTTTGAACTCTGCCATACATAAGCCAGTCTGTGTTTATTACGTTTTTTATTACATTCATAATAATCGCTTTAATTGTCTAGAAAAAATAGTTAATTTTAAACCTTTAATAAAATACCTTGCTGTGATCTAACAGAAATACTGCAACTCGACTCTCCTGATCTCTGATTAAATTCCACAATGATTCCATATCATGTCCTTTAACATCACTAATAATATAACCAATTTTTTTCTTCCATGACTAGTAAAGTAATAATAATGTGATTTAATATCACTGACAATATAACCAATACTGTTCTACCACGACTAGTAATACCTTGATTTAAAATCACTGATAATACAAGGAATACTTTTCTTTCATGACTGATAAAGCAATAATAATATGATTTATAATCACTGATAATATAGCCAATACTGTTCTTTCATGTCTAGTAAAGTAATACTATGATTTAATATCACTGATAATAATTATAATCAATACTTTTCTTCCATGACTAGTAAAGTAATACTATGATTTAATATTAACTGATGCTATAACCAATACTTTTCTACTATGACTAGTCAATAAATAATATGACTAATACTATGATTTAATATCACTGACATATAACTTATACTTTTCTTTCATGACCAGTAAGCAAAACAGTAGGACGTTAAACCCCATTTCACTTCATTTTATTTCATGGCCAGTTAACTAAAAATACTTTTCTTGTAAAGTAATGATGTGATTTAATAGCACCGATAATATAACCAATACATGTACCTTTCCACAGTCACTAGTAAAGTAATAATATTATTTAGTATCACTGATAATATCACTAACACTTTCCTTTCGTGTCTAGTAAAGTAATAAAATGTTTTTATATCATTGATAATGTAATCTCGTCCAGATTTATTTTATCACCTTATTTTATAGTAAAGTATTAAAACAATGATCTAATATCACTGATAATGTAACTAATACCTTTTCCGCACAAGTAAATTAAAAAAGTAAATTTTTAAAAAAATTGATTCACAGTGTAACCGAGATGTTTTGAGCAAGAATGTATGGTAGCTACAGTTTCAACCAATATTCAAAAACAAAATGGAACATTTTTATTTTTAGGAACATTCATTTCCCCAAAACAGACTGATAAACACTGCTAAATTTAAACTGGAAAACAAAAAGACAAAATACCAATTTGTCCGAGAACTGTTATTTTGGAAATATATTGTGTTGTTTTGTAATTTACATTCAAAATTATACTAAAATTCGCCTTAACGTTCTATGGTCGTCATCAATCAAGATATTATTCATCGCTATCACAGCATTTTGTCATTACTTCTCACACATGAATTTCACATTATCCAAAGATTTCAAAATAAATTAGAATTGAACTAACACAAATGAAATGAAATGAAAATGCAATGGGATTTAAAGTTCTGCTGTTCTGCACCGATAGGAATGGGTATGAAATGAAATGGGGTTTAACGTCCTACTGTTCTGCTCCTACAGGGCCAATGAAGACGGGCATACAGCAAATAGTGTGCTATGTGGGAAATTTTGCCCGGACAGCGATACCACGGCCTACTCTTATATCGAATTCTAACTGTCAAGTGCTCTTTTACGTGTAAGCCCATGTGTACACGGGACCTCGGGATTTTGTCCCACCCGAACGACTACAGTATATGTTGTCTCTTGCTAGGGCCTCCGTCCTGCATCACTGACACGGGGGAGCCACACCGAAAATTCTCGGTGAACTTTCTTGGTGAAGGCAGTGATCAAACACGAAACCTTCAGATTAGCGAGCCAACGTATAACACAAACGATTCATTTGAATGACCCTTTTATATAAATTTCACCGAAAGATCGTTAATAAGATTAAATGAGTTTAAAGAATACAATAAACAGAATTTGTAAGAGAAAATGACCTATTTCTTAAAGATGTATTAGATAGGATCCTACGGAATAAAAGATGTTTTACTGATTTACCTGTGTTCTAAATACCTGTAAATCAGGTTTACCTGGAGTGAATATTTTGTGACTTTCAGCTGAAAAAGGATAAGATTCGATATTAACAAGTAATACTTCTACTATTACTTAAAGCTTCAACATGCCAGCATATAGTTTAAATACAGACTTCAAGATAAATCTAATCGGAAGGAAATGTATCTAAAATACATTATGGTTCAAACTTTATTCAGATCGACCGATTGTATCCTAAATTTGACAGTGGTTTCTAATAAATTCACATCACTTGTCTTAGTCAAATTCCCCTAAAGCACAGGGAAGTCTAATCTTCATGAAGATTTTTTTATATTTTAAGATGTGCTTGGTTACATAATACCAACGGTTTTGTATTAGGATAGTACGTTTGTTTGATTTTAGAGATATAGATGAATGATCTAGTTTGGTGTGCCTTTAAAAGTAAGACCTTCTATATAGTTACATTGCTTATCAATGTCAGTCAGCTTTGAGGCACAATACCCTGTATTTGGTATGCTGTGAATTTCGAATGACCAGTATAATATAGACCGAAAGATTCCCTGGAGTATAAATCGGTAAAACTAAAAGGCTTCGACAAACTTCTGGACACAAAATCAATATTCATGAAGCTTTAAATGAAACACGAGTCCTTTTCTTCTTTCAGACCTACATTTAACCAATCATTGCAAATAAATATAACTTAACTTGATTTACTCAAAATGAATACCTAGTAATGCCGCAAATCTATTTTAGACGAAACACATTTATATTCTAGACGAAACATAGTTTATATAGGTTTCTTGATAATTTCATTAAAATCACGTGTCAATAAAGTTTCATGTTTTTCTACTCCATTACCATCTCAGATGTTTTGTTAGAGATTGACGTGAACTGGTTGACCAATCAAATTGTCTGTACTAGTATACAGAACAACGTATTATGCAGAATGGAGAATTATGGGAAAGCTTCTATGGAATGAAATGTTTTATGGCATGTGAGCACTAACGCCAAATATATGGTGTTCAACAAAGGAAAAAGTAAATGAAATCACAATACTTTATTAAAACTGATATCACAGACTAGTAAATTAAGTTAAAATATCTAAGGTACTTAAAAAAAAAGAAGAAAAAAAAAAACAAAACCCAAGAAACCCGCACCACTTCTGAAAAATAATATTACATATACAACCAGAATTTAATATAAAAATATATATGTCTCTTTAAAAAAAAAGTTTAGCACTTTACTGTATAAATTCTGATAATCTAGTGACTGCCAAAGATAATCGTATAATCTGATTTCCTTGGTATGCTTGCATGCAATCAAAATGTGCTCAACTGTCATTTGGGTTTAACGTCCACTCACACAAACCAGATCTTTTCGTGACTAACATATAGTTAAATTTAATTTCTCGATTGCGAGTAGGTGTCTTAAGCAGTGGGAGGAAACCGGAGGACCCGAAGCAAACCCACCATGTTGGACAAGCGACCCTACTCCTTGTCACGTACAATCGGGAATCGAAACCACGCCACTTTACTAATGATTGATTTTGTTATTAAGATTTGAAATCATTAGGTCAAACCAATTGGAATGTTATATTTCTGAAGGAGTGGTGGTGGCATGAAAGGGTTCGTCCACTCATTATTGTTGACGGACAGGGTGACGAGACTGACGACATAATACGCCACACTGAAATTGAAAAACTTCTATTGGTTTGGCCTTAACTTATATTAAATGAATGTCTGCTAGTAATCCATTTCATTTATATCTGAGGGGCTACTTCCACTTTTATTTTATATAACAAATATACATACCATTTCTTTGTACACTATTTATTTCATTTAACTGTATTACTGGGTTTAAATTCAAGCTAATATATGACGTATCAGTATCATTTGACATGGCTTCATATTCTTTACAGCTAACACTCGTCTTTCCTTGTTTAAAGTAATATGCGAGTGTTTCGTATACGAATTGTAGTTGACTCTAGAAAAAAATTATATTATGTTCGTAGTTCAATAAAAATAGATTGTTTAAAATTGTTGACATGTAAGTTTTGTTATACATTAATCAGGGTCGAGTTCTAAAACTCCAAAGAAATGTGCAAATTGGTGTGCATGAAGTCGAAAACGTCCAAATTCGCCCGTGCGTCGTTTCTATGGGTCCGAGCAACTGCAGATCTAGACAAACACCACCTAAACAATACACTTAACTACTTTGGTTTAGTTTAATCTAGAAGCGGTGAATTAGTCGAAAAGGTAAGTAAATGTTCCTTTAATTAGGGCCGCGTTACACCTATATCCCACAACATACCTACACAATTTGATTAAAACCCGAATAGTAGTTTAACAGAAGTAGTCGAAAACACGTGAACAAGTCTAAGGTGAGCCCAACCAGTCCTTAGTTAAGAGCCACGGTGAATTCTTTTTAAACAAATCTGACACACGGAACAACACAACTACCAAATTCAGAAGAAATTCATCAAGTACAAGAAAAAGTTAATCAGTCAAGAATGTGAAAAGTTAACTGGCGTACGACGGATAGGGATTATGATATGTCCCTTGCTTGATCCGATTAGCTATAAAAAGAAATACTGACCGCTGTTTGAATCATATTTTTTCTCTGTGCGCGCATTGTTATTATGCATCTTTTAATGTCTATTCGTCCTGTTGCTTTTCCTTCTTTTAGAAGATTGTCTAAAGCAATGTATGCACCAGACCGTCCTATACCAGCACTGAAGATAAACACAATAAATTATTTAATATATAAATGAGTCTATTTTTAACGTTAATAAATTAATTATGTGGCATTTGGCACTTTTAATTTTATGACTTGCTCTATTAATAAGTAAGGGTGTTATGAACACGAATTACTTAATTTGGAATTCATGGATAGGATTTACCGAGACAACAAATTCATATGATCAAATAAATGACCGTTGTCGAATCCTAGATTAATACTAGACTTGAATGCCACGCCCTTTTAGTTATTAGATCTTGTTTATCATTAGTTCAGAACCATAAATCTACAATTAAAGATCCCACCTGCAGTGAACTAGAGTAGGAGATTTTGAATCTGATTTATATTCTTGAACACGATATAGGTAATCTAATAAATCTCCTATATCCGGTACGCCATGATCAGCCCAAGCTGTAAAATGGAACAACATGGTCTCGTGTTCTTTACCTGTCTGAAATATGTGAACATTCAAAATACACATGAAGGTCGATAGCACATATCCCGTGGAGTTGTTTCTAGATCTAGCCACGGATTTGTTTTTTGTATTTACTTTCGAGGGTTGGAGGGGGCATTGTCATAAATTTGTAATGCTATTGTGGTTATATTGCAAAGGGGATTACATTGCTTAGAAGTCAATATTTAGCACATTTCGCAAAAACGTCCGATGGGCGGTGTTTGGAGATCGATTGACGAAGAGGTCTGAAAACGAAGTTCAACTGGGAGTGAATTCCATTTTCAGCAGTGGCTACAGCAAATCTTTTTTTCCATCCAAAGTTTGCAAGTTTCGACTCTCGAATCTTTAGCTGATTGAGATTGTTTGAACGCAACTGTCTTGTCAGGTCAGGAGCTTGTACTTTAAAGCCTATCCGAGCATTAACAGAAATGGCTTGGAGAACTGGGGTTAGTATTCAGCGATATTAAGATCTGACCATTTTTGCTGTGAAATTTTCGATTTGTTGAAGACTATAAATTTAATTAATTTCGAGGACGACTATTAAGAAGATTAATTCAGTAATAATCAAGGCGAGAGCTCTAACAGAATCATGTGTGTGAAGATGGCGGATAGAATTGATGGTTTTTTTATTATTTCAGATGGCAGTAACATTTTCCACAAAGATCATCAACTTGTTTGAAGGTCAGACATTTTTCAGCAATCAAAGCAAGCGGATACAAAACTTATTGAGGGGTTCCAATTAAAAGTATAAAGTGATTATTTACACTAGTAATTGGTTTTCGACATATTGTAAACTAACACCTGATGCAATTTCTAACCTTCAACATTCAAACTTCAAGCTTAAAAGGAATTTTCAATGTTAAATGTTGGGTTTTAGAAAGCAATTCAAGAATGACTACAAGACTTTATAATGGTGCCAAGCCCTACAGTAATTTAAATAATAACGAATTGGATCTAATGACTGGAACCAATATGGACGTCATATAGTTTCTTTGATTTTAAATCAGCCTAATTAGCAAAGATTAAATATGACACTGTAAAATCAGATCCGTGCTTGCATGCTTAACTTTTAGGTTACATATCATTTAAATCTTTTTATACCCGTTGATGGTTGATTTTTATTTTTCTACAAATATAGTTAGCTCTAACATCTTCACTTATTAGAGTAAGTTCCAATTCTCCAAACATCTTACTTCCTTCATCCGGCCAGTATTGTTCACATTTATGCTGAAAACAGAATGTTTTAGTTGACAGAAAAAATTTCTCTGACTTATCACCAGGACCAATACACCAAGAGGTGAATATAGTTTGAAAATGTTCAACTGAACCAAAGAATTCGATAGTTACAAATAGTGAACATAAGAAATGAGTTTTATTATTCATTAGACCGTTTTATTAGCGCGACTTAGGGGCTTGGTGACCGTCCGCCCCCCCCCCCCCATAAAATATATCCATATGTGTGTTCGGGGAGGGGGTGGGGTGGCAGTTCCTCCCAGTGCCACCGAGTAATGTTGGGCTGTGTTAAACATGCTAGAGTTGATTTGTAGCATATCTGACCCCCGGTATATGTTTGACACTGGTTGGGCATTATGTTTATGATTATAATGTTGAAAATTGCATTGGAACCGCGTAATTTTTTTTGCCATTTGCGAGGGGGTGCAAAAACTCAACGGGCTCAAAAACTCAAAACCATGAAGCAAAAATCGACATTGCGCCCCCATCACTTAGCCCCTTAGCCGGTTGGTGCAGAAAAGTAAGACTTTAAACCCCCCTTTCTTTTCATTTATTTGAAATTATATGTCTTGATCTTATGAAAACAATCTAAATTCAGGATCCACTGACCAATATTAGATTATAGTTCTAGACACAGAATATAACCAGAATATTTAGGATCGTAAATGTCGAGTTCGTGAAAATGTCCTGCAACTGTAGGATGTTTCTTACAAAGGCAGAAGATATTAAATTGTCAGTGGTGCAGGGCCCGGCAAGGACAACGTCTAGTCGTTCGGATAGAAAACTCAGGTCCCGGGTACACATTGGTGTGCACGTTAAATAACCATTGACATTTAACGGCTTACCTTACTACCCTCATATAAATTAGTTAACATGACAATCTTATCACATTGCTTCTCAAATATCATTCTGATAAAATTATTTAATGTCGTCTTTGAAGCTCCTGCAAATAAATAGAGAATGTCTACAATCCATGGTATACCTTTTTTTTCAATATCACCGTGTGCCTATTGTCTGTTGAAATATACCGTGGTCAATTCTTAAATAAAAAAGTACCAAATATCTGGTTTAATGCTTTTGATACCTATTGAAATCCATAACACATCTATTTAGTCGATTACAATGTTTTAAAAGTTTTAATGTACACCTTTAACTTCCGGATGTCATCCTATTGATAATATTTAATTGATTATAAATACCAACCTTGTGCAGCAATAAAAAAATTGGGTGCCTTGTAACTCTACAATGATAGAAAGGAGTAATGATACGTTGGTTGAATATCAAATTTGTACGGAGTCTGGTAATAGTGGTAAGGAGGGCAAAAAAAACCCAAGCGGTTGCAATGCAAGATACGCCCACATTTTGCAAGAGATGGACAGCGATTTTCGTACAATAAGAGGTCATTATCTAGGATGTTACGGTCCGACATGCGTCAATATAGAAAGGAATATAAACACATATTTTAAGTTTCATCAAAATCAGATAACAATATTTTTGTGACCACTAGACGGTCAACAGCCTTGATAATTACATACTTTTAAACTATTTGCGTACGGGGAGCGGCCATTTTGTCTGGCAGTTTCGGTCGAATTTTCACGAAATTTGTGACCTATAGAGGGTCCACAAGCTAAAAACACAATTTTTCGTACAATCATGGACCATAATCCAAGGAGTAACGGTCCAATATGCGCCAAAATGGAACGGAATCCAGATCTTTGGGTTATAAACATACGTTTTAAGTTTCATTAACATCAGGTCCACAACCTTGGCATTACATACTTTACACTATTGGCAATTCGGACATATAATTTTACGAAATTCGAACTCAACCGTCATTATGGTGTAACGGTAATATATTAGAACGGTTTTTAAAATCGGGTAAAAATTATGATCTCCATAGGGTGCATAAGCTAAAAACGTGATTCTTTTTTCGTACAATCCGGCCAGAATCGAAAGACACCGCGATCTTTGGGATATAAACCTATATTTCAAATCGTCAAAATCGGATAAAAATTGTCACCTGCAGAGTGTCACGGACGGACAAGGTCGACGACACTATACGTCAATATATGACAATGTTGGCGTATAAAAATACATCTTGCGCGCTAGATTAGATATTATCCAGAGAGCACTGGATAATAAGTAGCGCGATCAAGTTATAAACGTGGTCCTACTGTTCCCATTGAAGACGGGCATACGCCCCATACTGTGTTCTATAGGTGAAATTTTGTCCAGACAGCGGTGCTATCTATGGCCTACTCTTATATCGAATTTCAACTACGACGAATTCTTTTACGTGCACGCCAATGTGTACACGGGATCTCAGTTTTCCATCCCATCCGAATGACTATACGTTGCCCCTTGCCAGGCCCCCCGTCTTGCACCACTGACAAGGCGGAACCACGCCGGAAAATCCCGATGAATTTTCTCGACCAACGCAGGGATCGAATACGGGACCTCAAGGTTAGCGAGCCAACGTTTTACTCACTGAACCACCGTGGCTCCCCGTTTTGTATATAGTTAGTGCATAACAGATTATGGCGTTACAACAAAAAATAACCACCGTGACCGTCAACGGGTTCTTGCCCCAAAACATTTTGCTACATTAACAATTATAGCACAATTCCCCTGAATAATTCAAGGACGGATACAGTCTTTCAAAACAGGTTGGTCCAGGGGGTCGGAAATCGACCTTTGCGATTGAAATGGCCAGGCTTTATGTTGATGGTTAATATTCCTGAATCGTATAATGACTATGAAAAGGTGACAAGAAGTGTAATGGATTTATCATTGAAGTCAATTAGTCTGGGGAAAGAATTACTTGTCTACTTAACAAAAGGGACATTACTCTATTTAAAGCAACGCACAAACGTCAGAGGATGGGAACAGCGATTATATTTTAAAAAGTTGATATTATCATATTCTATATCACAGCAATTCCAAAACAATAATTTTGACTTCCAACACATTATTAATGACAAATGAAGCTTAAGACAGTCATAGAAAACACCTAAACAACACACTAACATACACAATAAAATTTAAACTGAATAAACTTACATCCATATAGCTAGCGTTAATATAATCAGAATATGGATCTTGACCTTGTTTCTTTAAGGTAACTCTGTTATAATCATCTGAAAAATAATGGAAAACTATATACGTAACAATTTTTATCCTATATCCTATCAGTATTATAAATTATTATTTTCTGTTATGCTTCTGATTTATTTTTTATGTTTTAAAAATCTTAGTATTCTGAATCACTTATTCTGCATTATGTTTCTCACATAGGGGGGTTGGATGCCGAATGGTTAGCACGTGCGTGCTGTATCATGAGGCCTGTCATTGAGTCAACTGGCGTGGTTTCGAATCCCCGGTTGTACGTGACAAGGAGTAAGGTCGCCTGTCTAACCTCGTGGGTTTTCTCCTGGTTCTCCGGTTTCCTCCAACTGCTAAAAACCCCTACGCACAAGCGAATTATTGAAAAAAAATTAAACCATTTGTTAGTCCCGAAATGACCTAGTTTATGATACAGCGCGCGCACGCTAACCATTCAGCCATCCAACCCCCCCATTTCGAATGGTCTACGTGGAATGGTGTATTATAGATCATAAGGTCTGTGATCGATTCAAGTGTCATGGTTTGCATCCTAGGCTTGTAGGAGTAGGTACCCTATAATTTCATGGTTTCCTCCTACTACCAAAGCCCCTTACAAATTAGTGAATAAAGATACGCGGTTAGTCTTGAAATGGCCTACTTTATGCCCCCCCCCCCCAAATTGATCACCTGCTCTGTGATTTTAAAGTTGATGGGAATTAACAAGATTTGATCTTTATTCTTTACTTACATGGATAATAGCCCTGATATCGGTTCTTTCGACGGTTTTCAGTTATCTGTGAAACATCAAACGCCGCCATAAAACCAGACGGAAGAAGCTTTAATAGAAGATTTACATTATTTAAAATTGTCAATTGCAATAGTCAGGTTTTAATAAGGCAGAAATAAAGTGTTGAATTTATTTAAATTGTTATATAGATCTACGCAATCGTTTGTAAATATGATCTTTTTAGAATTAAAATTATAGACATCAGCAATTATCTATGTAAGGTCAACAGAATTCTTTTCTCGGTCAATTTCCCGAAAACCAAAAACATTTTGATGTATAATATTAATGAGTGACAACCATGAATAGAGAAGTCGTCGCGTTTATTTAAGCAGACAATAAGAAAACCTAAAGCGAGATTTTGGATTTGCTGGTAGATTACAGGTGTACCTGTTATACAGATAACACATGCATCGATAGAACAGTGTTTGTTGGGTGTAGATCTATCTAACGAAACACTAGGATGAGCATTGCGTTTGCGATTAGATTATGAGTTTACCTTATAAATAGTTTGAAACGAATCATTTCTCTTTAAATCCTCCACTAATTCTCCAAGATCTTTTATAGGTATAGAATTATCTTCTGTAATATCTTTATCCTTATCTATATTATAATATGTATTATCATCATCATCTATTAAAGAGTTCAAAGAACCGATATCTGATTTATTGTCCTGTACAACTGACACCACTGGGAAATCTTCCGTTGTCTTTTGTATTATTTTAACGTTTTCATATGCTGGTTCTATCACTTCAACAAATAATATAAAAATATAATTAGTTTTTAATCCTTTCTCGTGAATTACAATACAACTGAATTATATAATCAAACATAGACAATATGAGAAGAAAAAGTAAATAGCAATCGCAACATGGGTTTACTGGGGAATATAAACTTAGACGTTAATCCTCGCTCAGCTGGTCCTGTGGTCCAACCCTTTTGGTGCAAAAGCCATATATACATGATCTGAGAAAACGTGAGAAATGGGGTTTACCGTCCACTCGACACAAACTAGGTCATTTTGGGACTAACATATGGTTAATTTTATTTCATTAATTTCATTAGGGGTCTTTAGCAGTGGGAGGAAACTGGAGGACCCGGAGAAAACCCACGAGGTTGGACAGGCGACCCTACTCCTTGTCACGTACAACCGGGGATTCGAAACCACGCCAGTTGACTCAATGACAAGCCGTATGATACAGCACGCACGTGCTAGCTATTCGGCCATTCGGCCATCCAACCCCCCCATACATGATCTAAACATAACCACAAACAGTAATCCTTGAATCAACCATAACTGCCTAGTAACAATATTCAGTTAGTTAAATATTATTCCGAATATATTTGACACGATTATGCCATCCTTTCGATAGTTTCGTATTGTAAATATGTGATTACCTTGTTTCTTATTAATGGTAGAATTTACTGCTTTTTTAGTTTCAAAGGTTGGTATCCCATCCTGTTCACGTCTATCAAAAAAAAATATATACAATAATAATAAAATACCAGACATGCAAATAAAATACACAAAATAATAACATATCATACATGCAAATAAAATGCATATCATACACACAATATAATAAAATGTAAGACGTGCAAATAAAATAGACAAAATAATAAAATATCAGATATGTAAATAAAATAGACAAAATAATTATAAAATACCCTACATGCAAATAAAATACACAAATAATAAAATACCATACATGCATATAAAATACCATACATGCAAATAAAATACGCATATAATAAAATACCAGATATGCAAATAAAATACACAAAATAATAAAATATCAGATATGTAATTAAAATACACAAACAAATAATAAAATACCATACATATAAATAAAATACACAAATAATAAAATATCAGAATGCAAATAAAATACCAGACATCTAAATGCACAAAATAATTATAAAATACCGGACATGCAAAAAATTTACACAAATAATAAAATATCAGACAAGTAAATAAAATATACAAAATAATAAAATAGCAGACGTTCAAATAATAAAAAAAAATATAGGACATGTAAATAAAAAGGTGATAGTGTATATGAGTTTCATGTTTTTACAGACAGGAGAACTTGGCTACAAAACACACAGAAAAATAACCTACAAAGTTATAACAGATAAAATCGTAAACATAGTTATTAAAGGTAGGTAGGCTATTTCCCTAAAAAGGATTGTTCCATTCAGAAGAACTTAGTGGAAGAGAAAATGGTATATGGCTAAAAGAGAAGGATATAAACTCTAGCATAAGCTTTGTATATATTCTTCTGGTTTTACCTTCGTATAATAAATATTATGATACATATTACAATTCCTATCAGTAATATGGCAACACCAATTCCCACATGTAGTCCAATATTTGAGTGTTCCTTTTCTTGAACGATAGCTGTAATAAAATAACAAGGTTAGAAATACAAATTAATGTTTCTACATGTACCTATTTTGTTAATGTAATGTCATTTAAAATGTGCCATATTCAACAGTATGGGGTTTTGTAGAATGTTTCACATATTCAACAATATGGTATTTTGTAGAATGTTTCATAATATAAAACATTGTAATCTGAAACGATTTGAAAACCAGTTACAGTGGTGTGGCATTTGAATGATGGCGTCTAGAAAATTGTTTTAAAAGATGATTCTAGTAGTTGTCATCGTTATTTATCCATTCTTAAATAGGTGGATCACCTCTTTGAGGTTGCCCTAAAAGATACTGGAAGATAAACGCTAAAGGGATGAAATGAAATGGGGTTTAACGTCTATTTTCTCTGCATCATCCAGTCTAACGATGACGGTATGTATGTATAATGCTCTGTTTACCTTGCATACAGTCAACAGATGTATAACCATCTAAACAAATTCCCGAACATCTTCCATCAGAAATAGGACAATCTATCATGTTAGCACATTTCCTATCATCACAGCTATATTTACAGTCTACACCATACCTACTATCATCACATTCTGAAACATAATCCTATTTATTTATTTATATATCACAAATTCTAAATAAATTAAATCTGATTAAATTACGATATCTTAAACCATGACACAATCATATGGAATACAAGTTGCTTAGATGTTTATGCCAGTGACAGTTCGTGGTTCCCAATCAAAAATTGCTGCTTAAAGGAGCTAAGTCGCTAATATTTGGAACCTAGAAATTGACACAAATAAGTCTCAACACATACAATAATGTAATATGAATGTATATAAATTGATTTACATTCAATCGTTTCTGATTTTACTGTAATTTCTAATCAGTTGGGTTCGGCGAAATACGCCAGTATTCTCAATCGAATTTCAATCTCTAGCCTCTGGTTATTCCAGTCTACACCGATAGTATTTATTGGGCATGCTTCTCCAGATAAGAATATAGCGTCACCGTTTGATATGACTTGTGGAATATGTCTAGCCTAGTTTTTCGAGTCCCTTATTACAAATAGCGCTGAAACGCATTATGGTACACGATTCGTGTACCAATTGTAAAATGTTTATTTTGTCTTAAATAATGGATATCAGAAGACCATCTTTTCCCGGTAAGATCACAACATCAGTGTTGATTTAAACCGACAAATAATTTGTGTTTTCCATGTCGAAGATTTTGGATGATACTGAGTTAGAGACTTAGCTACTTTAAACAATTTAAAATCAGATGTTTAATTTGCAAGTTATACTACATTGATATCTAACATGTTCTGTTAAAGTCAGCGTCCAGATCACGTGAAATTTTTGACCGATCAAATTGTCTGTATTAGTACACTGAGCTGCGCGTTGTGGAGAATAATGGGATAGCACATTGAAGTACTGTCTACTCTTCCAAACACTAACAGAACATCACGATCACGACTAAATGAAAAGAAATTATTGCACTCTTAATTTTAATTAATTACGTTTGTGATTTATACCCCCCGCCCCCCACGCCCCCTTGCATTAATAAAGATAATCGTAACCTACCTACCTTTAACACAGTCAATGTCTGTATAACCTGGACTACATCCTTTATCACATTTACCATCTATATTAATGCATGAACTAGATGATTCATTAGAACAGTGACGTGATGTACAAGCTTGGGAACAATTTACTCCATAGCTTCCCTGGGAACATTCTGTTAAAAAATGTTTTAATAATAAACATCCAGTTATGATCATAATACGAATTTCATAAAGATTTTTTTAAAAAAACCCAAAAAAAACCCAACCAAGACCGCTCCCTTGGAAATGTTGTATGATGTATAGCAAATAAGATCAAGTATCCCAGTTATACTACCTGGTTATGTGGTCATAGATTAAAGGGCAATGTTCGTGTCAACCAATATTACAGTTAATCCGTAACAAAGATTTGAAGAATCGGTTAATGCAGCAAAACAAGAAAAACAGAAATTATCTTTACTGTATGGAAAAAAAGCGATAAGAGATACACGGTCGATTTTCAGCTCACTAATAATTCTTTTGAAGGCGAACAGTTATATGAGAGTGTGAGAGGCTATCTGTTCGGCATGAACTATTCATAAAAAGAATTGACTTTCACGAGATAAGAGAAAGCGAGAAAAATAGAAAAAGTCCGTACATTCCCTTGTTTTTATTAATTCTCTACTTACACATTTTAAGCGATAATTTTTGTTCGCGCAGAATATTGCATCCAGGGATTATTTTGGGAAAAGCAAGCACGAACGATTTTCAGTAGCTAATCAGAGTGCAAGATCAACAATCTTACATGGTCAAATCGTCAATGCGCCTAATTCTGTGAATTTCCGCGCGTGTCGCCGCTCACTATAAATGGCTGTTAAAGGGCCGTCTATCTGAACGCCTAGGGACCGGCGATTCTAGTTAAACCAATTTTGTTTAATATGTATTCATTGACCGGGAATATCGCATAATTCCTGACAAGTCATCACTTTCTCTTCAAATTAGCAATTTGACTGGGTAACATTACATATCGTATATAGTGTAGTAGGATGCCGTACTGTGTCGTGTATTGCTTGTCAACAGTGGGGGTGGGGAGTGAACTTAACACGTAGGATGCCGTACTGTGTCGTGTATTGCATGTCAACCGTGTAGGGATGGGGAGTGGAGTTAACACGTGCGATATAGATTATGGCCTTCTCTTCAATTCAAATGTCTTTGCTTCATCTAACACTTGTATGCGATACGGTGTAGGGTTTCCTACCTAACACCCATCACCGGATTCCCCCACTGCAAGCAAATTATTATGTTAGCAACAAAGTGACCTAATTTGTGTTGTTTGGGCAAAATTAAAGGAAAATTGAAGATTGATACGTACGTTTGTTGTTTGTGATGTCTGTATATTTTGTCTTATCCGTGGGTTTGTAATATGTAATTGTTGGTGTGTGGTGCAGTCCCCCTACACTTACTATTCACATAATGTTAGAAATGAAATGAAATGAAATGAAATGAAATGAAATGGGGTTTAACGTCCTACTGTTCTGCTCCTAACCTGGGCTAATGAAGACGGGCATAATGTTAGAAGATTAAATAGTTTACCTTGGGTACAATCAGTACCGATATAACCCGGACTACATCCTGCGTCACAGGCACCAGTAACATAATCGCATGGTGCTGTAGAGCTCGAACAATGGCGATCAGAACAACGTCGTGCACAATTACGACCATAAAATCCATCAGGGCATCCTGTAATGAGATTATTTATGAACTTAATCTATGGTTAGAATAACTACATGTACATTTTTAAATTCCTAAAATGGCAATGAAATTATATACACTATCACTGAAGTTAACCATAATCATTTTTGTCAAATTTCTTCTTCTAAATGTCATTCAAAATTACGTAAAATAAGTTATAGACACTTGTACCAATAAAACAACCATCCTTATAACCATAGAATAATCTGGCAGGAATCTTGTTAATATTTATCATTTATCTACCACAAGAAATTCAACACTACTGGAATATCGTGTCCCTTCTTTAACCGCTGAAGTCAGGCCCAGTAGAGTTCTACGTGTGACGTCACGTCATAATGGCGTCGATAACACGTGTTTTGTTTAAATAGGGCGAAGTTATACAAACTGGTTGGGGCATAATTGGTGCCTTTTACTCATTTTACGCCTCCTCGTACTATTTTATGTACCCAGGATATCTATTTGCATCCATTTATACTTTAAATACCTTTTTTGCTTAAATAATATGTTTAGAAAATATCGATTGTTGATTAACTCGCCCCCTTGTAATCCCTATCAGTGATATTGGCGGCTCAGCAAATATTTTTACTATTGATCAGTTTAAAAATTCGTGCATGAAGTTGGTAGGAGTATAAAGTATGAAGGGTCGAGCCTAGACGAACGAGGTACCAATATCTGACCATATAGCCATCTACATAATAACCTGGGATGTACAGAGATGGGCGTCTGTCGGGGGCCATTCCCTGAGTGTGGCCCTGGTAACCCTTAGAACTCATGCATTCAAGGTACCTGTCGAAACCAATTTCAAATGAAAAAGTACATCTCACTGAGTATGGAATTGACACCAAAAATATGGACCCCAGAGGGCTTGAAAAAGGGCTATATTCATACATTCGAGGTACCAGTTGAAACTAATTTTTAACGAAAGGGTAATTACAAGATGATCAGGATATTGTTTTTTCATTTGATTGACCCTAGTGGTCTTCCGTAGTACTGACATAAAGAGAACCTAAGTATCATTATATGACAAAAGAATATGACAGTACTATAGACATGGATCTAACTTACTCTGAGTACAACTTTCCCCTTGATACCCAACAGCACACCCACTTGTACATTGACCTGTGACGTAATCACAACGTTCCGATGGATTTTCACAGTAACATAGAGAAGAACAGTCAGGTCCAAATGTTCCCAAGGCACAAACTACAATAAAACATCAAAACAATTACATATAATAATCTTAAAACATAAATAACAAGTTCATGTTAAATAGATATCCCATCGACATTGGAAATGTATAATTTTGGGGTTATTATTGCTTGTTCTAATGAGTATTTCAGAATTTCAAGGTTTTTATTCGCACATACTCAACGTCCGCGCGATATAAACAATGGCCTAATATGGTTTATTTCAATAATACACTTATGCGTTAGCAGCGGGGGAAACCAGAAGACCTGGGGGAAACCCAGAAAGTTGGACAGGACATCCTACTCCTTGTCACGTATACAGGTGGGAAATCGAAAGCACGCCAGTTGACCCATCTTATTAACGTGCATGCGTTAGACCCCCCCCCCCCCCCACACACACACACCCGAAGTACAAAACAAACGGTGTTTAATACAAATCTAATCTGATTTATGTAAATATCAGACAGGGAGTCAATCTTTACTTATTTTTGTTTCTTTTACTGATTTTAGTAAAATAGAGTCTATATACTACAAACTATGAGGGACGCCACTGCGGTTTGGACACAGATAGTCTGTACAATTTGTTCACACACTGACGGCCCAGTTTATAGCCCCGTCCCCGTCGGAATAAGTTTTGAATTGTCGATTAGGTAAAGTGTCTCCGGTAGCATAAAAAATAAATTCGGAATATAAAACTTGACAGCTTGACTGTATATTACAAACCGTATACTTCCAGTTCACACAGCTCTACAACACATGGGTTGGAATAAGTTATCGGTCGAGATCTTTGATTATAAAACCTCACAGCTGTAGCCATGGCACCGCCACAGTCAACAGTAATAATATCAGTTGTTGGAAATTCAGTTTGTGTGTAACATGTCTTCTCAAATTGCCCACGAAGATATAACTGTAGTTGAAATCCTTGTAGACGCGTAAAAGCTAAAAGAATAGAAAATTAAAGGTTGTTAATATTTATGATAAGCTTTAAATGATTATACCGTTAAAGAAAATACTGTTACGCCAAGTTACACTAGGAAATAGTAAACACGAGACGTTGCTCCACAGTTGGCCGCGGAATGTAATATATATTAGGATCCACGGGACAATCATGTATTAATTGGGATAGATAGATTTGTATGTGGATTATTTGGTTGTAACCAAAAATTTATCTTGAGACGTGTGTCTGAATTAAGCTTTGTTCTTCATTCAGAATGTGTTATTTGTGTTCTCTAGATTAAATGTCCATAACCAAAGAGCTAGATTAAACATACATTATGCAAGAGCTAAATCTGTCTATTGCAGGTCTTTCTTTAGGCCTGAAATGTTATCTAAATTATTAATTAGATATTAATTAACCTACCCAGACCATAATCAACTCTAGATGGCGTCGTTAGCCTGCGAACTTTAGTGGATTGTGAGCCGATTTACTTCATAACTTTCCTACACGATTTAAGGATTAAATAAATAATCGAGACTATGCTGTTTATCGTACTGACTTTAGTAATGATGATCAAGGCTAGGCGGAAATTCAATCGCTTTGTTCTCGGTTCATAGTGGATCAATTTGAATGAAATTTTCAGCAAATTGCATTTACATTAGCTAGTTTTTAACTATTATAGTGAGAACTTCCAACTCGTTATCGAATCTCCCATAATGTATCTTTAATTGTCAATTTTCGCACTTACATCCTTTACGATAAAATATTTGAATTTGGTTTATTGGAAACGAAGAACGCAGGTAAACCTCCCAATATGCTGTCAGGATACCATATGGGTCATATCTTGTATGAGCACATACACCAGGGGGTGTACCAGAGTGTTTTACATTCTGATCTCTATTTCCATCATTGGCATTTGATGACTTCCATTCTCTCCTAAAATATGAACTCTGGACAGTATTTCTTCCGATGGCAACGTTTTCTGAAATTGGAGATTTTATTAGCAAACACTTATAATGAAATTATGAGACATGGTCAAATTAAGGATAATATACAGATATCTAACATGTCAAATTCCAATTTTTCCAACATTTCATGCCGTTTGGTTTTCGATTGTTTACTCAACTTTATTTGATCATGTGGCGCGTTCGGTAACGGGAGGTTATGATTGGTCGACTTTATCTCAAACTACCAATTATCCAGACATTTTATTAATAACATTAAATGATGGCCAAGGGCACTAACAGACTGACTACGGGCTTTTCTTAAACATGTCTTTATATTTAATTTAGTTACTGATCGATAAACTAAACGGAAATATATAACGAAACGATATGTGTTCCTAACTAATATCATTAAGCAAATCAATTAATTTCAGTTGATAGCATTTGACAGTTGCTACCAATACCTTATAATATTATTGTTATATAAAATATGGTACTCAGTTCATATAGTGACTAACTTAAAAAGTAAATAAATCAATAGCCAAAATAAAAAAAAAATCCAAATTGGAACGGTTCTCAGCACCGAACGCTCATGTTTGACCCGTTTACACAACAAAACGATTAACCGTTGCGCTCTTGGAAACTTTCCTGATACGCTTAAAATGTGTAATGTAAAGGGGGCTATTGATATTGTTATTATGACCATATAGATAAAGCACTCTAAAATTTACAATTATCAATTTATAAACCACCTACCTTGTTGACAGATACTTCCATGCCAACCTCTATCACATACATTATTAGGACATCTTCCTGAAATTCTATCACAAATTCTATTCTGACCACAGTGACACGTATAACGACCATCATATCCAAACGTTTGCCCTAAAAAGAAGAGAACAGCCAGAAAGTCAACAAAATTTTTCATGCAAGGGCGATTGCTACAAATACAGGCACTGAATTCGTGAGTTCCGGGGAATCAATTATTACTAGTCTTGGTCCAACTGATGTGTGAAAATGGACTAAATACTCATGCGCCACTGCCACAGTGACTTTTCTGCCACTTTTGCTATCATATTTGCACCAGAAGAGTCGATACCTTATTCCATATGCAACACAACACGCCCAGGTACAAAACGGCAATTACGCCCAATAATGGATGTGATAGTTGTCAAAATCGTGAAAAAATCCGATTTATGACCGAATATCCCAGCTGTGGGTTTTGTTTAGCCATTATGCGGAATTATGTGTTATTCAGTACGATTATCATGACGTCATAATCGGCATATCAGAATAGTGCACAACATTATTTTCAGATGTGATTTTTTTCGTATCTACCATCGTATTTTCTAATCAGTAAATTTTTAATGAAACAATCATTTTCATTTTCTATATCTTTCGTTTTTATGTTTCAATTCAACTTTCAAGTTTCAATTTTTAGACCCGAAAGGGGGCGTGTGTGTCAAATGCAAGTCCAAGGTAAAGGTGATTTTTGCGCCGGAATCGAGGTGTATTCTTGAAGGTACTCCACCATCACAAGGCCACTGATCTGGTACGGGTTGTGCAACATTAAACAGTCTGTGACTTTCCTAGTTCCATGCCGTCACGGTGTCTGAATGGGTAAGGAACTGGCTCACTAATGTCGGGATTTTCCAGGGTGGTTTCTCCAGGAGGCCCGGCATGGAACAGTGTCTAGTGATTCGGGTGATCATATGTAGACCGGTTTGTCCTCATGCAAAAAAGTTGGACGTTAAACACCATTACATTTTATATCCATATCATAATACAATATATTGTCGGATCGGTGCCTGTGGCGTAGCTATGATTTCTCACCGATGAGTAAAACAACTTAGACAGCTGAATCGGCCGATAAAATGAAAAAAGAAGATATTTTAGATATTTTAAGCTAGATAAATACAAATACGCCTTTATATCCATGTTTTTACGTTTCATATTTATTTTCTATATCCCATTCTAAATTTATGGCATTAGGTTTGTATGAAGAAATTTGACTTTATGCAATAAAATTTGTGTTTAAATGAAAAAGTTATCGGCTTTCAAAATACATACCTGTCGGTTAAAAAAATATCCATTTCAAGTTAGGTTTTAAGTATGCTGGTGTGAGTGTCTATTCAGTAGACAGGTATTAATTAGCAATCACCCGAATTGTTTATTAATTTAAACTTAGTTAAATTCCAATATTTTAAACCACACAACGAAATAGCGTCGATTTTTTTATATAAAAAAATCCATTAGTTGGCACTACTACCAGATCACTGAATAATATGTCAAACTATCAATCTTCCGTCTAATTGAGTAACATGTCAAATGTAAAATAATGTTAATAGATGTAAAGATTATTTTTTTATAATGAAAGAGGAGCCACGGTGGCTATAGGTGCTGGTTAAGACGCTGGCTCGCTAGCCTGGAGGTCGGGTGTTCGATCCCTGCATTGGCCGAGAAAGTTCATCCAGATTTTCCGACGTGGTTTCCTCTTGTCAGTGGTGCAGAACGGAGGGTCTGACAAGGACAGCAGTCTAGTCCTTCGGATGAGACGAAAAACCGAAATCCCGTGTATATATTGGAATGCACGTAAAAGATCCCCTGGCATAGCACACTGTATGGCGTATGCCCATCTTCATTAGCCCAATTCGAGCAGAACAGTATGACGTTAAACCCCATTTCATTTCATTTCATTTTTATAATGAAAGAATATGTAAATTACCACCAGACTGTTATTAGGATTTATCACCCAATAATACATTCTACAGTAGATGTCGCTTGTGTGATATATTTCATAATCTACTGCGATATCTCCTTAGGATTGGTCAGTTGAAAAGGAACTACCCTTTTTTTTTTTTTCAAAGAACAGTTCATTTCTTATTAAAAGTAACTTTTTAAAATTAAAAATGAACTATTGTTATTCAATTGACCTTGATAGAAACATTGGGTCAATAGAATGGTTGAATTGCTGTCCAAAAATGATGTATCACTACGCCGTAAAGTTCAGTAAAAGTGAAATCTACAGCAAAGAATTATATTTATCTATTTGTGCATGTAAGAAGGGATTGGGTGATAAATAAAATCTCCTACTCGTCTTTTTTGATATCAAAAAATATCAACACTCGTTGATAAAGTAAAGAAAACTCGGCAGAGCCTCGTTTTTTGTTACTTTATCAACTTGTGTTGATATTTTTTGATATCAAAAAAGACTGGTAGGAGATTATCTATTTATCAATCGGATTAAAGTATTTTGAAATTAGTGGACAAAATTAGCCAACAGAATATTATCAATTCTCGTAGTTCCAAGTTAAGTCGCAATGTTTGCAATATAAAAAATAGGCTTGAGATACACACTTCCTTATACGTCACTGGACGAAATCTCCATAATTCTTACAGATAGAGGTCGATTTTTAAAACACACATCAGTGGTCGGTGTTAATTTCATTTTTAAAAAACTCAGATGTTTTACAAGGTCTATAGGGCCTAAACCGTATACCACCCCAATCAATCTCGGTCTTCATCATCCCGGTTGGTGCAAAAAAGTAGGACGTTAAACCCCATTTTAATTCATTTCATGTTATGTCCACAGCTATTCTTGGTTATCCATTATCAACCAAATGAAAATTTCTCATAGGTTTTTATGACAAAGTGTTAAAGTGTATTTCATCGTCAAGCTCCCAGCGACCAAACCCTTTTTTTGCCTAAACGTACACTCCACTACACTTATTGGTTTAAACAAACCTAAACGTTCGGAGCAAAACAGTAGGACGTTAAACCCCATTTCATTTCACAAACCTAAACTGTAGTCTCCATGAAACGATTATAATAGCATTCATTTGGAAACATACTTAATAACTACCAACTTAATAACAAAACAATAATATACTAATATAAATTTCACTTTTCCCCATTTAGCTTGAAATTGGGACCTTTATCAAAACAATGGTTTATAATTATATTATTTAAAATAACAAAGTTCATTCTTCTGTACCAACCTGACACAAAGGGCGTAAATAATGTCCATATTAAAAGAAACTGAATTCCAAACATATTCCATCGAAATGTTATCGCCATTCTATCTCATTAAACTGCGATGTTTGATTTGTTATCGTTCTAACCGGATGTAAAATAGGATGTGATAGTGTATCATCATCAAATGACAGACAGTTATAATGTATAAATACCATAGGTCTTCGAGACATATTGTGACGACTATTATACCGGCATGTATATTATTTCTTTCTTAAATTAGTTTGTAATCAGACCCGCTGGAGTTGGGGAAGCCCCCCCCCCCTCCCTTAATTTGGCCGCAAGCTTTTCTCCCAAAACCCCGTTATGCTCTAAATATACTAATTCCTGCAGGTAAAGAGACGCTCATTTGCGACGGTAACGATTAGTTAACTGAACAGTCGCTCTTTATTTCAACCCTATCTCACTTTTGTTATATCTAACACAGATTGGGTAATTAAAAAAAAACCCCGACGAGATAGGGTTTTTCTCACACTCTTTCCCTGTGTCCCTAATTATCTATCAAATAATTCACTGCTATCAGTTGTGGCCTGTTTACACAAGCAGTTGCCATGCAAAATACGCCCACAATTTCCAAGAAATGTATGGGGAAGAGGTAAAATCAATAGGACTCATCCTCTTCTTCAAGATCTTTTGATCCTTAACATATATTTAAGTTTCATCAGAATGGGATAACAATTGTAGCCCCCTCTGGAGGACCTAAAAATTCATACATATTTCACATTTTACGTAAAAAGCAGGGGCTATCTATAGCTCTAGAATGTAAGGTCTGATGCGTACCAAAGTCGAACTCATCCAAGAACTTTTGATCTTTAACACATAGTTTAAGTTTCATCTCATGAATCGGACAGACATTGTAGTTTCAGGAAGGTTCACAAACTTCATTCATATTTCACATTTTGCGTAAAATTGAAGTCACCCAAGAGCTAGTTTTAAGTTCATCTAAATCGGATAAAAATTCGGACCTCTATTTGCGTTTTCTATTTGCGTAAAGAGGAGTAGTCATTTGACTGAAAGCTTCGGTCCGATTTTTAGGCAATTCGGACTCAATCATACTCAACCATAATTATGATGTAACGGTGATATATTTGAACGGTTTTGAAAATAAGATACAAAAAAAAATGCTGACCTCTAGAGGGTCCACAAGCTCAAAACGTGATATTTCATACAATCAGGAGTCATTACGGTCCAGTACTCGCCAATATCGAAAGGAACCCAGACCTTTGGGATATATCAAAATTGGATAAAAATTCGAACCTCTGGATGGTTCCACAGCCTGGGTATTACATGCTTTTAGGGCTGCGGCCATTTTGTCGAACAGTTTCGGTCCGATTTTCACGGTGATATATTTGAACGGTTTTGACAATCGAATAAAAACTGTGAGGTATAAAGGCCCACTAACTAAAAATGCCGAGATCTTTCGGTTATAAACATACATGGTCAGTTTCATCAAAATTGTATAAAAATTGTGATCTCTAGAGTGTCCATAACCTTGGTATTATTATGCATCACAGGAACCACCATCGACTGTGTTTGCATGGTAAGGGATTTAGAAAAGAAATAAAATTTTGCTTCATTAGCCGGAAAGCGTCCTAGGATGGTAGCCCCTCGCACCCCCCCCCCCCTCCTCCCAAATCAAGAATTGCTTCTGCCAGCCCTGGTATATTATGTCAAAGCTTCCATTTCGTGTATCTCACAGAAAAAGGGAAAGGTTGGTTATCAGTGAATCTCGTTTTAGTTTGAAATTAAAATGCCAAATTTCGAAGAAATAGTCTATTTTCCTTTTCAGAGGGTTTCAACTACAGGTATTGAAACAAATGCCAACACAATTTATATGGTAACTTATCCCTTTTCTACTAAAATCCCGCCATACTTTTCAGCTCTTACTTTTTTTTGTTGTAAACTTTACAAAGAGGCAATAAGCACAGCAATAACCCGTAAATACTGGAAAACAACAAAATATAGTGAGAAGTTTCCATTTTCTTGGGGATTAATGAAATATAGTACTGTATTGTTGCGATATGGAGAATAATGAAAGTATAACGGAAATATAACAAATTTGTACATGTCGAGAATTTTAATTATTTCGGTGACTAATGAAATTGACATGCAACTTTTATAACATTATGAATAATCAGGAAAGGAGTGGGGCTTGGGGTTAAACTTATCTTTCATAAACTAATCTTTGGATTGGCTATACAGTTATTGATGATATTTTTCATTGAGACCTAGGGAGATCGCCAACAATATTCAAAATTATATGTAGCCAAAACAATAGCAAAGCCATTTTCTTGAACAGTATAAACACGCGAAGATTGGCCGTTAGAGCACCCGCAACTACTCTATCAAAATTCACTAACCACAGGTCGTATTCTAGGTCAATTTGTTATTTCCGGGAGCTTGAAACAACTTAATATAAGTCTTTCATACTCTTCACAATGTTTCGTTTGATAAGACCTAATCCCCCTCAAACACAGTCGTACTCACCTAAAATATATGTCCCAAATTAAGAAAGGTTAACAGTCCGATTCACACTGATCAGCAGTGAATTTTTCGCTAGGCAGCTACAATCTCTGATAAGGATGACATCGATGCGACTTAATGAGCCAGAAATATTAACTTTTTTCCTGCGACAAAATTAAATTCTAAAACATTTTTTTTATGTATTGGAAAAATAAATAAAGGCGTTTGACGTATTTGTAAGTAAAAATTATTTCCTATTTAGTGTAAATGTGTACTAAAATAACTAAAAGGCAGCATTCCGCCCGAAGCAGTAATGTCTTATGTAAAGAATGCACGCGCCATTCAGCCAATGATTGACGCCGCGGGCTGTGACGGCACGTGTTAATGCAGTCATCTTTGACAGATATATTACTCTAGACTCGTAATTCTCTGTGAAACAGATTGAGTCCGATCAACAACCAGTACATTTCTACGTAACTAAATCAATCGGGATTAACCAGAGCTCTAAATATGTTACCGTAAAGTGTCTGGTGACAAACGAGGCTACATTACGTCATAACGCACGAAATGTACTACGCCTGATACTAGTGCGTAACAGACTAGTCTCGATCACCCAGAACCCCCTAGTCTTTACATCATTGTACAGAGGGTCCGGTGTGACAGTTTGAATTGACTCCCGGTGTGTGTTTGCTCCTGGGCATTTGCGCATGTCCGAAACTGTTGTTAGCGTTCAAAAGGAAGCTATATCTACTTCCGGTGGTGTGAGATGGTTCCTGATCAGTGATCAGTTCAGGAAAAAGTATTACTATTTGGTTACAGTTTTGTCATTAATAAACAGACTTGTTATCGTGATTAGCTGTTGTTTTAGTGATCAGTAGTTACCCGATCAACGGATCTAAGCTGATTGGCTTGAAATCGATACTTCTATCGTTCGTGATTTGCTGCCGTTTTTTTTTTTTTTTTTAGTGATGAGTGGTTACACTTTTTGATGTTTTAACTATGTTTTAATAATTAACTATTTTGCAGATTGAATATTGGCCTTTATATGATTGGGATTTCTCTGTATCATCGTTATTTTTATTTTGTAGTACTTATTAAAAATTTTACAACTTCACAATATAGCCTATCAGTTTTATAACTCACATTAGGGGTTTCAGGTCACGTGACTAGCGTGAAATCTGAGAGCCAGCGGCTGAAATATAGCCCACTTCAATCTACGATTCTGAATTACTATTTTATTTAAATGTATATTGTGTTGTAATAGTTTAATATTAAACATGCATTATGCAAGAGCTAACTCTGCCTATTGCAGGTCTTTCTTTAGGCCTGAAATGTTATATAAACTATTAATCAGACATTAATTAACGTATCCAGAAAATAATCAACTCTCGATATCAGCGCTATCCTGCGATAATTGTTGGATTATCATCCGATTTGCTGCATAACTTTCCTTCTCGATTTAACGATTAAATGGATAATCGAGACTATGATTTTTGTCGTACCGACTTTAGTAATGATGACCGAGGCTATGCGGAACTTTCGATCGCTTATTTCTCGGTTCATAGTGGATCAATTTGACTGAAATTTTCAGCAAATTGGCTTTACATTATCTAGTTTGTTTTTAACTATTATAGTGAGAACCGCCAACTCGTTATCTAATCTCCCAAGATTCAGGCTCAAATATTATCGAAATGTAAGCGAAATTACCGTTTATGTACGGGAGAAGCTCGCGGGGAAAATATCGGTCTGACGTCACGCGACCGGGGATTTTCCATCAACGCGAATTGCTACGGCTCACTTTATTGGCGAATCCGCGCCTTAGTCAATTTGCATTTCTACCTTTTATCGAAATAAACAAACAATAGAAACTCGACACCATCTCATGATATAGTAATACAGGGGAAATCCTATCACGGGGAGTCAATGCACACCGTGTCCATAACGGTGTGAGCTGACTCCCACAACTGCGCATCTTTGGGGGCAGACCACCATTAAATTCTAGTTCGTCTATTTATAGCAATTCTCTCTCTGTCCCTTTTCTCCCCTTTTGCATGCCCATTTTTGTTGATCTTTTGGTCTAGAATGGACGAAGAGGGTTTTAATTAACATTTTCTGCCAGATTTTGGTAAATATTCATGATTTTGAGGCGGAAGGATAACAGGGTTATCAGGTTGGCTACGGTGATATGGACGGCACCTAGTTACATGTTTTTAGTATGCTTCTTCAAGTTTGTGTATCTCAAAATTTCGGTGGTCAACCTCATAAAAATGAGTGCAAAGACATGACCATTTGTTCCTCTGTCTGTAGTGAAAAGCATTCAGCCCAACACAAATTTGGGGAAAAGTTGGAGGTGGGCAAAGAGGTCAGAATTCACATTGAAGTCAATGTGGAAATTAAAGGTGGTTTGCCTTCCTCTGGCCAGGTAAGAGTTGCGCCCCTTCCCGCATAAAATTCCATAATTCTTGCATTATTATAAACAAACATGAATCGTGACGACGAATAAGGATTAATTTTAAAAATAAGGGTGTTGGATATTGAACTGGCAATGCAATCGAATGGATTTTCATAAACGGCATACTTAAATTAATTTAATGGGCGTCGAATAATTACCTCCCTTAGACTTTGTTTATGATAATGTAAAAGACCGGATAATCTAGTCAATGACCTATTATTCTCAAATGGACACAGTTCACCAAATATTCCAACGCCGTCACCGGCAAATGAAGGGCGAAAGTTATTTTTAGTCTTTCTCTCTATTTCCCTTTCTCCCTCTTTTGCATGGCGATTGTCTGCCAGATTTTGGTGAATATTCATTATTTGAGGCAGAAGGATACAAGAGTTGAGAGGTTGCATGGTTAGATTGAAATGTGGGGCGGAAAATTGCATGTTTATTTGTCTTTACTTCCAGGTTGTGTATCTCAAGTTTTTCATGAAGAACCTCGTACGTGCTTTTGGGCAAGAGGTTGCTACCTGCTCCATCTGTGGTAGAAAGCGTTCTAGCCAACGAAAATTTGGGGACAAGTTAGAACCGGTCTAAGAGACAAGAATTAACATTAAAATCAATGGGGAAATCATTAGTGATCTGTGGTCAAATGTTGACAACGCATCCAGACTAATATTTGTCAAATATTTTTCTGGATGATAGAGACTAATAACAGACTATTGCAGAGAAACTAATTGTGTGATAAACGAGGCTATCAAAAACTGCTACAATGTAAACATTGGGTAATCGCCGAGCACGTGGAATCTTTTTATCATCCCTTGGACCACACAGCAGATCAAAGAGAAGGGCTGCCATGTTACGTATTTTTTCATCAAACTGGATAGAAATACATGTGCTTTTTTTGATAAAATCAATAATTCATAGATTTTCTTCACAAATATTATCGAATACCTAAGGCAGTAATAATTGGTACAACAAACAGACACGTTTATAGAATTTATGTCGGAGATTTGAGTCAACGAATTTTGGTTCGAATAGCGAGTTTTAGCGAGGGCACCTATGCGAGTATCGATGGTTCCTTTCGATGCTTCCAAGGGCGAAAAGTTTTTCTTGAAATCAGCACTAAATTCTCAAGAATGTAAATAAAAAGTATACTCATGACAATTTAAACATTTTTTTTTTTTAAAAAAAACAACTTCATTCTCGTTCAATATATTCAGCGTTTCAGATCTGCGTCTTTGCCGTTCCAGTAACTATAAAGCAGGGTAACGTTTTATACATTTTAGATAATCATTTAACGGATTATAATGAAAACATGTAACATAATAATATATTGAATAGATTAAGAACAAAATGAATAATTTATAAAATAAATGGACAAATAAAATCTGTAATTGAACAAAATATATAATCTAAAATTGAATAAATTAAACAATATTTAAATGAACAAATTAAATGATTTTTAAATGAACAAATTAAATAATGATAGTTATATCTTCAAACAATTATAGATAAAAAGTTGTACACCCCACCCCGATTCTCTCACCCCACCCCACCTACAAAACAAAATGGTTAGTACAAAAAGAAGACAATATTGCATTGAGAGCAAATAATATGATTTTTTTTTTTTTTTAAAAATGGTGCCATGGATAACAACTACGCATAAAGGGTGGTTAATTCTGAATTTTGATACAAAGCTTGGCTGAACGATCCTGAAAAGTTTTTTAAAAAAAAATCGCATTCAAGACAGGGACAATAACTTTACAAATATACTTGTGTCATGTAAATCTTTATAAGGTTCATCCTTAATGTTGTCCGCACACAGCTCTAAAGTCTATTTCACCCAAGCCCATTATAAGCCCTGTCCTGTATTACATTCAGAAGCCATAAGAGTAACACCTAGTCAAAATCATTGTGCATTAATATATCAATATTATGGTTACGAAAGTACAAATGAGTGTACTATACAAAACTAAAAATTAGTGACATAAATAAATCTTAAAGCTAAGGACTTTACACATTTTCATACATATTTAGACTTGATAATTGTTCACTAATCATTTTATAAATGAAGTCGTATTCCTCCTGAAACAGAAAAATATAAATATTCAGTGTAATGAACAAAATGCCGAACAATGTAGACAACATCACGGCCGACCCCAAAAATGTAGTCATTACATATTGGTTATATGGATTTATAGTGATGTACCAAATCGCAAATATAATCGTTACTGGGTTTACGGTTTACTTTATTTAAAAAAAATAATATCTATATTTACTTACGGTTTGATTAATGACACCATTTAATGATTTTAAAATCTTTCTTGTTGTGTTAAAAATTTCCACTTCATTATCAAGTTTTATTCTTTCTAGTATATTTCTTACAATACAAAAAATAGCAGCATGTTTCATATCACTGTAATATAAAATATAATATTTTTATCACTGTAAAACTTCTGCAATATAAAATATAATATTATTATCAGTGTCATATAAAATATATTAATATCTCTGTAATATAAAATATAATATTATTATCACTGTAAAACTTCTGCAATATAAAATATAATATTATTATAATTGTCATATAAAATATATTAATATCACTGTAATATAAAATATATTAATATCACTGTAATATAAAATATAATATTATCACTTGTAATATAAAATATATTGATATAACTGTAATATAAAATATGATATTATCACTGTAATATAAACTATATTAATATTACGGTAATATAAAATATAATATCATCACTGTAATATAAAATATAATAGTAATAAAATACAGTATATAAAATATAATAGTATTATCACTGTAATATAAAATACAGTATATAAAATATAATAGTATTATCACTGTAATATTATAGTATTATCACTGTAATATAATAGTATTATCACTGTAATATAAAATATAATACTAATATTATAAGCTTTTATTTAAACCTATATAATATATGTCAAATAACACAAGCTGTATGCTTCACTTCACTACAGGGACGCGTTACACGATGTAAGATACTAAACATAGCTTAACAGAATGATATAGCCAGTTAAATTTACTTTACTTTTTGAAGCCTTATAACCACTTACGTTGTTTTATACTTAAAGATAACGGTTATGTCGATTGTACCTTTGTGGTTTTATGACATCTTATCTAATAAAATCTTCATCATTATGTCAGTTAACCCATGTGAATACCTCATAAGTTTCAGCTTATGTTTTTAATGATCATGGTTTATCTTTAACTTTACCCCTTATAATGCGGGCGGTACAGCCGCATGGACAAATGCCACCGAAGTTGAGAATCAGATTTGTTTGTTTGTTGATGTCTGTACTGTGTGTTGCTTTCTAAAAAAAATGAGATACAAACCTATAAACAACTGTCACTGGATGAGATGTAGAATCATACTGATCAGTTTGTCTTATTAGTTCTATAATATCTGATTTTAGTTGTTCTAATCCATATTCACTTCCAGTTTTCAGTATTATCATCTTACACACATGTTTTATTTTCTTTTCAAAATAAAATATAATACAATAAAGTATACTGATGGTACCATTAATATACATCAAACTAATTAAAATAATATTAGAATTTCGTTTCGTTTTGTTCCCTTCTGATTTTTACTTTTATACTAAATAATAATAAACGAAATCGAAATCTGATTTTAATATGATTGTGAAATAATCATCTGATTTTAATCATATTGCGTTCAAAACTGGGATCAGAAAATCCTGATATGCGATATGATTCATTAATCCGTATGTCCTAGTCAACAATCACATTAAGAATCCATGCATGCAATCGAATATATGGCAAAGTAATCAGTAAGAGTGTCCACCATGTAATCGCTATGGCACAGTAATCGGTAATATTGTCTGCCATGTAATCACCAGTGTACAATAATCAGTAATAGTGTTTACCATGTATAAATAACCATTGTACAATAATCGGTAACAGTGTCTACCTGTCGGATGGTATTACCAGTCAATATTTGTTACATACTGTAATTATCAAAGTTAGTAGTTGAAAGTATTTACCTGTTTATAAGTAGTAACAGTCAGTATTTCAAATTCATCAGTAGGTAAACATTCTACTGCAGAAGAAATAGTCATTTTACCAATAATCTCATGAGTTGCCGAAAAGGGACAAACTGAATCTTGGTTCTGCAATTAAAGGTATGTTTACATATCGGGCGGAAGTCACGAAATGTAGTATTATGCTAGTAACTTGGCTTTCAAAACCTACATCGTTTACAGGGAAGATCCTAAGAACTGAGACCCATGCCCTTGAAATCGAATTTCTTTTTTAAAATCTTATCAGGTCTTAGTTTTATTTAGTTTCAGTGGAATAAGTGTTTTCGACTGATAAAATATAATTAAGGCGAAACTGCATTTCACCAAAGTCAAAGGGTATATTTTAAAATGACATTACCTGATCATTTAATATTACCACAGCTACAGAACTTTCCTGATCACTGATTAAATTCCACAATGATTCCATATCATGTCCTTTAATATCACTAATAATATAACCAATAGTTTTCTTCCATGACTAGTAAAGAAATAATAATATGATTTAATATAACTAATACTTTTCTACCATGACTATAGTAAAGTAATACTATGATTTAAAGTCACAATAATAATATAATCAACACTTTTCTTCCAGGTCTAGTAAAGTAAAACTAATATGATTTAATATCATTGATAATATGACCAATACTTTTCTTCCATAGTATTTAATATTGATAATACAACCAATACTAGTAAATAATATGATTTAATATCACTGATACTGATAATAATATAATTTTCTACCATAACTAATAAAGTAATAATATGATTTAATATCACTGATAATATTCTTAATACTTGACGAGTAAATTTATAGTATCAATTAATATCACTGTTAATATAAGGAATACTAAGCTTAGCAACGGTATTTACTTTACGATAGTACATATTTTGACGTCTGCGATATATGTGAATGATCTTGCTTTGCTTGGTGTGTGTTAAAATAGTATTGTCGACTAATGCATTATATTTAAAATACTTACTGGGGCGCTATGAATATCCAACTGTGGTTTCCCTGGAACATAGATCTTATTTTTATCAGCTGTAAACATTCAAAAATAAATATAGACGAGAAACTTGTCACGCCCCCTGATACCCCAACGAGCAGCACAGTCGCCCGTGTTAGCTTTTAATTCATAGTTAATAAATCCCACTGAACAAACTCCCATAATGAACTGTATTACTTTCAGAAATATAAAGGGAATGATAGCTCCGCGAAACGCATTCCAAACAAGTTTTGTTATTATTCGATTGTATAGCAAGTGCAGGAGGACCTCACCACACATAAATAATTACACAAGACAAACACGCGGACAAGCCACGCGAAATACACATACATTTCAAACAACAAATGCCGTTATCAAATCAAGTTAATAGATCCGAGGACTAGTCGTAAGCGCCCACTGCGCTGTACAGTCCTAGGCCAGTAGTGACCTGGGAGTGAGAGATGCTGATAGATCGATACATTTTTTTTAAACGTTTTAAGGGTAGGTAGTTGTATGTAATTAATTTCTCTAGCCTAGCATAAGCCTATTTCGCTAACATAGACCGGCTAACATGCTCACCGTTAAGAGAGTCGTATTAACTAAATTACCTTCGTTTATCATTCCTTTCAGCAACTGTAGTTCTTTGTTTCTAGAAAACTTTGTCAAATGGAACTTTTTTGATTTGCCAGATATTATGTCATATTCTAATACAGGTGTACTGGTCTTTCCATATTTAAATGCTTCAACCACAGCCTCATAGACAAATTTAAGTTGATTCTAAAACAAAACAGATGGCATTTGTATCAATGACAAACCTTGTTATCAACCGCAACACCACCAAACCCGTAATGATTGAACGTAATTAAAGTTAGAAATGTAATACATTAAAGGTACACTATTCCAGATTAAGAGGCATATTATACAGCTTCAGTTCCCATTTATTTAATATTATTCTAAGCAAAAAGCAAATTATTAAAATATATCAAGCCTTTAGAAGTTCTTTCCCAGGGATAAAGAAAATAGTAACCAATACGTATAAACATATATACAAAAATCGAACCTATATACAATTTCATGTGGAAATGCAAAAAATATGTTCTGACCATATTGCATTTGAGTGAAAAGTTAGTCAGCGAGAAGTAACTTATCAACCATTTTATTTACAAATGATGATTAGATATTTTACGTGTAAATATTAAGTTTTTAGTTTTATTTGGTTTAATTGTTAGTAAATTTAGATCATTATTAATTGAATTAATAAAAGGTTATCATTAAAATTTATTATTGCAAATAATGAGATATCATCAGCAAATAAGAGTACATTATTATTTAGATTGTCTGAAATATCATTTATTTAAATTAGAAATAGAATAGGACCTAGTATTGATGCCTGAAGGACCCCGGATTCATCTGACAAGTGTGCTACCTTTTCACGATCTGTTTAATAGTTGAATATCCAATCACATTAATTTGGACTAATCTCATACTGTTTCAGCTTATATATAAGTACCGCGTGCCAGAATTTATCAAATATCACAGACTCAAGAAACCCTGACTGATGTTTAGACAATAATTCATATTGTTTAATACAATTGTATGGGAGCTTTAGGGCAATCTTACAAATAGTGCACATTGATGAAGTGGGCCAATAAAAGCGGCTGTGAATGTCTGAAAGTTATTTAGTTGTAAGACACAGATTGACAGGAGTGACGGGAATTAATATTACGGAAGATATGGGTTGAAGAATTGGGTATTTTAAATTGATCTTCAGCCTCTTGTTCAGTGACTAAAAACCTTACATAGGTCATGACCATCTACAGTTCTAATTACATACTAATGATTTCCTGACCTCTAAATTGATATCAAATAACACCCGTTTCTCCCTGTTCTAAATAATATTCTTGAAGTGGCATTTAGTAACTGGGCAGATAAATAAACTATAAACATACTTATGGAAAACAGCTACTGATTTATTAAGAATACTCTTCGAAACGTCCCTAAATAAATCAGTAGCTGTTTTCCATAAGTATGTTTATAGTTTACTGTTCTAGATAAAATTAAATAAGGAAATGATTATTAGCATGGTGAAGCATTCAGAAACGTTTCTAATGCATGATTCATATGACAAAAGAAATATTTGCATTAGTCACATGCAATCGTATGTGAAACAGAAAGTTATTGCTTCTGCATTATCACCACGTGATTATCCCTTTAAAAATAATTTTGGTCGTTCAGAATACGGTAGGATATACATACCGCTGTTTGGATCATACCCTTTCGTTGACCTCTCATAGTTTTAATAAACTGCAGAACGTCAATACTTCCTGTCGCATGTCCTTCCTTCAGAAGAGCATCTATAGCTATGAATGTACCAGTCCGTCCTATACCAGCACTATATAACATACAATAATATAACTACATAAATAGATTACTATTTCCTTAATTTAGAGTCAAATACAATTTCATTACCAGAACCACCCTTAAATGCACCCAAGCTACACAGCCACACACTGGAATGCCTCTCGTATGATTCTGTAAATTTAAACTTGAAAAGATGTTGCCAGATCTTATTTCAGTGGAACAAAAATTTATAAAACATAAAATGAAAGTCTGAAGCACAATAAGTTTTGCATTTTCAACAGACTGTCGAAATCTGTTTTACGAGGACAACCTGCATTCCTCTCTCACAAAAAGAACAATTGGCATCAGGTGTTCCAGTGTTTTATATTTACATCTAAAAGTCCAATGTATTAATGTGATATATTTGCCCCCACCTGCAGTGAACTAGAGTAGGAGATTTTGAATCTGATTCATATTCTTGAACACGATATAGGTAATCTAATAAATCTCCTACTTCCGGTACGCCATGATCCGCCCAAGCTGTAAAATGGAATATACTGGTCTCGTGCTCTCTGCCGGACTGAAAAAAAAGATAACGGTAAAGCCCCGACAGAACGATTTGCTAGAATTTATATAGTGTAGAAAATCAGAACTATTTAATTCGATTGAAATTATTTATAAACTGGGTTATGTAGAAAATATCACACACGAATAATTATTTTAATATTAAATATTAAAAAAAATATATAGATAGAACTAGCGAGTGGAATGCGGCAGGGATACACTCGAGTGAACCATTGAATAACCCGAGCGGTATTCAATGGTCATTGAGTTCTGTTTTTATTCTATAACTACATGTAAATCTCAAAATACACTGTACTATCCAGATTATCAAAAAGAAAATCACCAATAACGTTAATATTCATCATAGGTTCCGCCCTTTTTTCTTTCTTTTTTTTTAAAAAAAAATTGTGGATGCTAGTGGTGACGTCATTGCAGTTTGACGTAATTCTGAAAGTGACGTCATTCTGGACAAAAGTAGTACGTGTCCTAGCCATTGAATACAACCATAGGTTATTCAATGGCTGTATTCAATGATATTTGCTTGTATTTGCATGTACTATAGAATAAAGATAATGTAACAAATCTCAGCCGTTGATATTTTATGTAAAAAAGACAAGTATGAAACAACTTTAGAAACAAAATGGAAAAATCAGAATGACTTTTCAAGCGTAGGCTGAAGCAATATTTCGGAGTAGATATCTATAAAATAAATATCAGACCAGGTATTTCCCCAGTGTAGTGTATTATTACAATTATGATTACCTTTAAATGTTTTAGTCTGATCCTTCTAGTTGTATAACTTGCTCGTCGAATTTCATCATGTAGAGTAAGTTCTAGATTACCGAACAATTCTCTTCCAGTCTCCGGCCAATATCTTTCACATTTATACTAAAAAACAAATTTACGAAGTCTAATACAAATAAAGTAGATCTGTTCGGAAAAAGCAGGACAAAGTATTTGGGCCGAGTAGAAATAATTTGTTTTCCTAACTTTCCCAACATTTTCAAAGAACTATAAGCTTTGCTATTACTTTGTATTTCACATTAAAAATTCAACAAGATTATGCAAAACGCGTGTCATGTTTCTGAAGCTATTTTCTTATCAGACAAGATAACTAATTAAAGCACTAGCCCACTACAATAAAAAGTCTATACATAGCCAAAAATACTTTTATTTAAAAACCTTTTGGTTCAAAATGTATTGAAATATGACTATTCTAACTCAAGTTATGGCTATTTAAAGTTGTTATCGATTTCATACTGCCATCTGTATAATGTCCTATAGCCAATTACAGTAATAATAATCCTACCTTTTTCGTGCAAGCTGGACATTGTTAAGGCAAGTCTTTTCTATACTTGGATATGCTTTTATATTACATAATAATAATATTGTTTACTATAAAATAGTACATAAATTAGAGAAATATCTGCCTTTACAGAACTTACTTTCCCGCCTTCAACCAAATTTGTTAACATAACAATCTTGTCCACTCCCTCTTCAAAAATCATCCTGACAAAGTCGTTTATTGTTACTTTAGTTGGACCTGTATTTATAGAAGATAACACATGAAAACCATCTTAAAACATTCTTTGGTTTCGGTCAGCATAGCCTTTTCATGTCGGGTGAACTGCGAATTATTTTCATTCCCGAAGAGCAGTTACTTTTGGTTACTTTTTGTTTTGATCGTCGACAGTTGAACAAGTACCTAATTTGAGTACAGTCATTAAACATACGCTATGCAAGAGCTAAATCTGCCTATTGCAGGTCTTTCCTTAGGCCTGAAATGTTATATAAACTATTAATTAGACATTTATTAACAAAACAAGACCATAATCGACTCTCGGTGGCATCGGATACTCGAGATTTTAACTAGATTAAAACGGTTCGCCATTTAAAAATTTAATTTAAAAATGGGATTTCGAGGCTAATCTTGTCAAAACTACAAACAATGATAACTAGGCTGAGAATGAAGTAATTTGAATGAAATTTTCAATATTTTCTATTTTTTTATCATCTATTTTTGAATTATTATAGCAAGAATGGCCAACTCTTCATTAAACTCTTAACTAATGTATCTTTAAGTAAAACAAAGCACCACATTTCTTTTAAAGATGCATTGTGTATGATTTAGATAAAGATGTTCAAAAATAGATAATGAAAATGAATATCATATTGAAAATTTCATCCAGATTACTTTATTCTGAGAGAAGTAATGGGTACTTAAAGTTTTGACACGATGTAGCAACGGTACTTGACAATCGAGATTAAGTCTCGATTATCCATTTTATTGTTACATTTTTTAATCTCGCGGGGTTTCTAATCCATTTAAATATCGGCCATCCGATGCTCTAGAGAGATGATTATGGACTTGGCATGTGAATAAGTGTCTAAATAATAGTCTATATAACATTTGAAGCAAACAAAAAGGAAGTGCAATGTGCAGATTTAGCTCTTACATAAAGCATCTTTAATGATCGGACAAGCTTTTTGGCAGTTAAATTTGATTCCAAAGATTAAACTAAAGTCTTGATCCAAATGTGTCGATACAAACTCTTATATCTCATTATTGGCTACATCCATGGACGTGAAGTGTTTTAGGACGGCAGATTGTCATATCACAAAACAAATTAACAATTTTAGTAAAATTCGACAATTTTATTTTTGACCCAGATCCAAAAGAGAGTACCACTTTAAATTGACCTTTCTACCAATGAAACCAATGTTACGTACCTTGTGCTGCTATGAAAAACTGGCTTTGACTGTAGCTCTGAAACACACGAGACATTATTTTAGGTGGTGCTCTGTATTTTTGATAAAAGTTAATGGTAAGCGTTTCCAAAAGTGTACAAATGAAGCATAAACTGTCTTGTGAACGACGTGTATCACTACTTGTAGATAAATGGAGCGATAGTGTCCACACCGATTCCAGAAGCCATCACGATGTTTCCATCGCGAATGACCAAAACGAGAACAAATTAGAAGGAATAAAATGGAATGGGGTATAACGTCCTACTTTCTGTTACATCCGGGATGATGAAGACGGTCATATGCCAGGACCGTGTGTCCGAGCACAAGTAATTCCCCTCATATTTCGAATGTGTACACGTGAACTCAGTTTGTCGTACCATCCGAACTGTCTAGCCAACACCAGTATCGGAGCCAGAACCTCCAAGTTAGCAGGTAAGCGCGTTACTGACTACGGCACCGCGGCTCCCCAAACTAGAGCAGAATTGACGAACAGAGACAGTTATCTCTGCTGATCTCCATATACAAATTTAAGGAATACCACCATCTTGTATATCAGAGTTTTCCACAGAGGCTAAGTTTCCTGCTACATTTAACAAGAAAAAATAGAACGTTGTAACAACAGTTAATCATAGGTTGGCTTCAATTTCTAAATACTTACATCTACGTAACTGGCGTTAATATAATTAGAATGTGGATCATTTCCAACTTCACTGAGTATTACACGATTGTGATCATCTAAAATTGAAAGAAAATGGTTATCTCCCCTTATATCTTCCTATAATCCGGGTGATATCTCCGTAGAAATATCAAACGTCAGACGTTCAGTTTTTGAAAAGACGTTCAGTTTTTGAAATGACGTTTAGTTTTTGCAAGGGAATATATTCAGCGGCAGTTTTCGAAAAGATTTATGTGCAGCTGTTATTTTTTGTATCAATGTTCGGCGATAAACGCAGTATACAACGGTCCTTACTGCCCTGCTACCGCGACAGAAAATGGTCTCAGAGCTCGTCAAGATCGCCATAAGCGTGGTAAAAGCCTGGTGGAAACGCCAAATATCGTGCTGTGTTCTCCATGGTCGCCAGTGATCGCCGAGGCATGGCGTTTGTTTTGAGCACGATCAAAAAAAAAAACGCCAAGGTTCTGCGATCTGACCTGGAAAGCTGTGAGAAAGCGACTTTCTTCAAGTTTGTAATTTTTTTTTGACATTTTCTCGCGTTGTGTTCACGTTTTCCGGCGACCTTGTGTATTTTCTGGTCGCCGTACGGTCGAAGCAGCGCAGTAAGGACGCCAACCCGGTCTGATGGAGGTATTACCAAGCATGTTTATTAATCGTTTACCTAAACAAGAGCTGCATTGGACTAATTAAATTTGTGTTACTTTGTCAAGTGAATCCGGGGAAATAAAACATCAATTTTAGATAGATGCGGGCAATCTATTTTACACAGTCTTTTTTTTCATCTATTGTATTCTTCTGCTTATAAATAACGGTACAGATGAACAGTCAAGAGTGTAAATCCGAATCACAATGATTGTATGGGAATACAGAATGGATTTCCCTCACTTTCAGGGTATAACCATATTATACAGATTGCTAAAAAAAAACCCATATACTTACAAGGATAATATCCCCGATACCGATTCTTGGCTCTGTTTTCCTCAATTTGTGAATCATCATATGCAGCAGTAAATTCTGATGGCAGGCCCTTTATTTAGACATAAATAATAATAATAATAAGCCTAGGCCTACTTTGCTTATCTGAATTCGTAATTCTGATGGAAATGTTCCTTAAAACATAATTAAGTCATTGGTTCTACCCCCTAAACATATCTAAAGATATAAGGTTTTTAACGATCGTGAAATATAACATTACAGACATAAAATGCCAATTATTACAAACTGTCAGCTACTATTTGGCAATTTACATACCAGCGTGTGTTATTGCTTAGAAACCGAGCTTATGGCACCGAAAATATCTCCCAAGATATATGGCTTTTAGAAACAATTCAATGATATTCTTCTCGATAGTTTGTATATGTATTTTCCAAAGGTTGTGTATTTAGGATCTACACTGTCAATCTGGAAACAGGAATTATAGAATTTGTCCATGGTTTTATTGTTTGTTCATACAATTTGTTAACATTATACATCACAAATACCAATATGTCTTCTATATTGTATAGCTAGAATCATAAAAACAACACCTACCTGGAACATATCACTAAAGGCGTTCTCTTTTGAATTTAGCTTAGTAAATACATCTTGAAGATAAACTACACTAATTCTGTCAATAGGTGCACTGGGTTGTAAGTTATAATAGTCAGACTCGGGATCTTGTTCAGTCGAATTAGCAAATGCCCTTTCTCTCTGTTTTTTCTGTTTTTGTTTGTTAATCGCCTTCTTTGACAGGGGATCTTTAGAACTGTCTTCATATTTTGTGATTGTCGCCAACTCTATGGCCAGCATATCACTGTTTTCATACATAGGATCAGCATCTATAATTTAAAAAAATACACAAATGTACATGCCTACTATTACACTTATTGATAATCTTATTAGTAACCTTATTATTATTATTATTCCCAAAAATTGAAGAAAGGGTGTTATAGGCTACGTTTTCAATAAATACCCCCTTAATGTAATTAATATTATACACCAAAAGCACAAGAGGTATTTCTTTTGTGGGTACACAATTTGTAAGAACTTTTATTATATTGTATAGGAATTAATGTAAATGCAATTTAAAATAAAGAAAATAGTACAATTTGCAGTTTTTGAGTGGCGGAAAAAAATGGGCTTTATGGTGTAATCTATAGAGTGCAGAATGTAGGAAAAATAATTGCAATACAAAAATACACAAAAAATGTGTTGGCTTTGTAAATTCCACAAACGATAAATGGTATTAGAGGTTATCGAAAGAGTGGGTATAGATAACCTCGGGGACAAAGGTCACCAACAGAGTATACACCCGATGATTTAAATAAAAATAGGTTTATATTCATAATTTAGAGGTAAATGCCGTTCATAAATACCGTTTACTGGAGCAACATGGTTTACATCATTAATGCTTTCTGTGATTGGTTTCGTCGTTAGTTCATCAGCGATCTTTCTAAATAATATCAATTTAAAACATAATTTATGTTACACAGATATCTCAGAGATATTTTTTTAAGTTCGCCCACTCAATTACTCTCACATTTAAAAAAAGAGTTTCTTCAAACAAGATAGATAGCAGATTATAAATAAATGTACTTGGCAATTTATTATTAAAGACATATAGGAATACGCACATCGCCGTATTCGTCTGTTGCACCGTATACCCCCATTTCACTGGGCCACGGAAGACTTGCGGAAGGAAATCCGCAAGTGTACCGCAAAGTCGGTAAGTCTTTCCTCTCATTCCGTATGGCTCCGCCAGGAAGCGCAGCGAATCCGTAGTCATTCCTCGTCGTCCACAGACTTTTGCGATCCCAAATTGTTCCGCGAACGTTCCTTTAAATATCGTTTGCGGAAAAATTTTCCGTGCTCTTCCGCAATTAAACCGGGATCGATCCGGGAGTCTTCCGCTGTTATTCCGTATACAAATGTAGTTGCCGCAAGTTGTCCGTATGTATACCGCAGGCATTCCGTCACTTTCCGCGGATGTTAAATGGTTACGGATGACCTTCGTTCATGTAAGGAAGAATACGGAAGACCTTCGCCTGCGAAAGGAAAGCGCGGTATATCACGGAATGTTTACGGAAAAGATGCGGATGAGACGCACAAGAACGAGGGATTGCCGGCCTGACGACAGATTAGTTACGGATTAGGAGCGGTTAATATACGGGTCATTTGCGTACTGCATGCGGTACGCGAGGACTACTTGCAAAAGCGGCGAATCAATCGCGGTTTGTTTGCGGACTTCACGCAGAAAAAAATTTCAGGGTATAGAATCCGTGGAAAGCCGACCTCCATTTATAGATATTTCTACCTCGACGGCAGAGCTGCGGAAAAAAAATCACGGAAAAATTGCGGAACACATGGGAATGAGCACGGAAGACATAAGGATAATTTGCGGGTCACACTCGGCAGTAACGGAATAACTGCGGTATCTGGCGATACTAATCCGTTTGGCACGGAATAATCGCGGAGTACTTGCGTTATACGCGGAATAAATGCGCAACAAGTGCGGACAATCTTCGGCAACAGCGTTTGGTCTCGGATCAATCACGGCGTACCTGCGGAAAAATTGGTAAAGAGCACATGATTTGCACGTGATCTGCACGTATAGATCACATGTTCCCGAAGCAACGGACGCAGTTTTACAACTTCTATCCGTTGCCAGAATTGTCTGAAATTCCTGAACTTTTAGGTACGTTATTCCCCTTTACTGCAGACACGTGAACAATAACGTTGTCCAATCAGAGGTCGGGATACAAACACATATCCAAATACAAACATTGCGATCTCCACCAAAAAATGAATAGATAAGTTTACAGCCGTTAAAAGGTTTTATTTTCAAGTTTACAGCCGTTAAAAGGTTTTATTTTTCAGTTGAAAAACTCACGGAAAAGCAATCAAACTGTTTTAGACACTAGAGAAGTATTTATTTGCATGAAAACTGGCAACGGCAAGTATCTTTGTGTTGGAAATTTCCAGCAACAAGAAACAGGAGTTACAGTACAAACATAAACAAGTTGACAGTTTTCTTTGTTGACAGTTCTAATTCAATAATTAGAGTTCACGAGTCACGGAATTCACAGTTCACAGAGTTCACGGTGAACACACAAAGTTCACCATTCACTTAAGAGCGTGTCCGCGAGAAAACCATGCAGAAGGTGCTAAGGCTTCAATCACAGATTTTGACCAAATTTGGTTTATAAGTTGGGATAGTCCCAAAACACATAAATGTGCAATATTAGATAAATCTTTCAATTCCTGTATGAGAAAATTGAAAAAACATTTTTCATATGGTGAAATTGCCAAAATCTGTCTTTTCTCAAATACCAACTTTGGCAAGTCTTTACACCTTTACTATACACACACAGTTTATCGATGACTCAGTGCTGTTACCACAATATTAACTTCAGACGATTCTGGCGAACGAGATCTATATACGGACTGGATATCAAAGCCTGTCTAAATTCCCCATTTTTCGTCACCCAAAGTTTGACGCCCTATAGCTACTTCTTTCATGGGGTGGGTTTAAAAAATATATGCTCACGTGAACAAGCAACCACCCAACATTTGATACAAAAAATAAAAATGACCGGAATCGACTCGACAAAAACTAGGTAAAGGAAACAATAACCCATAAAATTAACCTGTAATTTCCCTATTGTGGAGATAATTAACCGTAGTAGATAAAAAAAACTAACAATATATTTTCCTTTTCATTCATATGGTGTTTACTACCAGCCCTAAAATACATTAGTATCTGTTTTATAAAAATATCTTGAAAAAAAAATACTTTCAAAGGCCTGTAATCGTTCATGGCTCATCTGGCGTCAACGGGAATTGACTTCTGCAGTTGTCCACGACCTTCCATTGGAGTTTCGACGTGCTCATTCTTAACAAACATATCCATTACTCTCAAATAGACATTATTTTAAATAAAATAATCCAATGAAAATGAAATTCACCTAAAAGTGAGATTCGAACCACCAACCGCATGACTTCCCCCGACCCACCCTCTCACCGAGTTGCTTGCCCCAGGCCCCAAGGTCCATGTAGTGGGCCCTGTTCAGGGGTTTTGCCTAGGGCCTCTCTTATTCTAAATCCGGTCCTGAAGGTGCAGCTGACGGTGCCCGAGAGCTGTAGCTACCATACTACACTGTTCAATGTCACCCACTTCGACGCAATTAGGCTTCGTTGCCGTTAATATTTAAGCTTCTACATTTCTGTATCGTAGAAATCAGTGGATGTGTCCCAAAATGAATAGTGGAAACATGCTCTGAAATTAAACATTTTGTAGCCATTTTCGGTAACTTGTTTGAAAATGAAATCTTAAAGAGACAATACAACAAATATGTTAAAGGGACAATACGACAATACCAAATATACAATAAATACAAATACACACTTATATAGAGTACAACATGGTACAAATAATGGCTATGGATATGATGAAAACGTATACAAGTCAAAAAATTTATTTCTCTAATCAAATTCGCAAAAAAATGTATCACAAAAGCTTTTTTTTAGCACTTTTCAATAAGCTGTATATTTTAAGTATGTTGCATTCCGGTCATTTTTTTTACACCTATGGATACTATGTGCTTAGCACTTCAAAACCATCTAAAGAAATTCTACTTGCGACCATGAAAGAAAAAGTTACAGTGTATCTTTTTCTGCACTATAAGGACAATGTGAATATGGTACCCTAAAACAAGTCCACACAAAATTAGTATGTACTGATTTTTTTTTTCAAATGAGTGCTGGGGTAGAAGTTGACCACCCGCTTTATCAGACAGGGTCAAAATTAGAAGGTTGCTATTCCACCATAGAATGCAGTCTGTGCTTCAAAAAGGTGATAAATACACATGTGAAAACCGCAATTTTACCCATAAAATGAATAATTCCTGTACAGTCCTTTAGAGCGACATCAGACTGTAACCACTTCAGCATGTTACCTCTTGCCCCTAGGGGGTGTCATACCATAAGTTTGATCAAAAACTTCCGACCCCCCATCTTAGCACTTTTTGCGATTTTTGCATGGTCTTCTCGCGGATACACTCTTAAGTATCACAATTGTCCTAAAAACATAGTTACCAAACACCACCTCCGAGACAGGGAAAAAAACAGTATCGACACGGCATTGTAACATGCTTAAGGTTGAATCTTGCGTTTTGATTGGTGGATTAGACACTGTCGATTGGACAATATATAACACCCCTGTTTTAGCAAGGCGAATAACTGCGTATATAAATATTAGGGTGACCCATGTACTCTACAGAAATACAGTCCACCGCTGATAGTTCGAGACTACCACTGAAGCGTGCACATTCGCCGTGCCGAGACCAACTTTCTGACATTATGATACTATAAATAGCCATGGCACGTGCAATTCTCTACAAATCTATCAACTATTACAGCCGTAAAAAAATTATTGTTGACGATTTTGAATAGCAGTGAAATTAAGCTTCTTGGTTATTACAGCAGATTTAGAATTCCGTTTGTTTCATTTTTTAAATCGCTTTATCATTAACTGTACCGTTAAGAGCGGCATCTTTTGGTTTAGTACAAATAATATCTCTGAATCACTCGGGTTAGACAGGAACATGATACTAGCAGTAGTTTCATTTTACTTTTACAAGGTTCTTAAAACGATTGTTGAGCTACCTAACGTGCTTATTTCTAAATTCAATTTCTTGTTTTAGCTTTCTGTTATGTTTCGTAAAAAAAGTAGTCTTGATTATCCCGACCTGTCAATCAGACGTAGAATGATCGATAGACTGGTTAAGCGAGACTAATTTCAAAACAAGGGCACGTAACCTATCTTTTACTCAAAAGTGTCTGGATGTTATGGACGACACTTGGAACCAGTTTTCAGTCTATTATTTATAGATGATTAATGGTCATAGCTTATTAAGTACAACATGATCGTTTATTTAGTGACTATAATTGTGTGAAACTGATTTGAGGCTTGGCATATATATATAAATATTGTGGCGTGGTTGTCGAGATATATGGAGATATTTATTTATGGTGGGTCACCCTATAAATATTACAGTGTACTTTTTTTTCATTTTGTGCTCTGACATATTCCTCAACTCAAATCTTTATTGACAAATATCTTCAAGAAATTCTGCTCAAATGACCATCACACTATTTTCAAACTTCATCCAAACACATCTCTGAAATATATAAAACAGAAGAAAATCAGTCATAAACAGGCATCATAAATTATTCGTAACTAAGCAGTGCAGTGTGGGCAATTTTGTTTTGTTTTTTTGCACTCTGCATTGTTTACTTTAAAGTGGACAATTTAAATCAAAGTTTGCCCAAATTCTGAATAAAATGATCCGCCTGATAATGAGTCAGTAGTCTCAAGAAATTGTTTGCAAATATAGTCACTAGGGGAGGTGAAATAGCAGCTGATTTGGGCCTAGGATAACGGGAAATTATGCTAAAATTGACAATGACAATGATTGACAACACGTCAGAACGATATATATAGCAACCACTTGAATCCTAGGCATCACATAGTTTTATAGGGTATTCTGAGGGGTGTATGCAAGAACTGCTCTTCTCTGAACAAGAACTAGCAATAAAATTGTGTTGACGGTCTAGAAATAAAATAATAAAGGCTAAAAACTCACACATGTTAAAGTTATCAAAACTTCGAAAGTGTTGCCAAGAGTTATCCCTGTGTAGTCTCGGTTAACAGGCCGTAACTAATTCATTCACGAATCACGACTGGCACTACCAGTCAAAAGGGCCACACTAAGGCTAATTTACTAATCTTTTTAAAAATCTTCAAACGTTAAAAATATTTTATTTGAAATATTCGAATAGCATTTTCTTTCATAATTTATTTACCAGCGACCCAAGACTCAAGCTGAAACACTTTGTATCCCGTTTCATGCAATTTTCTTGCAGGGACCCATTAGACCACCCATTTTTCTTACGCAGAAATGCTTTTTTTCTTTCAAAACTCTGTTAGACCACCCACTTTTCTTAACCGGAAATGCTTTTTTTCTTGCAGAACTCTGTTAGACCACCCAATTTTCTTACCCGGAAATGCTTTTTTTCTTGCAGAACTCAGTTAGACCACCCAATTTTCTTACCCGGAAATGCACTTTTTCTTGCACTTTTTTCGGCTGGCAGACCCACCCCACCCCCCAGTTGCTGTTTGCATTTTTTTTTACAGTTGCCCCCTGATCCACTTCCATCCGCTTTCATCCGCGCTAGGCTTCCGATGAACATCCATTTAACATTCCCGCTACATACTTCCCACGTTCGTTCTTTTCCGTTCTGTTTTCGCAAATTTTCGTCAATTTTGTCCATTTCTGGAGCGGATGAAAACAGATGGAGCCACCCCGAAAGTTTGCTCGTCCGCTGTGTCCTTTTTGCATCCGTTTTGTGTCCATCGGCCACTGGGACCGGGCCTTTTTACCCTGCAAATTCTTCCGCGGGAAGTCCGCAAACAGTCCGCAATTGATTCGCGGCTTCCGCAAGTAGTCCGCAAACGAGTCATATATTAACTGCGCCTAATCCGTGACTAACCCGTCATCACACCGCTCTGTAATGCATCCATGGTGTCAGGCTATTTACGCCACTTCAGTATCTCATCCGCGTCTAATCCGAAACATTTCGTGAACATACCGCGCTTTTATTTCGCAGGCGAAGGTCTTCCGTATTTTTCCTTACACGTAATCCGTGACTATTTGACACCCGCGGAAAGTGACGGAATGTCTGCGGTATACATGCGGACAACTTGCGGCAACTGCGTTTGTATACGGAATAACAGCGGAAAACTTGCGAATGTTACGGATCGCTCCCGGTTTAACTGCGGAAGAGCACGAACAAATTTTTCCGCAAACGTTCTTTTGAACATGTTCAAAAGAACGTTTGCGGAAAATTTTGGGCGCGCGGAAGGCTGCGGATGATGTGGAATGAATACGGATTCACTGCGCTTCCTAGCGGAACAATACGGTACAACAGGAAAGATATACGGTACTTTGCGGTATAATTGCGGATTTGCTTCCGCAAGTCTTCGGCGGTCTAGAGAAATGGAGATATAAGTCCGTGCTTTCTGTCTTCAAAACAGTGATTTTATCGGCGGAATTCGGTGTCATCCTTTGATCTTTAACCGATTTTCCGCGGGTACGTCGCGATTGGTCCGAGACGAAACGCGGTTGCCGAAGATGGTCCGAGACGAAACGCGGTTGCCGAAGATAGTCCGCGCTTGTTCCGCAGTCATTCCGAAGTTCTACCTTGCCAAACGGATTAGTACCGCCAGCTACCGCAGTTATCCCGCGTATTTTCCGCCATTGCCGAGTGTAGCCCGCAAGTTGTCCGAATATCTTCCGTGACGATCCGGGCACATTCCTAAGTGTTCCGCAGTTTCGCCGCCGCTTCGCCGTGATTTGTACCATGGTTTACCCGTATGTGTTCCGAAGATACCGTGACTGTTCCGAAGGTATTCCGAGAGCGTGTGAAATGGACATTTTCCGTGGAATTTTTTTCCACTTTTCCGCGTAAAAATGCCGAAGCTCTTCCGTAGAAGCCATTTCGCGGACGTCCGTGGGTCCGCAGCTTTCTCCGCAGCTCAGTGAAATGGGGGTAGTAGCATGTGATTTCATGCCTCTTTTAAAGGACCGTGGTTGATATGTGGTTAGAACACTTGACTTATAATCACCATGTACCGGGTGCGAATATCGGCGTTCATTGAGAGGAACCTTCGGCATTTTTTGAAGCCCGGTTCTCACTTGTTGTCATGGGTGGCTCCTGCTGAAACTGTCCCTAGTTGTTGAGATTGTAGAAAAAGTCGTACCAATTGTACACGTAATGGATCCCATGACAATTGGAAAATGGTAGACGAAAGACAAATGTTCCTAATGTTCAATAATATCAAAATACGTTAAACACTTCTCAAGTGCCACTTGTGTGTATATTTCACCAATGGTTCGGCTGACTGTTTCACAATTTGCACACAATTTCATAATTGAATAGTTAAATCATGTCAAATCGAATTTTTTTTACACTCACCAATGGTTCGGCTGACTGTTTCACAGTTTGCACACAATTTCATAATGGAATAGTTAAATCATGTCAAATCGAATTTTTTTTACACAAATTAATTGTCAAGATGTCTAAGACACTAACGCCTCTTTAAACCATATTTCTTTCTTTCTTTTCAGAGCGTGCACTGGTAAGTTTAAGTTAAAAGTATGGAGTGTAATATACTTTAAGCGACAACTCAGCAACGCAGGAACTACTTTGGTATTAGTGCAGGCAAGATAGCATAAGTGCCGGCAGTTGCTGCAATAGAAATGCCGATCACGGTTTATGGTCGGTCTAGACGTATATTATTACCCAAAAAAAAGTCCCAGTCTGAAATCCGTGCCCAAATGGGTCAAATTGGCCAAAATCCAAAATGGCCGCCAGTTTTGGCGTGTAAATTCCGATTTCCACCCAATTATCATAATATGACCGAGTTTGGTATCAAAATATACGTTTTCGGGGTAACTGAATCCATTTCCATACACATTTTTGTGATAAGTGTTACCGCTGAGTCAATAATGGGGGTTATTCAGTTTTGGCGGGAAAATTCGAATTTTACATAAGGATTAAGTTTGGTGTCAAAATAAACGTTTTCGATGTAGCTGAATCCATTTTTGTACATTAAGTGATTCCCGGTGTCAATATAGGAGAAATTACAATTAGGGATTTAGATTTCTGATTGGGGATTAGAGATTAATGATACACCTACCTTAGACCTAATACAATAACATTTATCCACTATCAACTAAATTTCATTTGAAGTGTCTCCCAGCTCACTGCGGTAGCGGCACATGGGTATGTCGACTGGAGCCCTACGCCGCTACCGCAGTGAGCTGAGATACATCTTCAAATGTAATTTAGTTGATACTGGATGAATGTTATTGTATTAGGTCTAAGGTAGGAGTATCATTAATCTCTAATCGGAAATCTAAATCCCTAATTTGAATTATCCTATATTGATACATGGAATCACTTAATCACTCAAATATGTACAAAAAATGGATTCAGCTACCTCGAAACTTGATCTTTATGTAAAATTCGAATTTTCACGCCAAAACAGACCGCCATCTGGAATTATTCCTATGAAAATGGATTCAGTTACCCCGAAGGGGTATATTTTGATACCAAACTCGATCATATTATGATAAGTGGATAAACTGGCGGCCACTTTGGATTTTTGTCAAATTGACCCATTTAAACACGGATTTCTGATTGGGACTTCTTTTTTTTTGTGTTAATTTATGTCTAGACCGTCGGCATCTCTGTGGCGCGAAATTGAGTTACGATGCCTGGACTATGTCTCTATTTTAAGAAGTACCTTAGAAGTAACTGTTCACCGATTTTGTCAAGAACTTTGACAAACAATCATATTAGTTTGGGGCGGCAATAACACTGGCACTACTTCTGCTAAAACGCCCCAGATCAATGAGAATAACAATTTATTGTTACTCTCAATACTAATTTCGAATGCACATTTTGTGGGGAAAAAATCCGATAAAAACAAACTCGTGCGGACTGGCAAGCAGGGGCTTTAACATAATTCGACAAAACATGGATGTATTAAATGAATAATTACCTGCGACGATAAAGTATAATTATAACTGCAACAACAACAACAGCCAATATGACAGCCGATAAAATACCAGCTATACTTCCAGCAGCTAACGTTTGTATTTCTGTAGAAACAAACGGAAACATAATAACAAAGAAATTCACCACAAACAGGTCATTTCTATTCAAGTAAATCATCTCATGGACCGTACAATATAAAAACATTTATATTTTCATAAAATTTCGTCATTTCTCATAAAATTATCATAAAATAGAAAAATATCACAAAAAATATAAAATCTCACTATATCATAAAATGAGACGAAAAAAAATTCAAAATATAAAAGTAACCATTAACCGCTACTCCCAATAATAAATTTCTATACTAATAAATCCGGATGTGAATAAAAAAAATCATCCATGCATTTTATGACCCTCAACTTGCTGCTCTCTTTCATTTTCTGTTTGACAGTATTCAGTCAATGTTACGTGGGTACACGTACAGGGCCCGTAAAGTAGAAGAAAACAGGTAATTTGTCTCGGTGTGGGTACCTAGTGACGGGGTAGGATTAGAATCGGATTCGGTCTGTTTACGTTTTAAGTCAAAATGGTGAATTAAAAACTATAAGTCACCTCCCCGGGCCTTCGCGCCGTGGTGCCCCGATCCGCCCTTGTTCCGTTTGAGGCTCTCACCACCGTCAGGGTATCCGGGCCCAAGCAGGTAAGCAGAGCTTAATCCTCGCTTGTAGAACGCTACAATGATGGTGAGCTTACAAGTGTGCACAAAAGGTTCCGTTGGAATCCAGTTCAACGTGATTTTGGGTATTGAAAATATAAACGAATAGTGATGAAAAAAACAAATTCATTTTGATATTGTGGCGTCTGATGGTCACAATTTTTGATTTTCCATTTGTTTGCTTGCTTAAAATTTGTTTGTCAAAATCGTGTACACCTGACTATTATAACATCAGTGAAACTAAAATGTAGTACATGTTTTTGCTGTTATTAAATCTCAGTGTTTTGCTGGTCCCAGGCCCTGTGTGGGTATAAAAACATAGAAGATGACTGCGACCTTTAATACCACCAGTGGTACGTTCTTATCCGCATACCACTGACTGAACACTACTTCATGGACCGTAGATAAGTTATTTATTGTCAGTAAAGCTATATAAAAAAATCATAATATTTGATAACGATAAAAACATAAAACGTTATGAAATGTGATAAAAATATCATAAAATTTGATAAAAGCATTATAAAATAATTATAGAATTTGATTGAATAATTTCATAAAAATCATAAAATTCCACTAAAAATATAATTTTTTGTCATCTTAATTCTATAGTGTCAACAGTTCTTGAATAGATCATTCATATTCCAATGATAACGATCCTTGAGTAAGTCATTTATATTCCAGTCCCAACTGTCCTCGGCTAAGTCATTTATATTCTAGTGCAAACAGTCCTTGACTAAGTCCTTAAATAAGTCTACCGCCCATCAATTACTTGTATGCACAACTATAATAATAATATGGTGCATTCAATTATAATGTAGCACGGAACATTATGAGTTACAAACCAACAAGAATATTTAAGATTACAAAAATTACAAATATTTCATTCATAACAAATTTTGAAGAGTATAAAGGCTGTAAAAACTTACTCTGGGTACAGTCTGCTAGTTCAAATCCTTCTAAACATAAACCAACACATCTTCCATCAATAATATTACAATCATTATTATCTACACAGTTTCTATTGTCACAATTTAATTTACATTCTAATCCATAAGTTCTGTTATAGCACTCTGTAATAATATTAATAACTTTATTACATCATAACAGACACATTATTTAAACGTAGATAGTTATATTTGAAATAGTATATTATTTTTATGCATTTCTCTTTTACATCAAATGTTTTTTGTGCTATGTTTATGGTTTTTTTTAAATATCTATGCCGTCCTTAACGGGCGTGTTGATACAATACAATCTAATCGTATCTTAATTTACAATCTTATTCATAATTTCTATCAGAGCACAGTTTAATTTAATACATATTTGAAATCTACACCGTGTAAAATGTTGTATTATCATTATACATCATTATAGTTTAGTTTACAATCTATACCACAATTTCTGTTAGAACATTGTGTGATATTATATCGTCAAACTTAAACATGCATGATGCAAGAGGTACATCTGTCTATTGCAGGTTTTTCTTTAGGCTTGAAATGTTATATAAACTATAAATTACACATTTATTAACATAAAAAGACCATAATCAACTCTCCATGCCATCTTATCTATCCGATTTCCATTGGATTTAAATCCGGTCTGTTGTTCAACGTCCGTTGATGATTAAACGCAAAACTGGATAATCGAGACTTTGTTAATTATCGTGACTGCGCTAACAATGACAATCAAGGCAACAAAGATTTTAAAATAAGGTTTTCTCGGCTTAGAGTAAAGCAATTTGACTGAAATTTTCAGCATATTCCCTTGACATCATCTAGTTTTTAACTATTATAGCTCTTTGTCCAATTGTATCTTTAATTACAGTCTACTCCATACATCCTATTCTAATACATGTATATTTATTACAACTTTATTTATTATTTTATCCATAAGATTCTCTGTAGTTTAGGTTATGGACTGCAACATTAATGTCATTGTTTGATTTATGTAAAACAAAATTGGTTGTGTCAATTTAGTGCAATAAATATTACCTTCACTACAATCTATTCCTTGGTAACCGGGACTACAGCCTCCATTACAACTTCCATTTTCTTTTGGACAGCCTGAGTTGTTGGCACATTTTCTGGCGCTACAAGCATATTGGCAGTCTTGTCCATACGAGTTTTCACAATCTGCACATAAAATAGGCCATAAAATAGACAACTATGTAAATGCTGTGTAAAACTATGTACATGCAATTAAGAAATAAGTTATAATAAGAAACTGTATAAACTTTCATCTTAAAAATGATCCGAAATCGCCCCAATGGACCAGAACAAATTCATCTGATCCAATCTGAATAATCACCACCCAAAATAAAATAGGCTTACCTATACCACATTTGAATGGAATGGAATTAGTGTATAAAAAGTCTAAAATATCTAATTCTAAGTAAGCTCTTGCTTCGCCACATGGAACCCAGCAAGTACACATTTAAACAAATCTGTATAAGCACCACTACAAATTTGGTTGAGCGAGCAGTACAGCGAGCAGTTTCGAAGGAGTATGAAAGCGACTAGATTTTGGTTGAAGTTCGGAAAAAGAATTCGAAAATGTAAAAACATAGTGAAAACTAAAGTAAAAGGCTAGAGAATTAGGTGAAAATTAATAGCGCTGTACGACTTACTAATCTGAACACAGTAATCATATCAATATTAAGCAGATTGAATCTGATTAAACCAATCTGATTAAAATACAGATATTTCATTTCGGTTTTTTTATACTTTCGATGGCCTACACTACATGATGATCTGACCACTTGTAGTGGAAGGTCGCGTCAGAGGTCTTATGTGCGGCTTTTGGCCCTATGACACCAGACATTTGATTAACTAATCAGCGTTGATGTTTGTAGTGGGTTATCCACAATAAAAATCGCCGTAACAGACCGTGTCATTGGCTAATCTCTCACATCATTCAGAACGCGGGTTATATAACAGCTCTTCCAGATCCTTGTGTAGTAAAACGAAATTCTGAACTATAAAAAACGAAACGAAATAGGATCTGTGTTTTAATCAGATTGGGTAAGAATATTACAAAATTCAAATCAAAGACCACGGGTAAAGGCGATACTTACCAAGACTACAATCAAGACCTTTATAACCTGGTAAACAATCTTCATTACATGATCCATGTATACGATTGCATTCAGTATTACGTATTCTACACTTTCTATTATCGCAAGATTGTTCACAATAATCACCATAGTAACCAGTTTGACATTCTGAAAACAAAATGCAACACTTTGTTATATGACTGCTGGTGATATATATTACAACGGAATTGATAATAGTTTTGGCGATGTTTAAAGGGCGTGTGGCTTAGTCCATTCTACAGGGCTTTTTTATATTGTCGTCTATGAATCATACCCGAAACTGTAGAATCGTGTACTGATTATAAAATGTTAATTGAGTCTTAAAAATAACGGATATAAGGATACTATGTTTTCACGACAAGATAACAACATCAATATTGATTGAAATTGACCAATATTGAATTGTAATTCTGTTTTTATATTAACTACAAATATTATTGAATATTATTACTGTGAAAGATTTTACCCCGAATGCAATCTCTTCTTCAAATTTTTCATTTTCCAGCCACAAAACAACGTTTATATATAACTATGAACAGAATCCTGGTTGCACAGTTTATCACATTAGATTTTAGCAGTCATTTACATACATGTAATCGGTAATTTCACAATCACATTACATTGATTACATTACAAAATAACTGTTTACTGTTTCCATGTAATCCAGTTCTATGCTATTATTATCATCATGGTCTAATTATAATTGTGCAGTTACTAAATTGAATTTGATCACCTCGAATCTCACATTTACAATTCAAATGCTGGCCCAATACAGTTAATTTGTAATACACTTTATTTGTATTAAATCTATCAGTCTTTTTACCTTGAGTACAGTCGTCGCCCTGATATCCTGCTACACAGCCTTGATCACATTTACCAGTAATGTGATTACATGTTGAGTAGCGTGTTCGACAATGTCGTAAAGTACAACGATTTGAACAAAATTCACCGTAGTTACCATAATAAACACCATCATTAGTTCTATCGACGTAATTACACTCTGAAGAAATAATTATAACCTAATAAAAAGGCATTATTCCATGATTACATAAAATCAAACAGAATGATCTTCCCAAAATTTGCGTTGTGCTGAACGCTTTCCACCACAGAGGAACATGTGGTAATAATTTAAAGTTTGTATTGTATATTTATGTATATTAAATAGATTGTGTGTTCCCTGTGTCATTTAATAGGAACAAAACAGAATATTAGTGGAACGGTTCGAAGGAGGAGGAGAGGGGGGGGGCTGGGGGGGGGGGGGGTGTAAACGTCCACTCGATACAAACTAGGTCGTTTCGGGACCAACATATATGGTTCAATTTTATTTTAATAATGTGCTTGCGCGTAGGGGTCTGTAGCAGTGGGAGGAAACCGGAGGAACCGGAGAAAACCCACGAGGTTGGACAGGCGACCCTACTCCTTGTCGTCACGTACAACCGGGGAATCGACACCACGCCAGCTGACTCAATGAAAGACCTTATGATACAACGCACACGCTAACCATTCAGCCATCGAACGCCCCTATTTACTGCGTGGTCAAAGGCGTTTTAGTTCGTCCGGACGTGAATAGCACAAAATCGAATTGGAATGCCACACATTTTAACTAGTCTATACCCGCTGATTCGAACATATAAGGTATATAGCTCCAAATCCACTCAGTACACAAAGTAATTCCACTCTGACATTTAACTTACTCTGTTTACAATCGTCACCCTTCCAACCAGGTTTACATCCTCCATCACATTTTCCATTCTCTATATCACATGATGATGACCCTAGACAGTTTCTATCTTTACATAGCTTATTACAATTCTCTCCATAGTTTATAGACTGATTACATTCTACAAATAAAACGTATTATCTATACTAATATTTGTGACTGTCGTTTGTCTGTCTGTTTGTCTGTCTGTCTGTTCGGGGTTGGCGGCTACCTAGGTCTGCCCCGAGTCTGAAATTTGGGGTATAGGGGTAGCTCGGACCGGGGAGTAACATAGGCCAGGTGGCGTTAGTCTACCACTTCCGGTTTCGGGGTTATGACCCCCGAGCGAAGCCGGGCATTCTGCTAGTTCTTAATAAAACATAATATAGCTTGCCAGTGTATGCCGAGAAGAAATTTTCGGATTTGTCAAGCCTGGTCCTCTCATGTCATGGATGCTCATGTGCACGTAAAACAACCCTTGGCAGTTGGAATTTGATGAAGAATGGGTTTATTACCTAACGTAACAATTGGAATGAAAAATACAATCCATTCCATTTCTAATAGTTTTATTGTAAAATCCCCACCCGCTATCCTGTACTTCATCCCTGGGTACAACTACAATTTTTAACATGATTATTGTGCTTTTTCTTCAGATTATGTAATAAGTCATCCCAACCTGAGTACATTCATCACCCTGATATGGTTGTTGTTTATAATGTATGATGTAACGTTTAAATTTACCTTGGACACAGTCATTACCCTGATATCCTGCTTGGCATCCACCGTCACATCTACCAGTCACATGATCACATGAACTTGAATTGACACAATGACGTGATTTGCAATCTTTAGAACAATGTTTTCCGTACTTGTATTGACCATGTGAAGTCTGGCTACTAAAGTTTCCATCATTACATTCTGTGGATTAAAATATCAACCATCATTTTAACACTCCATGTTCTTATTTAACTGTCTGATTAAACATTATTATATCATCATGGAGAAATATATTACACTATAGTAAAATGATAAAAAAACACGTTTAACTACTCTATTATTGTTATAATATTACACTTCTTAAATATTATCATACAAAAATATTATCAACTGTTTAAAATATTATTACATGAAGAAATATATTACACTATAGACGTCAAATCTACGTTTTAATTACTGTATTATTATATAACAACATACAGATATGTTTATATAAGCCTAATCCATATTTTAACTACTGTGAGAGATATTTAACAATAATAATTGACACACGTAATAAACATAAAAACATAATATGGAACACAATTACTATTTCAATTAAGTTCAACGAAACGTCACTTTAATTAAAATGTTAATTGTTTTTGTGTTTAGTATTGTATTATTATATTACACTATAGAAATAATATGTTTATATAATACTATTGTATCATACTATAGAAATATGTTAATATAAGCCTGATACATACTTTATAATATATAATGAATAAATGTATCTAACTTAAGACAATATTCAACTTACTCTGTCTGCAATCGTCACCCTTCCAACCTGGTTTACACCCTCCTTCACATTTACCATTTTTTGTATCACATGATGATGATGATATCAGACAATTTCTATCACTACATAATTTATTACAATCCTCTCCATAGTTTATAGTCTGATTACATTCTACAACAAAACACATTACATTATGTATATTGCACGCTGCTATTCAAACTAATGTTGTTTTAATTTTTGTTTATTAATTCTAGTTGAAGTTAAAGAGGTAATAGCGCTTTCGTCGGTCGGTTGGCCGCGAGTTAACTAAGCATTTATATTAAAATAGGAGGCAACTCTGTCATTCCATTGCTAAGAAATGGGGCGTCAACTTTGTAGACTATTGTGTCTGAAAGAGTTGAGTGAAACTGCATCTATAGCTTTTATGTCACATTTGAGCAAAACGAATAAACATGTGAAAAGAAGCCGTGTCTATATATTCAGGCCTGTAGTGATAAATAAATCTGTCATCAGTAAAATTACCTTGAGTACAATCACCACCTTGATATCCTGCACTACATCCTTGATCACATTTACCAGCTACGGGATCACATGAAGATCGTTGTCGACAATGCCGTGACTTACACTCTTTAGAACAATCTTTGCCGTACTTGTATATTCCACGTGAATCCCCACTACTAAATTTCCCGTCATTACACTCTAAAATATTAACACTCATATCTAAAGCCATTATAATTATTTCAACTCGGAGAGCAAGTCTCAGGAGGATATTATATTTTCACGCAAACTCAAAAGATTACATATTTATGGAGATTTGAAATACATCTGGAAGTAAAATTACCATATTAATATAAAACAAAAGTGGTTGCCATAATAATATAACCCACCTTATTGTCAATTAGACGCTAAAGAAAAAAATATAGACACATCTACAGATCGAGATAATGTTTTTATCATATTGTTATATTCTATGAATTAGCAAACTATTTATTTTTCCATTTGGTAACAGGACTCATTTTGTTAGATATCGAACGATCCGAAAGTGTCCTGAAAAACTACCATCGAGATAAAACGAAATTAGAGAGATTCGATTCAACCGAAATGCTATTCGTTCTGCGCGATACTGATTTGGACATTGACAATAAATTATTAGGGCCATGTTTCACGAAATATTAACTAAAGATAAAATCCAAATTTTAGTAGATACTTCAATTTTGATTGGCTAAGCACTAAAACCAATCTAATATTATCCAATCAAATTACTAAAATTTGGATTTTATCTTAGTTAAAATTTTGTGAAACAGGCCCCAGCTTCGCAGACGTGTTTCATCAATCCCTGGGCTTTTTAAGTCTTAAAAGGAGAATATATGAAACAGTTTTCAAATGTCTATACCTACGAAGATTGTGTTTTAAATGTGATGATAGTTCATATGAACATGGCCACTTGAATATTCACAGTGACAATCCACAAAACCAACCTGTTTTAATTATTCCGTTGATTGTATCTGTTATCTAGGACATCCTCCAAATCGCCAATTTCTTGACATCCTCCAAATCGCCTATTTCTTGAAGAGGCCGCCCAAAATATACCTATGCAGGTTTGAACCGTCGGCGTTAAGCCAATAATGGAAGTTTTACATTTTGTTTTATTTATCAATACTGTATTTCCGTAACATATACATTTTCACGCAAAACATGAAAAATATATCTGTCCGTGGTAACTGGAAAAGGTATCATCTCATAATGACGAAGGTTTGTGTTGCTGAGAAATAATTTTGAAAACTATGTGATGAATTTTGTGATAAAATGTATGTAAACCGTACATGGCGTAAGAGCTGTTCCCCTGATTGGTGACATCCATTGCTGGAACTTACCTTGTTTACAATCGTCACCCTTCCAACCTGTTTTACACCCTCCTTTACATGCTCCATTCTTTATATCACATGATGATGATGATATCAGACAATTTCTATCACTACATAATTTATTACAATCCTCTCCATAGTTTATAGTCTGATTACATTCTACAACAAAACACATTACATTATTATACTGATATCAGCAACTTTCTATCATTACGTAACTTATTACAATTCTCTTCATAGTTTACAGACTAATTACATTCTACAACAAAATAACCATACTACATAAGCTTCACGGATGTCATTTTGTTTTAAATTTTCACTCTATTAAAAAAGGCCGTGTCTCTATAGCCTGTAGCTACCACAATTTCCGTCTGTTACTTCTTAACTACTTATTATTACAGTAAAGAAAGAAAAATAATATATGACCTACAAGCGCCGCGAATTTATATTTATTGTTAAAAGAATTTCTTGTGTAATTAGCACTTTTACACTGGGTAAAACCACCAACTAACATTGGGCAGAAAATTGTATACAACCACTACATAATTTTAGTACTTTACTTTTGGTGCATATAATATCATTTACGACTATGTCTTTAACTGATATAATGCTCCACAAAACCATTGATTCTTTTCAACATTATTGTCGTATTTTATATTTTACAAAATAATCTGTGATGTCACTTTAAGTACGGTCTAAATCACTATTTTTTCATCACACTGACCAATCACAAACATAATATAATATGTAATCAGTAAGTTTACCTTGAGTACAATCATCACCATGATATCCACCATTACATCCTTGATCACATTCACCAGTTACATAGTTACATGAAGAAGGTTGTCGACAATGACGCGACATACACTCTTTAGAACAATCTTTGCCGTACCTATATATTCCAGAAGTTCGATTACGGAATCCTCCATCATTACATTCTGTGGATTTATAAATTAGAATATATATTATAACTATTTTAACGCCTGATTGTCTAAACTATTCTTGCTATATTGGAAATATAACCTATAGGCATGATACGTATTTTAACAACTGCTGACATTTGCGAGCAAGGTAGATATTAGAGAATATTTATGGAGAACTGATATTCTGTGGTTATTTCAACCCATTTTGTTCATCTGGAAGTAAAATTACGATTTATGTTATCATAATACATGTATATATATAAAACAAATGTGATCCTAATATCAAATATAATTTAAGACACAATGTCCCTCGTGATTTCTATGGACATAATGGTTTCGAGCGTCATTTGTCGTGACTAAAGAAAACATATCCCAGAAGACAACGCAGAAGTAATTAAAAATGACTGATTCACCAGACGCCCCCCCCCCCCTCCAACTTCCAAAATTAAGCAGGCGCAAATTAACAATCTACAGACTAAATTTTATAATAATAATTTACAAAAATTTAAATTATTACAAATTGGTCAACAACAAATTTCTAAATTAACCGGGTCTTAAAATTTTCATATGTTGATGTACAGGCATAGCCAATTGAACATACTCTGCCTACAATCGTTACCCTTCCAACCAGGTTTACATCCTCCATCACATTTTCCATTCTCTATATCACATGATGACGACCCTTGACAGTTTCTATCTTTACATAGCTTATTACAATTCTCCCCATAGTTTGAATTCTGATTACAACCTAAAACAAATTGTTTACATAATATAATGGCGATGATGATATCAGACAGTTTATATCTTTAAGCATTGTATTGCAATTCACTTCATATACCCATTATACATCTACAAATAAGAAGGAATGGAGGCATGTCCTTGGTTGATTGATCGTGATTGTCTTCATGATGCAGAAGTTTCACGATAAGTCTGACATCTAATTAGCCCAGGTAATATTTGTCAAACACATCTAGCAGACATGGATTATTCCCATTGCTTTCAAAGAATAGTGGCCATTAATATTAATCATTAATTAGTTTGTTTTATACTATTCAAAAAACAAAACTTTAGAATAGTATAAAACTGTCACTGCTGTTAAAGACTGGACGCGCCACTAATGGTAGGGTGGAAGGTGTGTCTTTATATAGGCCACCTGGTAAGACATTTTCAACTTACCCAGTGTACAATCTTCACCCTGCCAACCTGGCTGACACCCTCCTTCACATTTTCCATTCATTTGATCACATGATGATTTTAACAAACATTTTCTACTATTACATGATTTTTTACAATTCTGTCCATAATTTATATCTTGATTACAACCTTCAAAACAATAACATAAACCAATTGTTTCTAATCACGACAGGCACATTTACATGTATATCTCCTCCTCTGGATATTGTGGATAATACAAGTTGGTGCAGACTACCGGTTACAATCCTTTATACTGAGAAAGAGAAATTGGGGTTCAAAGTCTACTCGAAACAAACTAGGTCATTTCGAGACTAACATATGGTTCGATTTCATTTCAAAATACCCGGAGAAAACACACAAGGTCGGGCAGGCGATCCCATTCCTTGTTTTCTTCAACCAAGGTATCGAAACCACGCCAGTTGACCCATTGACAGACCTTGGGATTTCACGGGAAAGCGTTAAACTACTAGACCCTCCCCACCCCCACCCACAGTTAAACTGTATAGTGTAAGTTTTACAAGTGTATGTGTAGGTTTAGTGTAATCAAAGTTATACACCAATAGAAGTGTTTTTAACGTTTCACTTAATGTGTAAGTCTATGCCTAGTTAGTTTGTTGTACATCTAACTGTCTTGCTTGGTAAAGGTGTATATAAACGATGTCCTCTCTTGTGTCAGTTTAGTTATTAAACTGACGATATTATACGAGATTTCATTGGTCCTCAGACTGGTATTTTATGTTCTTAGTATCAGTCATTTTCGTTTTGAAATGCCCTCCAAGACAAACGTTTTGAATAATATTAATAGTTGTGTTTTAATAAAATTGATATTATAAAAATATTCATGTTTGATTATAGTTCATCAAATTATGAGCGACCACAAATTTACCTTGAATACAATCACCACCCATATATCCTACTGTACAGCCTAGATCACATTTACCAGTCACATGATCACATGATGATTTGGAACCACTGCAATGTCGTACAGCACAATCTTTAGAACAATTAGGTCCGTATTTGTTGTAATAACCATTACCATCAAATTCTCTCTCATTACATTCTGTCATAAATTAAAAAAAATATATTAATTATTTTGTAATGTATTAAAAAAAAACATTAACACACATGGAGACTTAATGAACTTGATAATGGTAGGATACATCTGATAAGCTGCAGTGGTCATAGATACGATATTCCGGTAAAGACTAAACACGTGCACGTACAAGAACCCTTGGTATTTGGAACCAGACAGAATGTTTACCTCTTAGCACATTTGATAGTGTATGCCCGTCTTCATTAGCAGATAAGTGGGATGTTAATCCCTATTTATTTCAATGTAATTTCATTTTTCATTCCAGTCACTGGGAAAGACATAACCCCATGACAAAAATATATTGTCACGAGATAACTATTATTAAGCTATATATTGTCATTAGTTCCGAAATGACCCTCTCTCTCTCTCTCTCTCTCTCTCTCTCTCTCTCCAAAATAAATGTACGAGGGCTGGCTACGTAAGCCTATCTGTGAAAGACCTGTACAAAGTTCGGTGGTTTCTATTTATTTTTCTACATAGTCCCCTTCGAGGTGTACGCGCTTTTGCCAACGATGTTGCAAGGTCACCCACCCTAGAAAAAGTTGTTCGCAGAATGACGACCGGCTATTTCCTTTTTCATTTTTGGAAACATGTCTCATCCAAGGTTACAAATCTGGCCAAAAAATTACCAGGATGGGCGATAATGTGGACAACCCTCCCATGAGAGATGCCAACAGCAGTGGTAAATGCACTGGTGAACTAGCACCATAACGCGAAAAATACGACACAGCAAATCGTGAATAATACCGGAGACCAATACTGCTCCATACGTAAATGATACACTTTTATCACACAGTAGGCTAATCGCCAATTACAAGTCTTTTTTACTGTCGGATGACGTGTTGGCATTTAATAAAACGTCAACTTCCATCTTTACTGTTTCGCGAAATCTTATTAATGAGCCTGATTTTAATCCAATTGAATCGAAGGCGGGAAATTATCTAGCGTTAATATTTCGGCTTTGTTTTCTTCATTAAATGTCAAATAATCAATCTGAGTATAGAAATAAGCATAGATATTTTAGCGAAAATGACGCATCGTTACTTTAATTTGGACATATTAGCGCAAACTAATATAACGAAATATGCGAATCACGCACAGTGACTTTTCATAAACTGTTTTATTAGTTTTTACTATTCTCTTACGGAATTACTGTTATCCGTTTATAAAGATTACCATGGAATAAATATTCAACTTACTCTGTCTGCAATCTGTACCCTTCCAACCTGGTTTACACCCTCCATCACATGTTCCATTCTTTATATCACATGATGATGATGATGATGATATCAGACAATTTCTATCACTACATAATTTATTACAATCCATTCCATAGTTTATAGATTCTATGCAGTCTATAAAAATAGATTATTTTTTTTTACATAAAATCGGTGTGCCACAGAATCACGATATTAAGTTTACTCTGCTATTACACGGATAATTCTCTATAATATGCAAAGATTGGCTAGATTTTTCAACAAAAGCATCACATATCATGCTGGCAATATTATTACTCAGATTGTATGTAACGAGAAGATATAGCTCACTTTGTATATAATAGACAACATCGGAAAGTATATCCTGCAAGGTAATCTTGTAATCGATCATATTTTGTGGGACAATATTGGACGTCGTGCCTCCCACGGTCCCCAACCGCAAAAGCTCCGTACAAAGGAAATAACACTGTACAAGAGTGGCGAAAGATCCCATAAGCAGCCATTAAGAGGCTTATTTCGTCCATGCGGCGGCATTGCATGCATTTGTGATTGTTAGAGGTGGACAAGCACATTACTGATTTTGATTTTTACCCCTTTTGCTAACGCTTTACTGCAACGTCAAATTCTTATTGGCCTCCACGAGTTGTTGTTGATTTCCTTGTGTCGATTAATGTCAAGCCTACAATCATTTCAGAAATTAAAATTATGTCTGGTAAGCGATTCCAGTCAGTGGTCTGTTCCCATTACTGGTTAGTATGTATGTTAGATCATTAAAACTTGTTAATTATGTTAAAGACCGCTAGAAAGCCCCACCTAGTCATTTACAACTATCTAATAGTAAGTGCAGGAGGACCGCACTACACGCAAAACAAAAATCTACAAGATAAACCTGCGGACAAGACAGAAAATAGACATTGCAACAAATATCTGCATAGTCATACACAACTTTTGTAAAGTTTTAGCGATGGTTTCAGAGCGTCTCAATATTATGAACTGCAACTTTCAGTTTGACTTTCATAGGTCTACTTAAATTCCCTTTAATCAACTGATACCCTGCTCGCATAAGCAAGACTGTAATCGGCAAATTTACCTTGAGTACAATCATCACCCTGATATCCTGCTGCACATCCTTGATCACATTTACCAGTAATGTGATTACAGAGTGACATGGAATTGAAACAGTGTCGCAACCCACAATCGTTTGAACAGTTCTGACCGTATGTTAGTGCAATGTTCCCATCCGTACTTTCTTCGTTATTGCATTCTGCAGACAGATAAGTAACATATATGATTAATTTTAATAGAAGTTATATAACAAATAATTATGAAATATAGCAAAGGATTATAGATAAATACGGCGTCCTTATTTGACACCTTATAGAACTTACTTTGTTTACAATCGTCACCCTTCCAACCTGGTTTACACCCTCCTTTACATGTTCCATTCTTTATATCACATGATGATGATGATATCAGACAATTTCTATCACTACATAATTTATTACAATCCTCTCCATAGTTTATAGTCTGATTACATTCTACAACAAAACACATTACATTATTATACTGATATCAGCAACTTTCTATCATTACGTAACTTATTACAATTCTCTTCATATGATTATTTTCCATATAAATGCTTGTTGTGTTTCATGTGGACGTATATTGTCGTCACCCCTGTCCGTCCGTCCGTCCGTCCGTCCACAATTTGTCTGTTGACACTCTAGAGGTCACAATTTTTATCCGATTTTGATGAAACTTGAAATATAGGGTTATCTCCAAACGATCTCGGTTCTTGTCGATATTGCCATGTATCGGATTGAAACTTCATGGATTCTGGCCCCTGATTGTACGAAAAATCACGTTTTTAACTTGTGGACACCCTAGAGGTCACAACCTTTATCCGATTTTGATGAAACTTAAAATATATGTTTATAACGATAAAAATTGTGAACTGTGGAGTGTCCACAAACAAATTAAGGACGACGGACGGGTATACTGGGGCGATGACAATATACATCCACATAAAAACGTAATAATTTCCTAAATTTTGTGAAGCCTGTAGACTTGCATCTTCCCGGGGTCAAGTACCGACAGAAGCTAAGACCCATTGCAAATTTCGTCGAGATATAAATAGGGAACGGGTTTGGGTTAGGGCTAACCCACAATCTCATCAACAACCACGTGCCCTAACCCTTTTTACATCTCGTGACCTATGGTGAAATCGGCAATATGTCTTAACTTTTGGTCGTTGCCGTACGAACACTGACAGTTTACACTGCTGCAATTACATCATCCACCAGATATTAGACCTCGCAATATACATGTATACTCAAATAGTGTAAATCTTTACCGACGGGCGGGCGACTTATTTTTGGCTTGCAACCGATCTGGTCTTGTGACAGACAAGGTATATCTAGAACAGTGCTTTAGTTATTTTCATGTTTACTTTATTTGATCTACTCAATCTATAAAACTTACTTATATTACAACTTATTCCAGTATATTCACCAGCACACCCATTGGGACATTGACCTGTGACCTTATCACATCTATCATCAGGTAATTGACAGTAACACAGTGATGTACAATCTGGTCCAAATGTTCCAACCGAACAAACTATTATAAATAATATAAAGTTTAAATGGTAAATATATATAAGAATGTTTTTGGTTAGATAAAAAGCTGTATACAACGGTTCTACTTTAGGTGCCCACTACTGAACAGGTTGGGATGCACGTAAAAGAGCCCTTGATAGTTGCAAAACGATGAAGAGTAAACGGAATTACCGTTGTCCGAGTAACAATGTCCGTAAACATGTAACCATGGACATCTTTCAATTTAAGGCTATTATAAAATACCATGTTAAACCACATCAATTCCCGGCTCTGTTAATCTTGACTGTTGGCCGGACTGGTTCAATAGTAAAAATCAAATTAAACACCAATATAACTTACCGTACACTTCTACTTCACATAGATTAACAAATACATCGTCTTCATATTTATGAAAATTATTTGAAATAGTTAGATATCTTCCTATGTTATTACATCTTATAGTAAAGACAGGTGCCACAGTGGGTTGATTTTGAAAATTACAGGGAATTTTGGTTTGATTTGTTTCATCAATGAATACTTTAAAGCCTTCTAATCTTTTATAATCTATAATAAAATAATAAGAGAACCTTATGAATATAGTATTATCAATCCTAAAACTAATGGGCAATAGAATTCAAAGTGTTTCCACCCAATATAATACGAGATTATTATGTTTAATGTATAGAGTATACGTAGGCCTACACGCATTATCAATCCTAAAGTTAGCGGGCCAAGATTTTCAAAGTTTCTAGTAAATGCACTGGTGAACTAGCGCCAAAACGCTAAAAATAAATCCGACACAGCAAATCATGTATAATACCTGAGACCAATAGCAGTCTCTCACTCGAGATCTGGTATAAATATTCTGGGACATTAAATAATTTTATAACTCGATTAGTCGTGTGTATACTCTCCCCCCCCCCCCCCCCCCCATCTCTCATTTCCTTTACTTTTGGTCCAGACACGAAAGTCGGGTTTTGTTGAATAGTCATGGTTTGGAGGCGGAAGAATAACGGAACTTAGGGGTTAGTGACGATGATGTTATGTTCCGCAGATAGTTACGTTCACTATATATGTTACTTCCAAATTGCGTATCTCAATATTTCCACAGTCAGCTTCGTATACTCTTTAGAGCAAGATATTGCCAAATATTGCCCTGTCTTTGAAGGAGATCACTCAGTCCTTAGATTGTAGCTAGTCGAATATTCAAAACCCAATTCTTACGGGCATCTCTTAGATATATTTGAATATCTGTAACCGGATAACTGTGGTTCATGTCGACAGACCAGTAAGCAAGTTCTGTTCCGCCGGCTGTGTGACTACATCGTTCATAATCACTGGCATGATTAGTATCACCATCTACAGCATATCCAGCACTTCTTATACCATCATCATCACTATAGGTAGAACTCTGTCCAGTTCGTTTTTTGAATGCTACATTTTCTATAAATGCAAGAGATGTCTCATAAAATATTTGTAAGATAGCATCCTGTCTCATAATCATAAATAAAATATAATGAACATTGACAAAGCAAATCAACAACTAAAAAACCTGCGCCAGCAATAAACTAAACTTGTCCAGTTTGTGCTACGTTTGCCCCGATGGCATGCCTTAGTAAAATAACCCTTGGAAATTGAAATTCAATTGCTGTACACGCAAAATATACCTCAAAGCGTATCGCGTACGTCCGCTAGAGCAAAAATTTAGGACATAAACCACATTCCATTCATTCATTCCATCGTAAAGTTACAAACTTTTTTAAAAGTACCTTTTTGACATGATGAACCATACCAGCCTTTTTGACATTTACCACTAGAACAGTGACCTGTATTCTTGTTACACAGTCCACCATTACAATGGCATGTATATCTCTCATCATATCCAAATCTTCTTACTTCTCCTGCCATAAAAAAGTACCATAAAGCCAAAGCATTGGGAACATGAGAGGACGAACGTTATTGATATTCAACATTAACTTTTTCGTTTTGGAGTTATCCCCGCTTCTCCGAAAACTTTGTTAATGCACCAGGGATTATAGTTTTAGCGGATTTGGTTTAAAATTGACGAACCCTATAGATATTTGGCATTCCGCGACCTTCAAGTCTAGAGCCCCCCCCCCCTCCGAAAACCTTGTTGACGCGATAGAGATTATAGTTGTTAACGGAGTGAAGCTTCGGGATCATGAACGGACGAGCCCTGTCGATATTCAGCATTCCGCGACCTCCTGTTTAGCGATAGAGACTACATTTATAAATGATTTCTTTTAAATTATTAGTTGTGAACCGTTGGCGTCACATGTTCCATTCTTTATATCACATGATGATGATGATGATGATATCAGACAATTTCTATCACTACATAATTTATTACAATCCTCTCCATAGTTTATAGATTCTATGCAGTCTATAAAAATAGATTTTTTTTTTACATAAAATCGGTGTGCCACAGAATCACGATATTAAGTTTACTCTGCTATTACACGGATATCAGACAATTTCTATCACTACATAATTTATTACAATCCTCTCCATAGTTTATAGATTCTATGCAGTCTATAAAAATAGATTTTTTTTTTACATAAAATCGGTGTGCCACAGAATCACGATATTAAGTTTACTCTGCTATTACACGGATAATTCTCTATAATATGCAAAGATTGGCTAGATTTTTCAACAAAAGCATCACATATCATGCTGGCAATATTATTACTCAGATCGTATGTAACGAGAAGATATAGCTCACTTTGTATATAATAGACAACATCGGAAAGTATATCCTGCAAGGTAATATATTGTCACGGGATAACTATTATTAAGTGTCATTAGTTCCGAAATGACCCTCTCTCTCTCTCTCTCTCTCTCTCTCTCTCTCTCCAAAATAAATGTACGAGGGCTGGCTACGTAAGCCTTTCTGTGAAAAAAGACCTGTACAAAGTTCGGTGGTTTCTATTTATTTTTCTACATAGTCCTCTTCGAGGTGTACACCCTTTTGCCAACGATGTTGCAAGGCGTGGATGCCGGTCAGGAGGAAATTTTTTTCACCCACCCTAGAAAACATTGTTCGCAACTGACACGACGTCGTCATTTTTAGGAAAATGACTACCGGCTAGTTCCTTTTACAATTTTGGAAACAGGTCTCATCCATGGTTACAAATCTGGCCAAAAAATTACCAGAATGGAAGATAATGTGGCGATAATGTGCCCAACCCTCCTATGAGAGATAGTCCCCTTCGAGGTGTACACGCTTTTGCCAACGATGTTGCAAGGCGTGGATGCCGGTCAGGAAGAAATCTTTTTCACCCGCCATAGAAAAAGTTGTTCGCAAAATGACGACCGGCTATTTCCTTTTTCATTTTTGGAAACGGGTCTCATCCATGGTTACAAATCTGGCCAAAAAATTACCAGGATGGGCGATAATGTGGACAACCCTCCCATGAGAGATGCCAACAGCACTGGTATTATGCCGAGTGATCAATCGTCGATCAGCCATCACCATGTCATGCACCCGGATAAATGTTTTCTAGAGACGGCAAATGGTATCTCTCTCTCTCTCTCTCTCTCTCTCTCTCTCTCTCTCTCTGAAGTTTCTGCGTGGTAAATGCACTGGTGAACTAGAACCCAAACGCGAAAAAATACGACACAGCAAATCGTGAATAATACCGGAGACCAGTACTGCTCTATACGTAAATGATACACTTTATCACACAGTAGGCTAATCGCCAATTACAATTATTTTTACTGTCGGATGACGTGTTGGTATCATAAAACGTCGACCTCCATCTTTACTGTTTCGCGAAATCTTATTAATGGGCCTGATTTTAATCCAATGAATCGAAGGCGGAAGATTATCTAGAGTTGATATTTCGGCTTTGTTTTCTTGATGTTAAATAATCAATCTGAGTATAGAAATAAGCATAGATATTTTAGCGAAAAATGCAAATGACGCATCGTTACTTTAATTTGGACATATTAGTGCGAACTAAACAGTGAAAAATTTGATATCTATATATAACGAAATATGCGAATCACGCACAGTAACTTTTCATAAACTTTTTTATTAGTTTTTACTATTTTCTTATGGAATTACTGTTATCCGTTTATAAAGATTGCCATGGAATAAATGTATCTAACTTAGGACAATATTCAACTTACTCTGTCTGCAATCTATACCCTTCCAACCTGGTTTACACCCTCCATCACATGTTCCATTCTTTATATCACATGATGATGATGATGATGATATCAGACAATTTCTATCACTACATAATTTATTACAATCCTCTCCATAGTTTATAGTCTGATTACATTCTACAACAAAACACATTACATTATTATACTGATATCAGCAACTTTCTATCATTACGTAACTTATTACAATTCTCTTCATATGATTATTTTCCATATAAAAGCTTGTTGTGTTTCATGTGGACGTATATTGTCGTCACCCCTGTCCGTCCGTCCGTCCGTCCACAATTTGTCTGTTGACACTCTAGAGGTCACAATTTTTATCCGATTTTTGTCGATATTGCCATGTATCGGATCGAAATTTCATGGATTCTGGCCCCTGATTGTACGAAAAATCACGTTTCTAACTTGTGGACACCCTAGAGGTCACAACCTTTATCCGATTTTGATGAAACTTAAAATATATGTTTATAACGATAAAAATTGTGAACTGTGGAGTGTCCACAAACAAATTAAGGACGACGGACGGGTATACTGGGGCGATGACAATATACATCCACATAAAAACGTAATAATTTCCTAAATTTTGTGAAGCCTGTAGACTTGCATCTTCCCGGGGTCAAGTACCGACAGAAGCTAAGACCCATTGCAAATTTCGTCGAGATATAAATAGGGAACGGGTTTGGGTTAGGGCTAACCCACAATCTCATCAACAACCACGTGCCCTAACCCTTTTTACATCTCGTGACCTATGGTGAAATCGGCAATATGTCTTAACTTTTGGTCGTTGCCGTACGAACACTGACAGTTTACACTGCTGCAATTACATCATCCACCAGATATTAGACCTCGCAATATACATGTATACTCAAATAGTGTAAATCTTTACCGACGGGCGGGCGACTTATTTTTGGCTTGCAACCGATCTGGTCTTGTGACAGACAAGGTATATCTAGAACAGTGCTTTAGTTATTTTCATGTTTACTTTATTTGATCTACTCAATCTATAAAACTTACTTATATTACAACTTATTCCAGTATATTCACCAGCACACCCATTGGGACATTGACCTGTGACCTTATCACATCTATCATCAGGTAATTGACAGTAACACAGTGATGTACAATCTGGTCCAAATGTTCCAACCGAACAAACTATTATAAATAATATAAAGTTTAAATGGTAAATATATATAAGAATGTTTTTGGTTAGATAAAAAGCTGTATACAACGGTTCTACTTTAGGTGCCCACTACTGAACAGGTTGGGATGCACGTAAAAGAGCCCTTGATAGTTGCAAAACGATGTCCGAGTAACAATGTCCGTAAACATGTAAACATGGACATCTTTCAATTTAAGGCTATTATAAAATACCATGTTAAACCACATCAATTCCCGGCTCTGTTAATCTTGACTGTTGGCCGGACTGGTTCAATAGTTAAAATCAAATTAAACACCAATATAACTTACCGTACACTTCTACTTCACATAGATTAACAAATACATTGTCTTCATGTTTATGAAAATTATTTGAAATAGTTAGATATCTTCCTATGTTATTACATCTTATAGTAAAGACAGGTGCCACAGTGGGTTGATTTTGAAGATTACAGGGAATTTTGCTTTGATTTGTTTCATCAATGAATACTTTAAAGCCTTCTAATCTTTTATAATCTATAATAAAATAATAAGAGAACCTTATTAATATAGTATTATCAATCCTAAAACTAATGGGCAATAGAATTCAAAGTGTTTCCACCCAATATAATACGAGATTATTATGTTTAATGTATAGAGTATACGTAGGCCTACACGCATTATCAATCCTAAAGTTAGCGGGCCAAGATTTTCAAAGTTTCTAGTAAATGCACTGGTGAACTAGCGCCAAAACGCTAAAAATAAATCCGACACAGCAAATCATGTATAATACCTGAGACCAATAGCAGTCTCTCACTCGAGATCTGGTATAAATATTCTGGGACATTAAATAATTTTATAACTCGATTAGTCGTGTGTATACTCTCCCCCCCCCCCATCTCTCATTTCCTTTACTTTTGGTCCAGACACGAAAGTCGGGTTTTGTTGAATAGTCATGGTTTGGAGGTGGAAGGATAACGGAACTTAGGGGTTAGTGACGATGATGTTATGTTCCGCAGATAGTTACGTTCACTATATATGTTACTTCCAAATTGCGTATCTCAATATTTCCACAGTCAGCTTCGTATACTCTTTAGAGCAAGATATTGCCAAATATTGCCCTGTCTTTGAAGGAGATCACTCAGCCCTTAGATTGTAGCTAGTCGAATATTCAAAACCCAATTCTTACGGGCATCTCTTAGATATATTTGAATATCTGTAACCGGATAACTGTGGTTCATGTCGACAGACCAGTAAGCAAGTTCTGTTCCGCCGGCTGTGTGACTACATCGTTCATAATCACTGGCATGATTAGTATCACCATCTACAGCATATCCAGCACTTCTTATACCATCATCATCACTATAGGTAGAACTCTGTCCAGTTCGTTTTTTGAATGCTACATTTTCTATAAACGCAAGAGATGTCTCATAAAATATTTGTAAGATAGCATCCTGTCTCATAATCATAAATAAAATATAATGAACATTGACAAAGCAAATCAACAACTAAAAAACCTGCGCCAGCAATAAACTAAACTTGTCCAGTTTGTGCTACGTTTGCCCCGATGGCATTCCTTATAAATCTTCGGACTATTATGGCGAAACTACGGAAAATGATACGGAGCGCCATTACAGAAATTATTCTAAATTCTACAATGCTGTTAATTTATTCATAAAGGTCAGTGACCAAAAATTAAAATCATAATGAGCGCTTACCTGTGTTAATTAGATTATTTTGATTATTGACGTTTGTCGTCCACAGGTTGTCACAATCATACAATAAGATTAAAAACCGTCGGAAACTTACCGTCGTCAACAAACAGTCAATTATTCTACGTTGACATCTGAACATATAAAAGACTACAAAAGACACAGTATGGTAGACCGTAGACAACACAAAGCCAACAGCGTCTAATCTTTCGGATGTTCCGTGTCTAGTGTTCGTAAAATAACCCTTGGCAATTGAAATTCAATTGCTGTACACGCAAAATATACCTCAAAGCGTATCGCGTACGTCCGCTAGAGTAAAAATTTAGGACATAAACCACATTCCATTCATTCATTCCATCGTAAAGTTACAAACTTTTTTAAAAGTACCTTTTTGACATGATAAACCATACCAGCCTTTTTGACATTTACCACTAGAACAGTGACCTGTATTCTTGTTACACAGTCCACCATTACAATGGCATGTATATCTCTCATCATATCCAAATCTTCTTACTTCTCCTGCCATAAAAAAGTACCATAAAGCCAAAGCATTGGGAACATGAGAGGACGAACGTTATTGATTTTCAACATTAACTTTTTCGTTTTGGAGTTATCCCCGCTTCTCCGAAAACTTTGTTAATGCACCAGGGATTATAGTTTTAGCGGATTTGGTTTAAAATTGACGAACCCTATAGATATTTGGCATTCCGCGACCTTCAAGTCTAGAGCCCCCCCCCCCCTCCTCCGAAAACCTTGTTGACGCGATAGAGATTATAGTTGTTAACGGAGTGAAGCTTCGGGATCATGAACGGACGAGCCCTGTCGATATTCAGCATTCCGCGACCTCCTGTTCAGCGATAGAGACTACATTTATAAATGATTTCTTTTAAATTATTAGTTGTGAACCGTTGGCGTCACGATAAGACGTTAACCACCCCCTTTACCGAAAACGTTGGCAGTGAGATAGAGGATGCAGTCTTTGACGGATTTCAGTTTTGGTGTGAAGCATTAGGGCAATGAAACATTTGAGGACCTTAGGCTTAACAGTTTAAAGAAGCCACGTTGGCCAAGAAAGTTCATCGTGATTTTCCGGCGTGGTTCCCCCTGCCAGTGACGTGGGACGGAGGGCCTGGCAGCGAACAACATGTAGTCCTTCGGATGTGACGAAAACCCGAGTTCCAGTATACACACTGGGGTGCATGTTAAAGAACCCTTGGAAGTTGGAATTCGAAATAAGAGTAGGCCATAGTGCCGCTGTCCGGGCAAGATTTCCCTTATAGCACAAGGTATGGCGTATGCCCGTCTTCATTAGCCCAGTTCGGAGCAGAACAGTAGGACGTTAAACCCCATTTCATTTCATTTCATTTCTTCATTAGCCCGGATGGAGCAGATAAGTTGAATGTTAATCCCTATTTATTTCATTTCTCAGTCCAGTCACTGGGAAAGACAAAATAATATATTGTCACGAGATAACTATTATTAAGTGTCATTAGTTCCGAAATGACCCTCTCTCTCTCTCTCTCTCTCTCTCTCTCTCTCTCTCTCTCTCCAAAATAAATGTACGAGGGCTGGCTACGTAAGCCTTTCTGTGAAAAAAGACATGTACAAAGTTCGGTGGTTTCTATTTATTTTTCTACATAGTCCTCTTCGAGGTGTACACCCTTTTGCCAACGATGTTGCAAGGCGTGGATGCCGGTCAGGAGGAAATTTTTTTCACCCACACTAGAAAACATTGTTCGCAACTGACACGACGTCGTCATTTTTAGGAAAATGACTACCGGCTAGTTCCTTTTACAATTTTGGAAACAGGTCTCATCCATGGTTACAAATCTGGCCAAAAAATTACCAGAATGGAAGATAATGTGGCGATAATGTGCCCAACCCTCCTATGAGAGATAGTCCCCTTCGAGGTGTACACGCTTTTGCCAACGATGTTGCAAGGCGTGGATGCCGGTCAGGAAGAAATCTTTTTCACCCGCCATAGAAAAAGTTGTTCGCAAAATGACGACCGGCTATTTCCTTTTTCATTTTTGGAAACGGGTCTCATCCATGGTTACAAATCTGGCCAAAAAATTACCAGGATGGGCGATAATGTGGACAACCCTCCCATGAGAGATGCCAACAGCACTGGTATTATGCCGAGTGGTCAATCGTCGATCAGCCATCACCATGTCATGCACCCGGATAAATGTTTTCTAGAGACGGCAAATGGTATCTCTCTCTCTCTCTCTCTCTCTCTCTCTCTCTCTCTCTGAAGTTTCTGCGTGGTAAATGCACTGGTGAACTAGAACCCAAACGCGAAAAAATACGACACAGCAAATCGTGAATAATACCGGAGACCAGTACTGCTCTATACGTAAATGATACACTTTATCACACAGTAGGCTAATCGCCAATTACAATTATTTTTACTGTCGGATGACGTGTTGGTATCATAAAACGTCGACCTCCATCTTTACTGTTTCGCGAAATCTTATTAATGGGCCTGATTTTAATCCAATGAATCGAAGGCGGAAGATTATCTAGAGTTGATATTTCGGCTTTGTTTTCTTGATGTTAAATAATCAGTCTGAGTATAGAAATAAGCATAGATATTTTAGCGAAAAATACAAATGACGCATCGTTACTTTAATTTGGACATATTAGCGCGAACTAAAAAGTGAAAAATTTGATATTTATATATAACGAAATATGCGAATCACGCACAGTAACTTTTCATAAACTTTTTTATTAGTTTTTACTATTCTCTTACGGAATTACTGTTATCCGTTTATAAAGATTGCCATGGAATAAATGTATCTAACTTAGGACAATATTCAACTTACTCTGTCTGCAATCGTCACCCTTCCAACCTGGTTTACACCCTCCTTCACATTTACCATTTCTTATATCACATGATGATGATGATTCAAGACATTTTCTGTCTTTACAAAACTTATTACAATTCACTCCATAGTTTATAGATTCTATGCAGTCTATAAAAATAGATTTTTTTTTTACATAAAATCGGTGTGCCACAGAATCACGATATTATGTTTACTCTGCTATTACACGGATAATTCTCTATAATATGCAAAGATTGGCTAGATTTTTCAACAAAAGCATCACATATCATGCTGGCAATAATATTACTCAGATTGTATGTAACGAGAAGATATAGCTCACTTTGTATATAATAGACCACTTTGGAAAGTATATCCTGCAAGGTAATCTTGTAATCGATCATATTTTGTGGGACAATATTGGACGTCGTGTCTCCCACGGTCCCCAACTGCAAAAGCTCCGTACAAAGGAAATAACATTGTACAAGAGTGGCGAAAGATCCCATAAGCAGCCATTAAGAGGCTTATTTCGTCCATGCGGCGGCATTGCATGCGTTTGTGGTTGTTAGAGGTTTGATTTTTACCCCTTTTGCTAACGCTTTACTGCAACGTCAAATTCTTATTGGCCTCCATGAGTTGTTGTTGATTTCCTTGTGTCAATTAATGTGAAGCCTACAATCATTTCAGAAATTAAATTCAGCTGCATTATGTCTGGTAAGCAATTCCAGTCAGTGGTCTGTTTCCATTACTGGTTAGTATATTTTAGATCATTAAAACTTTTTGATTATGTTAAAGACCGCTAGAAACCCCCACCTAGTCATGTACAACTATCTAAAGAACTGTGTTTCTGCATACACCACCTTCATAAAGTTTTAGCGATGGTTTCAGAACGTCTCATTTGACTTTCATATGTTTACTTAAATTCCCTTTAATCAACTGATACCCTGCTCACATAAGCAAGACTGTAATCGGTAAATTTACCTTGAGTACAATCATCACCCTGATATCCTGCTGCACAGCCTTGATCACATTTACCAGTAATGTGATGACAGAGTGACATGGAATTGAAACAGTGTCGCAACCTACAATCGTTTGAACAATTCTCACCGTATGTTTGTGCAATGTTCCCATCCGTACTTTCTTCGGTATTGCATTCTGCAGACAGATAAGTAACATATATGATTAATTTTAATAGAAGTTATATAACAAATAATTATGAAATATCGCAAAGGATTATAGATAAATACGGCGTCCTTATTTGATGCCTTATAGAACTTACTTTGTTTACAATCGTCACCCTTCCAACCTGTTTTACACCCTCCTTTACATGTTCCATTCTTTATATCACATGATGATGATGATATCAGACAATTTCTATCACTACATAATTTATTACAATCCTCTCCATAGTTTATAGTCTGATTACATTCTACAACAAAACATATTACATTATAATACTGATATCAGCAACTTTCTATCATTACGCAACTTATTACAATTCTCTTCATAGTTTACAGACTGATTACATTCTACAACAAAATATTTTACATTATGATACTAATATCAGCCATTTCCTGTCATTATACATAACTTATTAGAATAGTATACTTGGTTTCTGGGTACATTCGACAACAAAACATTTTATTTGTGTTTGACAACAATAAGATAACGTTTGTCCAAACGACTTGATATATGTATAACAAACCTATGATTATTTTCCATATAAATGGTTGTTGTGTTTCATGTGGACGTATATTGTCATAATTTTTATCCGATTTTGATGAAACTTGAAATATAGGTTTATCGTCAAACGATCTCGGTTCCTGTCGATATTGGTATGTATCGGATCGAAACTTCATGGATTCTGGCCCCTGATTGTACGAAAAATCACGTTTTTAACTTGTGGACACTCTAGAGCTCACAATTTTTATCCGATTTTGACCCGTGGAGTGTCCACAAACAAATTATCGATGGACGGACGGGTATACAGAGGCGACGACAATATACGTCCACATAAAAACGTGCTCGTATAAAAATGGTTAATTCTGTTAAACCATTTTTGTAATAATTTCCTAAATTTTGTAAAGCCTGTAGATTTGCATCTTTCCGGCGTCAAGTACCGACAGGGTTAGGACCAGAAGCTAAGGCCCATTGCAGATTTCGTCGAGATGTAAATAGGGTTAGGGCTAACCCACTATCTCGTCAACAACAACGTGCTCTAACCCTATTTAGATCTCGTGACCTATGACGAAATCGGCAATATGTCTTAACTTTTAGTCCTTACCGTACGAACAGTGACAGTATTACCAGATTTTAGACCCCGCGATATACATGTATATTCAAATAGTGCAAGTCTTAAGCGACGGGCGGGCGACTTATTTTTGGTTTGCAACCTATCTGGTCTTGTGACAGACAAGGTATATCTGAACAGTGCTTTAGTTATTTTCATGTTTACTTTATTTGATCTACCCAATCTATAAAACTTACTTATATTACAACTTATTCCAGTATATTCACCAGCACATCCATTGGGACATTGACCTGTGACCTTATCACATCTAACATCAGGTGATTGACAGTAACACAATGATGTACAATCTGGTCCAAATGTTCCAACCGAACAAACTATATAAATAATATAAAGTTTAAAATATATAACAAGGAATAAAGACCGAAAATTGTATGAAATAGCGTCATGTTTATCCAAGTATGTCTTACTATCGTAGTGGCCAGTGTCACGCGCGGCAGAGTATGCTTATATATATTTCCTAACACGTGATACCTGATATCGATTCCCTTTCGGGAGTCCCGCAATATAAGTGTCGGACATCTCATATTAACTTGCCATTGCAAACACAGTTATATCTATGGGTCAATAACCCTAATAAGGACAACGACGCCCGTTTAATTATGATAAGAGGAATTCATCCATAGATTTTCTTGTGATTTGTAATATTGAGCTTGATATCGCTGTTGGTGGTGGTTTTCACTTAGCTCCATACACTATCACATTTATTCTATATATAGAATAACACTTAAAGCCGTGGACCCAAATTATTTTTGGGTTTTCTACTTGGGCTACTTTGCCAAAATGTTTTGTAGAAAATTTAAAAATTTCGCCCTTCGGTTCAAAATCCTAGCTTTCGGTACTGTAGTTTATTGAAGGCTTCTCTTACCATAAACTTCAACTTCACAGAGGTTAACAAAAACATATTTTTCTTTTGTAGACTTGTTATTGGTAATAGTAACATATCTTCCTACACTGTTACAATTTACCATAAACCCATCAACTGTATTGTTATAATCATCTTCTGGTCTACATGGACTTTCATTTGTTTTGTTAAGTTCATCTACGAATAATCGGAATCCTGCAAATCTGTTGCCAATATCTATATAACAGAAACAAATTAACCAGAATAATTTCATCTAAAAAAAACAGGGGTTGGACGTCGACACAATATATGTCTACATGACGGTCAACTGTTCATGAACATGTGTGCATGTCTGCGAGATTTTTTTTAATGGCGGGGAGAGTGGAGATGGTGGGTAGTCAAACGTTGGTTGTTTCTACGTATTAGAAAAGTACATATATTTGTAAAAGATACTAATACCATTGGCCATTGGGTCCAATAGTGGTGAAATACAAATTCGGCCTAATTAATTGGTCCCTTTTTCTTGAACACAGAGAAAGTGTTGCACAGAAATCATCCAAATTCGTATACATTATATTAAGAAGGGACCATTATCTCCATAATGTCCACAGTGATCAATCTACAAATTACTTTTCTAATACGTTTATTTATATTAGAGGGAAAATTAAAACTAAAATGATATTTGAATATTAAAAAATAATAAATTTAAATTCTACTTACGGTGATTCCTTGCGTATATTTTGATATTTTCAATGGGATAATTTCGGTTTAAATCTACTCCCCATGAAGCATTTGTTCTGCCAACACCAGTATGGGTACAGTAATTATATTCCTTGCTATGATTAGTATCACCATCTACAGCATAACTAGAATGTCGTAACAGATTCTGGTCATAATAGGTTGAACTCTGCCACGTCTGTTTGTTTAAGGCGACATTTTCTGAAGATTTAAGTTTTAAAAATAACAGAAATAGGATTGTGCCATTTTAGGTAGACCCATGAGTGACACTGGTGCCAAATTCAAAAGAAATTATCAACTCCACAATAAGTTCAAACTGAATGGAAACAGTTAGAATTGAACCAATTTTCAGACATTATTTGAACAGTTTACAACCCATTTGTAGAATCAGAATAGTCACCAAAACCTGCCTCTAGCAAAGTATTTTTTTTTTAAAAACAAACCAGAAGATATGAACACTAAAAGCATCATGCCGTCAACTAAATGTTAATATTAAAAAAGATTTACTTGAAAAACTTACACTACTATTCCAGTAAAATTAAAACCCAGGGCCTTTTTTTCACAAAAAGCTTAAACCTCCTTAAAATCATCTTAAACTAAAATTTAGCTGAAAACCTCATAAAGCAATAATTTAAGTTAAATTTTATCTTAACTTAAAATAGTGGTGTTTCACAAAACTAATTTAGGGACAATTATGAGAACACCAAATCAGTGTAGTTGTTTTTTTCCATGCCACGGAAGTAAATTGAGTGAATGATGGTATGTTAAAACTATGTGACCCGGTTGCCATTAGCCAGAGTATTATCACTATTTCGAATAGATCTCTTTGTATGTAACAATGTCGTGATGTAAAGTTAGGAGAGGGAGACGGATGCCCACAATTAAAATTAATTTAAGTTACAATTGTCCGTAAAATAGCTTTGTGAAACACCACTATTTTAAAATTTGATTAAATTTTATCTTAAAAATTATATTACTGGATTTTAGATCAAATACTTTAAATCGTTTTGCGAAACTCGCCTATCTTAAGTTAGGATGACATTTCAGACAATTTTTAAGGAGATTTACGTTTTTTTGTGAAACAGGGTCCAGATCAAAATATATGGTACAAAATAGAAGAGGAATACAATTCGGGATGCTTCGTTAAAAATCCGAATGAACACAAAGACATCGAAGAAAATATTTTAAGACTGCTAGATGTGCTGCTAAAAATCAACCGAAGCCATCAACTTAGTATTCCGCTATATGATAAACGTGACGATTTTAATTTCTCAATCGTATATTTTCCATTCATTTACAGTAACATGCATAAGTCGTTAGTCTATATGCCTAAATGTGCCTGCTCATACGTTCTTTCATGACCTGCACATTATGGGCAAACTTTGTAAGCAGCGGGATCTTTCATTCATAGTTTACATATATAGTCGTGGTGGGTGTCGTTCATGAAGCAGAGTATCCCAACTTTCTATTGTGACGTTCAGTGTTATGTCCAAAACGTATAATAATGGACTTATAAAGTTTGGATTTCCAAGCGCAAATATAAGCCAGAATGTCAGTGGCTTTATCATTAATTGATAGTATAATACCAAGTTGTTTATTATTTTTTATTATAATCAAGCCATAAATGAATACATATATTTCTTTATTAGAAGAATACCCAACTGTTACAGAAAACATTTTCAGAAATGACATAAATTATTCTGTATTATAAGCTTCTAACCTTTTTGGCATGAAGAACCGTACCATCCTTTCTGGCAGTTACCACTAGAACAGATACCGTTATCAGCTTGACAATCTCCTCCATCACAATGACATATGTATCTATCACCATACCCAAATCTCTTTACTCCTGATACAATAAGATGCACAGATTTGTAATCATTTTAATAACATAATATGCCAATACATATACTGGTAATCTCTAGTTTATCATCGGTGTTCCTTAAATACATTCTTAAATCAGTTAACACTGGGGTGCTGTTAGAGCAAAATATCTTTGGATATACAAGATTTATATCTATGTTGTATACATTCGAAAAACACCATGTTGAATGCCAGCTCTCGATGGACACGGACACAATAGGTGCACCTTTTAAAATTTCTATCAGACTAAAATCTGGAGGTTGGGTGTTCGATCCCTGCATTGGCCGAGAAAGTTCATCCAGATTTTCCGGCGTGGTTTCCCCTTGTCAGTGATGCAGGACGGAGGGCCTGACAAGGACAGCTGTCTAGTCGTTCGGATGGGACGAAAAACCGAGGTCCCGTGTACACATTGGCGTGCACGTAAAAGATCCCTTGGCAGTTGGAATTCGATATAAGAGTAGGCCGTGGCGCCGCTGCCCGGGCAAAATTTCTCTCATAGCGCACTGTATGGCAAATGCCCGTCTTCATTAGCCCAGGTTAGGAGCAGAACAGTAGGACGTTAAACACCATTTTATTTCATTTCATTTCAGACTAAAATCATTTAGGTAGTAAACTACCATTACCATCAAGTCTCGAAATCGTATACATGTCGCTACACAAGCAACAAAAGTAAAAAATTAATTGGTATTTCTCTTTAAGATTTTATTTCCGATTCATTTGATCGGGACCAGGCTAATTTACAAACCGACATTTTCAAATCCTCTGCCAACTATTACACCTGTGCTTTGTTTATTTTCAAGCTGACAAAATAAGTAGTCTTGTCCATGTCGCTCAAATCATGATTCGTATACATGTATGTCTATATTGAATATCCTGGAAGTCACATTTTTCTATGGAGCGACAAGGAACAGTTCGTGGACAAAGGCGGTGCTGTGTTCGGAATGAGTTGCATCATTTTTTTAAATAAATGAATGTTGTAAATTTCGTTTCAGAGATACGCTTTAATCTTACAATACTGAATGTATCAGAACCCGGCGATAACATGTGAGAATGATGTTTTCACACCCCATATCAATTCTGTCAAACAAACAAAATTTAAATCACGATTTTATGGTGTAGGCATGGGGTATAAAATGAGACTTTTAAAAGTGGCATTACATCACATCAATTCATTAGGGTGTGAGCACAATAGTCGTGGCTCTAGGGTTTGGATGCCATTGCACTTCCATCTTTAGACTGGTCGTTATATTATAATGGTGATAAAATTATAAAATGTTTGTATTTCATTCTTTCGATATTTCATTCATTCAATTAAACATTTCTATTATTCTTATTTTCCTATTAACCCTTCATTATTAATTAGATGTTAAGCTACTAATCTAATGACAGACAGTTGACACATTAATGGGTTTAATTACTATCTTAATGTTTTATTTTACTTTTATATTTTAATATTTTCTCTTTAATTGTTATTAGTAACCTTGGTGTATATTGTGAATTCCTAAGATACCATTTTATTATAAATACCGATTTGTACATTGACAAAGGATTCTAGGTTTCACCCCGTTTCCAGGATAGTTACTTTGCTTATCGGACGTGCTGTTCTCCGTATATGATGTTTAATGTTTTCCGGTAATAAATGGTCTCAAGGATAGTTCCAGTCTTTAGTTATTATCGAAGATTTACACTGTTACAATATTCAGCAGATAGTGTCCACTATAGGTCGACCAATACGGAAGGTAACATCAGATTTCACATTTCAGCTGCATAATGTCTCGCCAGTGCCACCAGTCAAATCAGTGATGCATTTCATGGCGTCTCAGAATATAATAAATATGTACTCTACAATTCTTATTATACGTATTGTATAATATACTCTTAAAAAAAAGTAGGGGATATTGAAATGCAAATACCTATGCAGGTTGTGATATGATAAATAGTAATGGACACTTGAAATGCTTTGAGAGTATGTTCACTGATGAAGAACTTGTCGACCCAACAGAATCACTGAGCTGCACGTGCGACACGCAATAGCGCCATACGCGTGGGAGGGGTTCATTGTGAGATTAGCGCCATACGCGTGGGAGGGGTTCTTTATCAAATTTGACCCTTCAAAGATGGGTTGATGAAAACTGCCGCGTGCTGGTTTATTCTATCCATGTTTGCTTTCCTATAGGTTCTTGCATAAGATTTACTGTTTAGCGTATCTTTGCTTTAGTGTGTTACGTTTAATTTGCAGTGAGACGTCTTCAATATGATGAACGTCTACGTGCTATTGGCATGCTTCAAATGGGTTCTACACAGCGAGCAGTGTCACAGTCTGTGATCAGCAGACTGTAGAACCGGTACCACCAACACACAATGTTGATGATAGACCTCGCTCAGGTCGTCCTCGAGTCACTACACAAGTCCATGATCGATACATTTGTACACAGATCTTGCGAAATCGAGGACAAACGGCCAATCAGCTTTCTGTAAACTTGTACCAAGTTACAGGAATTGGAGTTACACCCCAAACGATTAGAAATCGGCTACATGCAGCCCATTTGCAAGCGCGACGATCGCGTGTTGCACCTCCATTAACTCGCCGGAACATGGCAAACAGGCGTCAATGGTGTAGGCAGCATAGAAATTGGGGTAATCGTCGATGGGCGCGTGTAATGTTCTCAGATGAGTCCAGATTTACTCTGGATTTCACCGATAGGCGTGCTCGCGTTTGGGCCGTGTAAATGAGCGTAATGCTAACGTTAACGTCAGACAGCATGACAGATTCGGGCGTGGGTCTGTTATGGTGTGGGGAGGAATCACCATGACTGGCAGAACTGACTTGCATATTGTTCAAGGAAGGGTCACTGGTGTGTACTGCTCAATTGAGTATTTATTTTTATCTACGATTTTCTAAGTATTGGAATATTTTATACAATTCTGAATTTCTATATACGGGTGATATTTATCCATAATATTTGATGCGTACTAAATATAACTTATTCTTACATTTTATATATTGATAACATATAAAGCTTACCATTTATATTTTGACAATAAACCACATTGATGATAATCACATAGAACAACCACCATCGTGTTTCGCCCATTTTATCTACTAGGAATAAACTTAGTTCAGTTTAAAATAAATTTAATACATCTTCCTGGTTTATATATTAACATGACTAAATTGTTATCAAATACAAACTGTTGTGGGAAATGATTCATGCAATTCTTTTTGCAAATGACATGCATTATTATTATGGGAGAATAAAATTTGCCTGTTTCGGGACGTTTTTATGGTTTCAAATATTTTATATATTATTATTTAAACTTTTAGTCACATGGCAAGCACATAATCAACTGTTTTGGGGTTTTATTTATATTGAGTGGATTAGCATTGCAATAATATGACCGGATGCTCACGATAGAAGAACTAACATCACAGTTGCAATAGAACTGTAGGCGGAGTTTCCACATTGCAAACTATCGTCAATTTATGGTTATTTAAAGTAGCTAAGACTCTAACCAAATATCATCCAAAATCTTCAACATTGAAAACACGATTAATTTGTCAAATTAAATCAACATTCATGTTGTGATCTTACCGGAAAAAGATGGGCTTTTGATATCCAATATTTAAGACAAAATAAACATTTTACCATTGGTACACGAATCGTGTACCATAATGCGCTTCAGCCCCAGTTGTATCAAGAGACCCGAGGGACGAGGCTAGACACATTGCACCAAATCAAACGGCATATATAGACTGGAATAACCAGACGCTAGAAATTTGCACTAGAAATTTGAGACTGCTGGCTTATTCCCCGAACATAACTGATTTGAAATTCGAGTAAAAACGGAAACCATTCAATGTAAATCAGTTTATATACATTCATATTACAGTATTATATGCGTTGCGACCCACTTTTGTCAATTTCTAGGTCCCAAATGTTAGCGATTTAGCTCCTTTAATGTTAAAAATTCAAACATTCATATTTTCGCTCAGAATAAAGTCATTTTTTTAGAAATTTTCAATATATTAATTTTCCATTATCTATTTTTATTCGCACACATTTTCATGTCGACGTTTATTGTCGTCGCCCATGTCCGTCCGTCTACAATTTGTTTGTGGACACCCTACAGGTCAAATTTTTACCCGATTTTTGACGAAACTTGAAATATAGGTTTATCTCCAGAAGATCTCGGTTCCTTTCGCGCTTTTAATGTGGACCTTCTTGAGGTCACAATTTTTGCTGATTTTAATTTAAATATATAATCGTTACATACTGGTAATGGTTGAGTCCGAATTTTGTAAAAATCGGATGGAAATTGCCCGACCAAATCGTTGCTCCTTGGTGTAAAAGTATGCAATACCAAGGTCACAATTTTTATCCGATTTTGATGAAACTTGCAATATATGTTTATATCCCAAATATCTCGGATTCTTTAGGTAATCACACATATCAGACCTTAACTTCCTGGATTATGGTCCGTGATTACACGAAAAATCACATCACCGTTTCACCAAGGTTGAGTTCGAAATGGCCGCGCTTGTACAGTGTAAATTGTGTAAAACTATGTAATACAAAGGTTGTGAACCCACTAAACGTCACAATTTTTGTCCGATTTTGATAAAACTAAAAGCACATGCTTATATGCCAAAGATCGCAGTTCCTTTCGATATTTGCGCATTTCAGACCATAACTTACTGGATTATGACCCCTGATTGTACAAAAAATCGCGGGGTTTATTTTTAGCTTGCCCTTGCGTATCTTGCATGGCAACCGCTTGTTGAACTATTATGTCAAGAACTGTCATCTCTTTATCTTATTCTCATATAAACCTGTTTATAATCAGTATAATAGGATTTTTAGATAATTGCTGCGTTTAATTAATTACTTCATATTACGTTTGCAAACGTCGCTTTTATCAAGTCAATCAATGAACAATTTTGTCTAGCTCTCCGAAAGAGGGTGTTTTGGTGATCATTTCGAGGTGG